ATTATCCAAAGATTTGTCATTACAAAATTACTTCACCAAGACAAAATTGTTTTAAAAAAATTAGCCAATGACCTTGAACTAACCAAACTGACCTTGGGTCAAGGTCTTACATGTGAGTCAACAAAGCTATCACTGTATCAAGTAGGAAAATCCAATGAGTAATTTCTCTGTTACAAAGTTTTGGACCGGACAAGTGACCTTGAACATGCTGGCATGACCTTGTGTCAAAGACATTGCACCCCTTTTGATCATAAGCAATCTCTAAACAAAGCATGCGCTTCTAGTGTTTGTATAGGAAGGACACAAAGAGATTTCTGAATAACACACACCCCAATTCCCTTCCAGAACCCCCAGCCACATACTATTTAGCTCACCTGAGCCGAAGGCTCAAGTGAGCTTTTCTGATCAAAAGAGCCATAGCTGCCTTACCGCCAACTCGGCCTACTCAAGTATTTTTAAAAAAAGGAAATCACCTGTTTCTTTTTTAGATACATGTACCTTTTCAATTTAAAATCAAACTGCATGTATGTAATTATTTGTGAACCAGTGTTATATTTTCATAGTTGCAAGTTTGTTGCATGACAGGTATTTTACTTGTCCAATACTCTTATTCTAAACAAGATTTTTTAAGAAAATCTTAAAAATAAAACAGCCTAGCAGCTATAACTTTGGGTAATTAAATAGCTTAAGACTGTTATCCCCAAGATACTTTCAATGTGTAATGTTGTATTATATATCTTTTTTAAAAATTATTTTTACATGTATTAAAAATAATAAAAGAAAACATAGGAAAATGCACACAGAGAGAAAAAAAAAATAAAATCGTATTTAAGTAACACGCACTGTGAGACTCGAATTCACGATCACTGTGTCCTCAATCCAGTAATCATACCGCTACGCCACGAAGTCTTTGTAATCAAATGGATAAAATGAAGACAGATTGTTGAATTTTGAAATAATTTTGATAGAAAAATTAAATACATATTTTCAACATTTTCAATAGGATATTTAGATACTAGTATTTGTTACTCTTTAAAAAAAGTAAAATAACCAGTTAGACTGCGCAAATTCAGTTTCACTGCAATAATATACATATTTTTAAAGTTTTATTTCTTAAGTGCAATATATGACCTTTTTTGACTTTTTTGAATTTTCGGTTGCCATGATAATGAAAAAAAAATTCAATATTATTAGTTAACACAAAAAAATATTGTGTATTCTATGCTTTTGAAATTTGATTGGTATTCAATGATTACAATTGAAAAAAAAAATTAGACTGACTTACGAATTCGGCTTACTTGTGCCCATAATATACAGACTTTGTCCAAAACTTATTAACCTCAGCCTTCGGCCTCGGTCAATCAATACCTCACCAGATCTGCGTTGTCAAAAGTACAGGGATAATCCTAGTCAAAATTATATATATCTTTTTTATAACCAGATTGTTGTATTATTTAAACTTGTAGAAATTAGACTGCGCAGTTTTGTTGCAGATATTGGTAATGATACAAAATTTTCAGGAATTGGCAAAATTTTGACGGCTCAAGAGTCTCAGTGACTTGCTGCCACTAGCATGAAAAGTAGGTCAATGATTAACTATTTGAGAGCGATAAAAAAAATTAATACCACAGGCATAAGTGAAGTAATTGATTTTTCATTTCAATAAGTATATTGTAGAATGTTTTTGCCTAGTTAACATCCAAAAAGATAAAGCTTTATGTTGACGTATTGCTACAAACTGATTCTATTTTAAAGTATTTGTTGCTATGTGGATAACTTCTGTTGTTATGGATATACTAACCTAAAATATTTTTAAAATCTGGTTTGACAATGCTGATCCCGAGCAATAGCAATTCAACTCTAAGAATCAGATGATCTTTTAAAAACATTGATAAATATGTACTAAAAATAACTTACAATACTTCGTTGCTAAGGAAAATTTACTGTTGCCATGGAGATAGCTTATTGTAAAATAGTCATAGGTACACAAGGAAGAATATTTTATATTTTATTATCTTAAAAATTGTTTTTGGTACTCAATGATTACAATTTATATGATTTTTCTACCAATGCTTTAGAATTTCACCATTTTTAATTTATCAAACCATCCATTTTTGTTGCCTAGCAACAGATAGTAAATTTCAAATTTGCAAAACTTTTTATTTTAAATTTTAAGAAAGCCTTTCCTGTAGTTTTACAGGAAATAGATGAAACAATTGTACTAAGATGGTGAAACGAATAATATCGACTTGATTTTTGCTAAAATTAAGCAAAATGCTGAATCAGCAGAAAACGGGAAAAATGTATCTTTAGTTGTATCTATAGTAAATATATTAGAGAATGTAATTTCTTTTTATTACGTTGTGAGAGCACTTTTAGATTTTATCTTTCTTGTGACACTTAGGAAGAAGAGAATTACTTTTTAATTTTTTTTTATACAAAGCCTTCAAAATGGGTGAAATTTCGTCAATTTATAAAGAAAAATTGGCCTGTTGCTAAGGAAATTTCTTTGTCCAGGTTTCCATAGTAACAATGACCCAAATTATTTTTCCTTCTGCATACATGGCTTATACCCTGATAAAAATCTGTGAGTGAAAAATTATTAATTTCTGAGATCCTCATGTATCACCTCCTGCCTGATAACACGTGGACCTGTACTTAAATCATTGTATTTTTAATTTTTAGGTCACCTGAGTTTACTCAGATGACCTATTGCTATCCGTTTTCGTCCGTCGTCGTACGTCGGTCGTCGTCCGTAAACTTTAGAACATTTTTAACTTCTTCTCTGGAACTACTGCACCAATTTCAAACAAATTTGGTATACAGCATCTATGGATGAAGGGAAACAAAAATTGTGAATTTCATGGTCCCTGCCCACACCCCCACCCCCCCCCCCCCCTCCGGGCCTGAAGGGGGGGGGGCAAAACCACTAAAATTAATGCAGCCTTTAAAAATCCTCTTCTTTACTCCTGGACACCAAGCAGTCAAACTGTTGACATGATTGTAATCAGCATTGAGTCCTCTACCAGAATTGTGCAATTCATGGCCCCTGGGTCAGGGGTTCTGGTGTTAGGGCAGGGCTATGTAGATCATATAGTAAAAGTTCATTATTTCTTTGAAAATCTTCTTCTCTGCTTCTGGGTATTAAATTAACTAACTAAGAACATAGTTATGATGACCAAGAGTGTCTCTTCAAAAATTGTGAATTTCATGGCCCCTGGGTCAGGGGCTCTTTTGTTAGGGCGGGGCTCTATTGATTGTATAGTAAAAAAACATTAAGTCTTTTAAAATCTTCTTCTCTGCTCCTTGGTATTAAACAAGCTAACTAAGTGCATAGTTATGATTAACAAGAGTGCATCCTCCAAAATTGTGAATTTCATGGCCCCTGGGTCAGGGGTTCTGGTGTTAGGGTTGCGCTCTATTGATTGAATAGTAAAAAAAACAGTAATTCTTTGAAAATCTTCTTCTCTGCTCCTCAGTATTAAACAAGCTAACTATAGTACATATTTATGATTAACAAGAGTGCATCCTCCAAAATTGTGAATTTCATGGCCCCTGCGTCAGGGATTCTGGTGTTAGGGCGGAGCTCAGTTGATTGTATTTAGTAAAAAAACAGTAATTCTTTGAAAATCTTCTTCTCTGCTCCTCGGTATTAAACAAGCTAACTAAGTACATATTTATGATTAACAAGAGTGCATCCTCCAAAATTGTGAATTTTATTTCCCCAGGGTCAGGGGTTCTGGTGTTAGGGCAGGACTCTATTGATTATATAGTGAAAATGAATTCTTTAAAAATCTTCTTTGCTCCTGGGTAATATTTAAACAAACTAAGTAAGCATATAGTTATGATGAGCAAGAGTGTTTCTTCCAAAATTGTGAATTTTGTGGCCCCTGGGTTGGAGTAAGTGATGTTAGGGTGAGGCTTTATTGATTATATAGTCAAAATACATTGTTTCTTCAAAAATCTTCTCATCTGCTCCTGGGTATTAAACCAATGAACAATGTACATGTACATAGTTATGATGAGGAAGGATGCGTCTTCCAGAACTGTGTATTTCATCAGACATGGCCTCTGGGTCAGGGGTTCTGGTGTTAGGGTGGGGCTGTAATGATTATATATAGTGAAAATGCATGAATTCTTTGAAAATCTTTTCCATTGCTCCTAGGTATTATGCCAATGATCTTAGTACATATATTTATGATGAAGAAAGGTGCATCTAGCAAAATGATTAATTTCAAGTTCTCTGGGTCAGGGGTATTGGGAGGGGGGGGGGGGGAGAGGGGGGTTAAGGGGTTAACAGTACATAGTTTGAAGATAAAAAAATTAATAAATGCTTTGAAATCTGCTTTGTGGTATTAATCAACCATTTATGATGAAATAAAATTATGATATAATTTCGAAAATTTTGAAATATGTGGCCCCAGGGACAGTGGTTCTTGTGTGCACGACTGCTTATAAAGTGAAAATGCATTTTCTCTTTCTTACTCAGATCTAACTCTGGGTATTAAGTAACTAGAGTAAGCATTCTAAGTGTATAATTAAGATAAGCAATGGTGCCTCTTTCAAAATTGGGAATTTCATGGCATCTGGTTTAAAACACGAACCAAATTCAATTTTTGGATAGTTGTTTCATGATACTAAGGTGACCTATAAGGTCCGTGGGCCTCTTGTTTCAAGTAACTTGTTGCTATTATGCCTAAAAATGTTTAAAAATGTTCGCATAACATTGATTGATAATATCATAAGAAGTCCTTTGAACAATGCGCAGAGTTAATCCGAAATTCCTCCATTTGTACTTGTCTATATACTTGCTACGTACTCTAAATCTTATAAACATATCAAAGAAGTAATGATAAATTATCAGTTAACTTGGCAAGTTTATATATTGCATGAGAAATGCCGAAAATTAGGTGGAATGCAACATCAAGGTTTGTACTGCTACTGAAAGGAGCAATCCCAGGTCCATAATCTCCATCAGATCAAAGTTACTTTTATAATAATATATATTTATTGTATGCCTTACAGTGCGACGTGTCATTGATGGCCTGCCTGGATCCTGAATTATCATGTGCTATATGCCTAGAACTGTTTGTGGATCCCTGTACGTTGACATGTATGCATTCTTATTGTCACGAATGCTTAGTGAAGCTTATAGAGGAAGATGTCACTGCAAGCCAAACCAGTGTAACCTGTCCCCAATGTAGACAAGTCGAAAATCTTGGTACCAAAGGCTATAAAGCCATAAAGAGGAATTTTACACTGGCGAACATTGTAAATAAATACACATGTAGTGGTTTACATTCTTCAACCCAGTCACAAAATGCAGGCAAGTCAATAAAAATTATTTGAAATTATTTAATTGCTATTTTCTTCAATTCTGTAAAAAAAAAAAAGTGATACAAAGGATTAAGCGGACATGAGTATTGTCATGTCGTACGTACAATTTCAAAGTTGAAAGGTAATAAAATGCAGTTTTATAAAAGAATAGTTCACTTAATAATTTGAAAATATTAATGAATAGGATTCGTCTTTTTACAACGCCACATTAGTATATCGAAGCTGAGAATTGATAGTCTAAAATTTCTTTTCAAATATTGCCCACAAGCTGAAACGGACAGACTAACATGCGCACATACGCACAGTTGCGATGCTATATGTATGCCCTGCCGCAACTAGTTGCGCAAAGGAATATGCTCCAAGGGATAATAAGCTGACGCGAAAATTCGGGAATCTACAGATTATATTTTTAATGTCATCAATATGCAGTATATAATTGTAAATAATTTTTAAGACATTTTAAAGCGCAATATACAGAACAACATATATTCTAAATAGATAAAGAAAAAAAAACCACTTCGTTAATTACTAGATTATCATGTTGGAGTTTTTTGCTTTCAGATGTCAAAATTTGTCTAACTTGTCATGAAGAAATTTCCAGCCCAGATGCTTTGCCCAGGCATATCAATCACAAATTATGTGATATTCAGTTAGGCAGGAAAATGCTCAGTGTAAGTAAGATTCTTTGGGTGAAAAATAAAAAAAATAATTAAATGCCTTTTTTAAGATGTTTCTCATATTTTTCGTATATTTTTGCCTCTTTAAGATATCTTGTATATTTAAATAATCTAAATTCAGGAAGATATTTCAAAGAAGATCATGGCACTCGAAGATAGCCACTCTGATATATCAAAGTCCGTGAAAATCATAAAAGACAATATTGCAAATTTCAAAGTAAGTATTCTATGTGCTGTTTATACATACATGATGAAATGTCCTTATCCATTCAATGTAACAATTTCTTCCACAGTTTATGAGTTGAAAATAATAAAAGCTTTCAAATATAAATAAGTTAAAATTAAAATCAGAAGCACATAAGCCACATCACTCACTTGGGCACATTGGCTAGGTAATGAAACACAAATCAGCTCAATACTGAACAGTTTATCTGCTGCATTTTTATGAGAAATATATGGAGATAATTAACAGTATTCTAGCTCAAAAGTCCATTAAATAAAACAAAATTAGAACAGAGCAAAAACGGGCCTCTAAAAACAGACATGGGATCAGGTGCCTTGGAGGAGTCAGCATCCCCTGCTGACCAGACATATTCGCTGTATGCTAGCGCTCCTTTTTATGATTGCATTTTTTGGAGGTGAAAACTGTACTTCTTTGATGTCTGTGCAACGTTATCTGGTTATGTTTCATATAAGTTAAAATACTGTTAGAGACATACAATTCAATCAATAAATGGCATCATGATCTTATTATTTATTTCATTTATACATTCATATAAGTTGTACATGTTTTGCAGAAGTGTCAACAGTCTGCTGCAAATAACATCGAGCGTACTTTAGATACCAAAAGACAACGTTTGGAAGAGTACAAAATTAGGAGTTTTCAAGAATTACAACAATATTCAGAGAGTATGTGCGGCGGAAAGGAAAAATATATTGAAAAGCTGCTTGAACATGACATCAAAATAAACAAAAACTTAGAAGAAATGCGATGTCCTAATTTGAATGAAAAACTTGAAAGTATGACATCTAAGGTTTGTACATTTGCAAATTTTTAAAGATGAAAGTTTAAAAAGACATGTATGAGTAGTACGGAGTAAGCTCTGAGCGAAAAGCGTCTATTTTCATCTGAAGCATAACATTTTAAGCAAGTTAAAATAAACCCCATTCCTTGTATCTTGATCAGATGAAAGTTATGAGAAATGGAATATATGAATATAAATATATATACCCATGGTGAATCAGTGAGTCATATTATTCTAAGAAATGAAAGTTATGATAAACGCTATCTATCTTTCTTGTAGGAACTTTTTCAATTGAGAGCAAGGTGTGTATGAATGCATTTTAAGTCAATTTGATTACAACTGAAACAGCTTACCAATTGAAGTTCTGCTTATAGTGTCTTAAATGTTTGATAATTCATAGCCTACCATCGCAAAAACTATGATACATTTACTGCCTGAGTTCAAGGGCAAACGGCCTCAGGCAGACAGTTTGGTTCGAGGGTCGGAAAAAAAACGCATTTAGCCCCAGAACTTGGTCAATAAATGTTTTGTTATGCCTTTCATATTATATTTTTTTAACAAACATATATTTTGTACTGTCTTCTGTTATGTAACCTCAGGTCCGTCACTGTTAAACACCAACGAATGAAAATGCGATTAAGCTCCGCCCATTCTGTGACGCAAGCGGTCCAACATCTAATCGACCAGTCCAACATCTCACTCAGCGGTCAAACATCGATTTTTTTTCAGAAATATTAGACTTTTTTTTGTATAGGAACAAATTCTTAAAGGTATAACAAATCTACTTAATTAATGCTTTATGTTTTCTCAAAGATGGGCTTAAAAAAGAGGTTAAACATTTAGCAGTTATCCTAACGCAAAATGTATTAGTTCAAAAATCATATTATAATTACATTTTGCGTGTTTACATTCAATGTTGATCCCGACGCAAAATGCATTAATCCAAATTTATTTCCTTTTGCGTTGTTATAACATTTCACGTTGAAATAAAGCGTTCTTAGATGTTATTGATTGGAATGTAAATGTTCTAGATATGAACATTAAGTCCTGGGTGAAACTATATGTACAAAAACAAACAGGATCCAATGTTCAGAAAAAAATGTTTACCCTCATACTTCTACCTCCATTGAATGGATAATGGTTATCTTTTTAACCAAAGCCATTACGACGTCTTTAAGGTCAAGATCTAGTAAATGAAAAATTCCTATATATTTATCAAATTGGGAAATAAATTCCTTTAATAATGCTTTATAACTTTAGCTTGGTCATATTAGATGTTTCGGGGCATTTTGTAAGTTAAGGTTTTTCAACCATCACAATTTTAATGGTTCAACGTACAAGAAATGCATTTATTTTCATTTAATATACTTTCAAATTTTCAATTATTGCAAAAAATACATAGGTCACCATATTATTTAAGATGTGAGATAGAAATTAACAGAAGTATATGTCAACGAAAAAAATCACACATTTTTTGTTAACAGATTATGAAAAATATGTAAAAACTGGTTAAAATGCATAATTCTGATGCTGAATGTTCCTAAATACTTCCTAGTTACAAGATACTTTTGAATTGTGAATATCAGGGAAACTATTTAACATTTGAAGTACAATAAAGCACATGCCATAATGAAGAGACCTGCGAAGGAGTTATTGCCCTTGTCAACATTTTTTAAAGATTGAATAATTAATTAAATAAAGAAAATATGCATTTTTAAAAATTGTTTTACCTGACAATATTTATCAGTACACTTATTGAAAAGCATTCCCCCAAAACCTATTGTTCTATCAGGTATTAATTTAAACTAAAAACAGTTTTTGTAGAAACCTATAACATTATAGGAGGGTGGATTGCCTTAACAAGATGAAAAATCATATTTTAAACTTTCAATTCCAATGAAAAAGTAAGAAAAGCAGACGTGAATATCGGAGTTTTTTTTTTCCATATCAGACGAAGAATTTTGAATTGTATCCAGATTACCTACAGTCTTTCAGAAAACGGTAGTATGACTCCATGTACGATGGGTAATAAAAATTTTCCGGTCTTTCTCTATATTTGCAAAACCACAATTCAGGTCAGAATGAAATTTCGAACACATTTGTCAGGTAATGAAATGCTTTGCTTCATGTTTGTGAGGTCACTATGTGAAAATGACGTCAATATGTATAGCATTTGTGAAAAAAATGGTTGACCCAGTCGTAATCGAGGAGCTGTAAAGTTAAACGTGTATTTTGAAAAATCCTAAATGCAGTAATATACAATAATTTATACACGGTTTTACTTTATGAGGACAAAAACTTTCCAGAAGTTTAGTCATTGTTTAAGTGAAGGAACTTTCAAGGAAGGAAGATGTTCAAAATTGATGTTTGTTCTGTTTCCCAATAAGATGGGGAAGAGATGTGTCTTTTGAAAAGCAATATTTGAAAGATCGCCAGTTTACAATTAGAAAAATAGTTGAATATCTTAACATTACACTGTAGCATAATTATTTTAGCTAAAATATTGTTAACTTTAGACTTTAAACATATGAAATGTGATAAAAAGGAGACACACATACTTTATCCGCATTGACAGAGGTCTCGGGCTGTGGTGGTCACCATGGTCATTCCTTATCCACCAATACTATTGGAGACTTTCGGCCATTTCTGACAAATTGACTGTTTTTGTTATGAAGAAAATATCTTGCTTAGTAAGAAGTAAAAGAGTTGGAAATCTTTTAGCTTCTTGGACAGTATGATACGGAGCATGTCACGTGACCATCTAGACCACGTGATTCGCTCATGGGCAGAACGGTTGCAGATGCACGTAAAAATTGGAGAGGGCTAGTTAAAAAAAATTCAACACTGAAACCCTGTATCATCTCTTTTATGGAAGTTATTCAATTAATTTGCGAACTTTTTGATCAACTCACGTATATTGCAATGATTAATTTCTACTGCAGAGATGGACCTTAATCTGTTATAAATAATTCTTTTTGAATGTCGCAGAATAAACAAAATCATAACTTAAATAATATGTCTTCAAATTGTCTAATTTTTACATCAATCAGTTTATGGAGATTACTAAATTCTGGAGCAGCAAAAGTTCATTTATTGAGAAAAAATATTCTTAAAAAATGCATGGTACGGAAGCATATAAGCACAACATAATACATTTTGGCTTTTCTAACTTTAAATTTGGCTTTTTAACTTTAAATTTAGCTTTTAAAACTTAAATCTTGAGTTTTCAAACTTTAAAATGGTACATGTAAATCGGACTTTAATCTGGCTTTTCCAAATTTATAGCTGGTAATGCAAACTTTAATGCTGGCTTTTCAAAATGTAAAGTTTGTTATTCCTGCTTTTATTTTGGCTTCTCGAAATTTGAGGTTGTATATTCCAGCTTTAAGTTTGGCCTCTCCCACATTATAGTTGATTTTTCCAAAATTAATCATGCCTTTCCGAACTTAGTATTAGGCCTGGGGGCCATAAAACTTAGATGAGCTCACTTTTGATCTCAGTCTCACTTTACCACTATCTATTCCTTTGGAAAAAGTTAGACTGAGATCAAAAGCGAACTGGTCTAATTTTTATGGCCCCAGGCCTTGATATTTCAAATTAAACTCTAAAAATGGCTTTTATAACGTTAAAGTTGTTTGTCCCAACTTTTATCTTGACTTTTCCAACTTTACAATTGGTAATTCCAACGTGGCTTTTCCAACTTTGAATTCGTTTTTCTTTTGGTTTTCTCTTGGCTTTTTTCATGAGATATAATCTCCATACAGTCATATTACATGTACATGTAATATGGACCAAGAGAAATATATTTTAAAAGTATTTATTTAAAGTTGGAACTTATATATAAGATAAAAGTAATATGGAAGGGCAAGGTTTTAAAAATGCTCGCCAATTTATTCCACGTATTAATTTGCATTAATAAAATTGCCAGATCCCACCTCTGATGTTTTAAGGTCCGTGTTTGCTCTGCTTTTATTTTGTAATGCTCAATGGACTTTTGTGCCATTTTTAAAAACCACAATTCCTGGATTATTTTTGGTGAAGTTGTATCTTTCATATTTGTTAATTATTCCTTAGCATTTGTAGAAAACTGTAGAAGTACTTTTTTCCGCGTGGTATTAATTTACGCTATGTACGCGGTCACAAATTTGCCGCGGAAATTTGACCAAGCGTACTTTATATAAATAAAAGGCATATAGTGACAATCTAGAAAATCCGTGTAATTTTCTTTCCGCGGATTAACCAGAAATTAAGATTCCGCGGAATTATGACCCCGTGGAAAAAAGTACGTCTACAGTATTGAATTCAGCTAACGCTCATATATATCTTATTAATTTACCGTCGAAATATGGCTGACATATGTTAAAAAACAATAATAAATCAATCAATTTAATTAATTTATAAATTAATGGTGTAAAATTGTTTACGTGTACATCTTATTTTACAGATTAAACGAGCTGCTTGAAAAAGCCCCTGATATGTGCACAATGAATTCCGATATAAGATTTGACTTCAAAATATCGGAACCGTTATTAGATGAAAATGCTGTCACAAATAAACCAGGTACTTACTGTTTTAGCTCCCCAGAGCCTTCAAGTCAGCTTTTCTGGTCAAAATCTGTCTATAGTTTATCGTTGACGTTGTCGTCAGCGTCTTTATCGTAAGTTTTTCACATTTTCGAACTCTCAAGAACCACCTGTCTAATTTCAACAAAACTTGGCACAAAGTATCCTTGGGTAAAGGAGATTCAAGATTGTTCAAATAAAACGCTGCTTCGCCTTCTTGAATCTCCTGAGGAAAGATAAAAGGCTGCTTCGCCTTCTTGAATCTTCTAAGGAAAGATATCCCTGTGGGGATCCGGGTTAGAATAGGTCCTCAGTACCCCCTTGCTTGTCGTAAAAGGCGACTTAATGGGGCGGTCCTTCGGATGAGACCGTATAAACCGAGGACCCGTGTCATAGCAGGTGTGGCACGATGAAGAACCCTCCCTGCTCAAAGGCCGTAAGTGCCGAGCATAGGCCTAAATTTGCAGCCCTTCACCGGCAATGGTGACGTCTCCATATCAGTGAAATATTCTGGAGAGGGACGTTAAACAGTATACAATCAATCAATCAATCTAAGGAAAGATAATTGTGAATTTGTGTAAAATTTATGGCATCTCTACGTATTTAAAAAAAATAATGACCCCCCGGTGACAGGGTTGGGTCACAGAGGGCAATCAATGTTTTACATGGGAGTACAAAGGGAAAATTTTCAAAATTATTCTACTCAAGAATAGCAAAGCTTCATGTATGATTGAGCATATTTATATGGAACCATCTTAAAGTAGTAAACATTCTGGTCTGTTCCAATTATGACACACAGGGTTAGGGTGGGGCCTACACAGTTTTACATAGGTAAAAACTTCAAAATTCTTCTTAAGAAAAGCAAAGCCATGACTGGTCATATTTATATTGAAGCATTCTAAGGTGGTGTATATTCAAATTTTTTTATTCAAATCATGACCGTCCGGAATTAGGGACAGGCCGCAATGGACAATCAAAGTTTGACATAGGAATATGTGGGAAAAATTTTCTAACCCTAACCCTGACCATAGCAAAGCTATGGTTGGTCAGGTCACATTGTATGGAAGTATTCTCAGGAGTACATAGGGAAAAATCTTTAAAAATATTCTTCTCAAGTACAGCAAAGCCATGATTGGCCATATTTGTATGGAAGTATTCCCAGATATTGTAGATTCAAGTATTATCAAATTACGATACCCAGTGCACTGTGGAGAGTGGTGGACACAATAAAAGTTAAAATGTGTAGGAAGAAAGTCACAGTAAAAAAAAAGAAGATGTGATTGTGAAACACTGATGCCCCCGTATGGTAGCTTATGTCGAGGATTACATTTTCTGAAATGCATGTCAAACTCCAAAGGTCAAGGTCAGATGTGGATACCCAAAAGAAGGTCTCGTTACAAGGAAATACACCTTTGAAATATGAAAGCCGTAGTTCTAACTGTTCAAATATTATGGACATGTAAAAGTTTTTAAAAACTCTAAGGTCAATATGAAAAGGTAAAAAAAAAAATAATACCCCTTACAAGGTTTTGTCCCAATTAATACACATGTGAAGAATAAACGCACTAGCTCTAACTGTTCAAATGTTATGACCAAGGTTAAATTGTGATATTTTCTTTGGAAAAAAAAGGTCAAACTCCAAGGTCCAGAGGTCAAATTTGGTGGTGCTCAAATAAATGTCTTCTCACAAGGAATACACTATGAAAGATGAAAGCCATATCCCCATCCACTCAAAAGTTATGGAATAGGTTAAAGTTTTGCGAACAAACAGACAAACGGACAGTCAGAGAGACAGGCAGACCAGACAAAACTAATATACCGAAACTTCGTTTAAGGGGCATGAAAATAAGTAGTCATTGATTCTTAGTAAGTGTAGATTAAATTTTATTCAAATCATACCCCCTCCCTTTTACCACTTTTGCATTTAAGTTTTTCAATACTATACTAATTTTTGCTTTTTTCCTAGCCACAGTGCTCAGGTTAGAGATTCTCCTGGGTCTCTTGTTTTTCTTAATTAAAGTTACACCTTCAGCACTGAAGAGTATGCTTGATTTTTTTATCAATATGAAACAGATATGACAGGCTGTGTAATTTCTTTTATTTTATGTTTACTTTGATTTATCAATTCGATATATATATATGAATGGAAGTGATACCAGTCTTTCTTTTTGATGAAATATGATCGATACATCGAAAAGTCGAACTAAAGACCAAGACAGGCGTTTTATTCTCATGTATATTTTTGCTGTTGATTCTGATTCATAGGGAAAAAAGCAGTTTGGTAAATAAAGAATCACAATTTGTCTATAGGAATTCCAACAGCTTGCATGACTGGGAGACCTTGAATTCTAATTTTTTTTTTTTTTTTTTTTTTGCATAATGTATACTATGTAAGTAATGTACATAAAGACTTTTATTTTGTCCTTTTTGTTATATAATCTACCGAATTGCTTTTACTATATTTGCAATTTTCTTAACCAATGTGTGAAAAGGAACACGTTAAATTGTTTATCATTATTACAGAATTCCATGTCGCAATACAAAGATGTGATGTACTTTTAAGAAGTGCCAATAGCTCTGTGTGTGTACGGATTTTTTGGGAGTCAGACGCCCCTAGAAGTGTGTTTGATGTCATGTTGGTAACACAAAATGTAAATCCGGAGTGTACCTTACGATATTTTAAAGTTCATGGCAACAGTATTTTGTGTACTACACTAACACCCGAAACAAAATATGCAGTTACAGTACGACTACATGAAGACAGAAATACAGTGTCAAAGCCGTATCTTATCACAACAACACCGTTCATTGAGTGTATGTAGGTTTATTATATATAATTTTGATCTGTGAAATCACTTATTTTCATGAGGGGTTAATTTTCGTGGTTTTCGAGGTATGAAGAGACCCAAGAATTTATGTCCACCATGAAATGTAATTTTTCACAGATATTACAAAAACAATTCTTCATCCACGAAATTAAATCCTCACGAACTCCTATGTTTTCCTTTAACCACGAAAATTTGACCCCTCGAAATTTTGTGATTTTACAGTATACTTTTTGATCAAATGAAAAAAATACCAGGGCTGTCCCAAACAGTCGTATTCAATGTTGAGGACTTTGTTAATATTTGACCAAAACTGTCCTAGTATTACTTTGCCAGAATTGATTGAACTTTCATTAAGGTAGTTAATGATGAAATGAAAATCTTTAATTCTGAAAAAAAAATATTACGATCAATCCTACTAATGTGTTCGGAACTTTTTATTTTTCGGTGTACTGCAAATTATAAAACCTAATGAGTTCAGAGTAGCTCTGGCAGTGGTTCTGGCGAGAGCTAGCGAGATTACAGCGAGATAGGGTAAATTATTCAAGGAAATGTGGCTAGGAAGTGACTAGCACGTGGAGACACGGTAAACAGAAAAGTTATCTTGCGTTTCAGTTTTCCCCACCCTATATAATATATGTAGAAATGTACTTCAATCGATCTCCCTTGAATTCATTCAAACTTACATAAGTATTCTCTATGATACAATTATCTGCAGTCATGAATTTAAACTTTTTTTTCGACAAATGTTTTTGCATGGGAATCGGGACTTTATTTTTTTGGCGTCAGATTAGCAAATGAGGCACCGACATGACTTTAACTGACAAATCAGCTGAATGAGAACTGATTTATGGGTTACTATGAAAGTACAGGAATTTAACGCTTGAAAAAAGGAAAATCTTATGGCGATCGGAAAGGTACAAAGACTATTTTCCCATCCATTTCGTAAATGAAAACCATTTGTAAAAAAAAGCATTATTTTCATGCTCACAATGACAATTCATTTGTTAGATAAAAGTGAAAGTCTAGGTTTTTAGGTCACCTGAGCCGAAGGCTCAAGTGAGCTTTTCTGATCACATTTTGTCCGGCGTCCGTCTGTCCGTCTGTCTGTCTGTCCGTCTGTCTGTAAACTTTTCACATTTTCGACTTCTTCTCAAGAACCGCTGGGCCAATTTCAACAAAACTTGCCACAAAGTATCCTTGGGTAAAGAGGATTCAAGTTTGTTCAAATGAAGGGCCACACCCTTATTAAAGGGGAGATTATTGGGAATTAATGAAAATTTGGTGGCATGTTTTAAAAATCTTCTCAAGAACCACTGTGCCAGGAAAGATGAAACTTATGGGGAAACATCCTCAGGTAGTGTAGATTCAAGTTTGTTCAAATCATGACCCCAGGGGTAGGGCGGGGCCAGAATGGCCGACCAAAGTTTTACATAGAAATATATAGGAAAATTCTTTAAAAATCTTCTTCTCAAGAATAGCATAGCCATAATTGATCATATTTATTTGGAAGCATCCTCAGGTAGTGTAGATTCAAGTTTGTTCAAATCATGACCCCCTGGGGGTAGGGCGGGGCCAAAATGGCCGACCAAAGTTTTACATAGAAATATATAGGAAAATTCTTTAAAAATCTTCTTCTCAAGAATAGCGAAGCCATAATTGATCATATTTATATTGAAGCATCCTCAGGTAGTGAAGATTAAAGTTTGTTCAAATCATGACCCCCAGGGGTAGGGCGGGCCAAAAATGGCCGACCAAAGTTTTACAAAGAAATATATAGGAAAATTCTTTAAAAATCTTCTTCTCAAGAATAGCAAAGCCATAATTGATCATATTTATATGGAAGCATCCTCAGGTAGCGTAGATTCAAGTTTGTTCACATAATGACCCCCAGGGGTAGGGCGGGGCCAAAATGGCCGACCAAAGTGATACATAGAAATATATAGGAAAATTCTTTAAAAATCTTCTCAAGAATAGCAAAGCCATAATTGATCATATTTATATGAAAGCATCCTCAGGTAGTGTAGATTTGAGTTTGTTCAAATCATGACCCCCAGGGGTAGGGCGGGGCCAAAATGGCCGACCAAAGTTTTACATAGAAATGTAAAGGAAAATTCTTTAAAAATCTTCCTCTCAAGAATAGCAAAGCCATGATTGATCATATTTATATTGAAGCATCCTCAGGTAGTGAAGATTCAAGTTTGTTCAAATCATAACCCCCAGGGGTAGGGCGGGGCCAAAATGGCCGACCAAAGTTTTACAAAGAAATATATAGGAAAATTCTTTAAAAATCTTCTTCTCAAGAATAGCAAAGCCATAATTGATCATATTTATATGGAAGCATCCTCAGGTAGTGTAGATTCAAGTTTGTTCACATAATGACCCCCAGGGGTAGGGCGGGGCCAAAATGGCCGACCAAAGTGATACATAGAAATATATAGGAAAATTCTTTAAAAATCTTCTTCTCAAGAATAGCAAAGCCATAATTGATCATATTTATATGGAAGCATCCTCAGGTAGTGTAGATTTGAGTTTGTTCAAATCATGACCCCCGGGGGTAGGGCGGGGCCAAAATGGCCGACCAAAGTTTTACATAGAAATGTAAAGGAAAATTCTTTAAAAATCTTCCTCTCAAGAATAGCAAAGCCATGATTGATCATATTTATATTGAAGCATCCTCAGGTAGTGTAGATTCAAGTTTGTTCAAATCATGATCAAGTGAGCTTTTCTGATCACATTTTGTCCGACGTCCGTCTGTCTGTCTGTCTGTCCGTCTGTCTGTCTGTCCGTCTGTCTGTAAACTTTTCACATTTTCGACTTCTTCTCAAGAACCGCTGGGCCAATTTCAACAAAACTTGCCACAAAGTATCCTTGGGTAAAGGGGATTCAAATTTGTTCAAATGAAGGGCCACGCCCTTATTAAAGGGGAGATTATTGGGAATTAATGAAAATTTGGTGGCATGTTTTAAAAATCTTCTCAAGAACCACTGTGCCAGGAAAGATGAAACTTATGGGGAAACATCCTCAGGTAGTGTAGATTCAAGTTTGTTCAAATCATGACCCCAGGGGTAGGGCGGGGCCAAAATGGCCGACCAAAGTTAACATAGAAATGTATAGGAAAATTCTTTAAAAATCTTCTCAAGGATAGCAAAGCCATGCTTGGTCTTGGGACTAGATTTGGATTTAAGCTTTTCAAGTATAAACCAATTCTGCTTTTTCCTAGCCACAGTGCTCAGGTGAGCGATGTGGCCCATGGGCCTCTTGTTAATCATACGGCAAAGCGATTTGCGTCTGTATTAATTCCTTTGTTGTACTACCGGTGAATAAGAGATGCTGTTTATTTCCTCACCATTGACAGCGCTCGTGTTCTGAACTTTACATAAACTACATTTTATGAAGCATATTTTTTTCTGGTTAACAACAAATTAAAAACGCCCGTGACATCTTTCATAGTTTCTAATCTTTGTAGTTTGTTCATATGAACTTTTTTTTTGTTTTGCACTCCATTGACATGATCATAGATAGACCTGAACCACGTCTTCGAAGTAAAATGTAAACATATATTTGGCGTAAGCGTTGATATTCATTAAACGATTGGTTTATTGCTCGTGGTAAGATCCTCGGTGCGCATAAATAACAACAGCCATATAAGGTAAACAAAGGTTTGTCAGTGTAGATAATATATACATTCTTTACCAGCGTCGCTAGTGAGCTCTAATTTTCATCGTAAATTATGATAAGATATATTGTTATTTTAACCCCCCTCCCCTTTCGCCACCTTTTTCTGTTTAAAATCATGAAAGTCATTCAGAAGGGTCTGGAAACACATTTTTCACAGGACCTCAGGGTTTAGGGTGAAACTGCTGGTGTTCTGAACTTGACATAAACTACATTTTATGAAACATATTTTTTCCAGTTAACAAAACAATTAAAAACGCCCGTTACATCTTTCATAGTTTCTAATCTTTGTATTTTGATCATAAGAATATTTTCTTTTTATTTTGCACTCCATTGACATGATCATAGATAGACATGAACCACGTCTTCGAAGTAAAATGTAAAAACATATATTTGGCGTAAACGTTGCTATTCATTCAACGATTGGTCAGCTGTTGGTAATAAGATCCTCTTAAGCTTGTGCTCAATAATAACAATAGCCATACATTTAGCAAACAAAGGTTTGTTGGTGAAGATGATATTACAGTTTTTTAAACCAACGTATCGGTCACTAGTGAGCTGTAATTTTCCCCGTAAATTATGATAAGACTTGTTAATATTTTAACCTCCTCCACCCTTTAGCCACCCCTTTCTACTGAAAGTCGTTCAGAAAGATCTGGATCAAAAGAAACAGACTATAACAATTTCCTGTTTATTACCAATTTGTTTATAAAACGGGTTCTTCTCTATAATCTTTGAATAGGTCAACTTAAACCAAGTGTCTTAAATTTAAATCACAATAATAATAGTAGGGATGACGATGAAAAGCCAATATATGTTCTGTTTGCGCAAAAATAAAATCCGGAAAAATAAACGTTACTGTTCAATTTCCAGTTTTATTGGTTTTAAAGATATATGTGAAATTTAATACAAATTTTTAATGTGAAACCTTGAACATTTATTATTTGTAATTTTTTAACAAAAATGTACCAAAGTCCTAGAGGAAAATTGACATATTTGTTATTACGACTTTTTGTTGCTGTAACGTAGCTATGGAGAAGGTGTACCTTGGGTTATATTTATAATAAAAATGATATGTTTAGTCATAGCTTAACTGTGATTCTGATTGATTTATCGGAGTTTAACGTCAAGGAAACTTTGACTTTGTCAAAGTCTACATTTGTTTACATTTTGTACTAGATTCTCATCTGTTACTATCTAGTAACTTTGTTGTTGTTACTTAATTCTTGTTTCTTTTTATCTATGACTTGTTATTTATTAGTAAACTTAATTCTTATTTATAACTTCAATATTTCATAATGATTTAAAACAATTGAAAGAGCTTAAGACCTTTTTGATCTTGTCGATAGTATAAATTTAAAGGCAAAATATATTTTCCTCTCTAAAATTACTCGTAACATCTGTTTTCTACACCGCCTTTTTGTTTAAATTAACATGTGATAAGAAATAGAAAATAAAAAAAATTAGCAATTAAGTCATAAGAACTAAGTCAAAAGACATGTGAAGTAAGTCAATGTCTTTCCAACATATCATTTTCAAAATAAATATATGCCAAGCTATACTTTCTATAGCTAAGGTACACTTAATTATAGCAAGATACAAAAAGGTCATGATAATTAAGTCACAAACATTAAGTTATTAAGCTATCCGTTTTCGTCCGTCGTCGTCAGTCGTCCGTCATGTGTTAACATTTCAACATTTTCAGCTTCTCTGCAACCACTCAGCCAATTTTGACACAACGCATCCATAGATGAAAGGGTATAAAAATTAAGAATTTCAGGGTCCCTGCCCCCCTAGGGCCTGAGGGGTAGGACCAAGAACAATAAAATGAATGCAATCTTTAAAATCTTCTTTACTCCAGGACATGAAGCAGTCAAACTGTTGGCATGATTGTAATCAGCATTGAGTCTTCTACCAAAATTGTGAATTTCATGGTCCCAGGGTCATGGATTCTGGTGTTACATGTAGGGCGGGGTTCTATTAATTATATGGTGAAAAGTCATAAATTCTTTGAAATTTTTTTCATTGCTCCTGGGTATTAAATAATTGACCAAGTACATAGTTATGATGAGCAAGAATGTCTCTTCCAAAATTGTGAATTTCATGGCCATTGGGTTGGGGGGTCTTGTGTTAGGGAGTCTCTTTTGATAATATAGAAAAAATACATGAATTCTTTGAAAATCTTCACTGCTCCTGGGTATTGAAAAACTAAGTACATAGTTATAATGAGCGAGAATGTCGTAAATTGTAAATTTCATTACCCAGGGTCAGGGTTTATGGTGTCAGGGTGGGGCTCTATTGATTATATTGTGAAAATGCATAAATTCTTTTAAAATCTTCACCTCTGCTTCTAGGTATTAAACCAATGAACTAAGTGCATAATTATGATGACGAAGGATGATTATTCCCAATTTGTGAATTTTAGAGTCCCTGGAACAGGAGTTCTTATTAGGGCGGGGCTCTATTGATTATATAGTAAAAATGCATGAATTCTTTGAAAATCTTTTCCTTCGCTACTGGGTATCAAGCCAATGATCTAAATATACAGCTCAACGCACTTTTTAAGCTCACATGGTTTTTTGCACAAATTAAGGTCACATTTTTCTTGCAATAAAACTTAAAATAATCGAGCTTTTGTACAAGACATTGACGTTATATTATCAAATATTTCATGTTAAAGGTCACATTCTCTAAAATCATTATATTAAGTTTTTAACCTCGATGTTTATAAAGGGAATTTGTTTACAAACTGTATGATGTTACATATGTATGATTCTGTCAAAGGTATTAACAAATTAATTAATCGATCTTTCCTTGATCTATTTAGTTGAAATGTTCAAATTGACTTCGTACAGATGAGTATTTTTCTAAGTACTTTGCACATTTTCCATACTTGTCTCGATTTTGTCGAAATGCAGCGCCGAAAAATGACAAAACTGCATAATTTAAAGGAATCATGTCAAGGTATAGGATTATAGTATTGTTTAATTTCCACACAGTAAATTGTTACTATTGAAAAGAAAATTCTTTTTTTTATGGTCTGAAACTTTGAAATTTTGTGTTGGAAGGTATCTTTCATGATGCTAGATTTCAGAAAGTTGACCTTAATAAATCCATCTTTTTAACATGAAAAACAGTCGAACAGATGAAAAATACTTCTATCATCTTGCGCCTTGGTGCCATATCAATGTACAAAAAATACAGAAATTACATGAACTGCACTGTTTCTGTATTTAGGCAAGGCAAAGGTATGCTTTAAACTAAAATAAAAATTAAGTTAAAAATCACTTTTAAAATATGATTTGTTCTCATGTTACGCAATTTTGCATTATAACAATGTGACCTTAATTTGTGCGAAAAACAATGTGAGTTTAAAAAGTGCGTTGAGCTGTATTTATGATGAAGAAAGGTGCCTCATTCAAAATGGTTAATTTCAGGACCCCTGGGTCAGGAAAACCAGGAGGGGGAGATTAGGGGGAACATAGTCCGAAAACTAATTAATGCTTTGGAATCTGCTTTTTGGTATTATTCAACCATTTATGATGAACTAAAATTTCCAGATTTTGAAATGTGTGGCCCCAGGGTCAGTAGTTGCATTGGGATGGGGTGCACAACTGTTGGTTATAAATTGGAAATATATAAGTAACCAAACTAAGCATGTCAAGTGTATAATTATCATAAACAATGGTGCCTCTTTCAAATTTATGAATTTGACATGGCTTTTGATTTGTAAAAAACACGAACCAACTTTAATGGTTTGAAATCGTTACATGATACTTAGGTGACCTATAAGGCCCATGGGTCTCTTGTAATAAATGCTAGTAAGTAACAAATGAGACAATGTCCCTCCAGGGCTGTCGTAGTAATGACATCAGATAACGAGAAATCAAAGTTTTGTATTATGTTTCAAAGAGTTAGAATTGTATTTCTTGCAAATGGCTTCGTCAAATGCGCTTTAGGCGCACAGGAACGTTATAACTTTTGTAGGAAAGTGGTCTTTAGAGACAAAATATAACTTAGAATAAACAGCATACAATACAAAGTTAGCAGAGAAGTTGTTTATGTATGACATAAAAGAATCAAGGACAGTACTAGATTTTGTCTCTTTTCAAAAAATCAAACCATAAGCGATTGACTTAATGAGTCTCTTCTTAAAGAGTGTTTTGCCATCAATGAGATGCTTATGATACTCGTGTTATGCAGAAGGGAAGGAGTTAAATATGAACATGACGTTTTAAGGGACGTTAATTATGCTTGCTTACGTGCTCAGGAGAATATCTAAAAGCCTTTTAAACTTTTGCACAAATTTCCTTTTTAATGGTTTATTATCATGTGACATGATATTCGTGAAATGAAATAGTTTTTCAGTGTGACCATAATATGCCATCATGAAGTACATAGCTTTCCCTGTCTAAGACTGGATTCACCCTCGTACATGTTAATAAGAAACAAAACATCTTTTCAATGACCATGATTTTTTGTATTTCATACAATCACTGACTTGGTTTTTGATGATTTATAATGATCTTATTGTCTTTCCTACGCAAATTATGTTTTGTCTGTCGAAAGAGGTTGTAAAATAGTTATGCCCCATCCCCAAAATAATTGGAATTTTTCTAAGTCCAAGGGCCAGAACTCTGTCAAAAATGGCTCGACTGCACCCAAAACAGCAGTTGGCCTAGAAATTAACTGAAAAATCTGTGTATCAAATTTCATTTCAGTATTTGGAACGGTTGTGAGGATAATGAACGAAAACGTTGACCGACAGACAGCAGCCATGCAATATGCCTCCCTTCTTCGACGGGGGGGGGGGGGGCATAACAAATAGTATATATTCCAATAAAATTTGCCTGTTGATACTTTTTCAGGCAGTGTAATTTCAGACGATTTAGAGTACCTTTGATTACCGTCAACAATAACGTCGCTGTAAAAAAAAAGTAAAATGACACTAATCATGCAAATATATTTAAAAGATAATCACAGTAATGCTTAGAAAGAAGCCATGAAGCCTCAAGGGCGTTTTCACTCCGGACCAAAAATGCATGACTTAGGGTCTACATGGAATGAAGTGTTTGTTGTATTAAAACTATGAGGACGGTCGACGTAAGTCTTTAAGTCCATCTGCCCTGCAATGTAAGGCGACTTTTCGAGGTCTGAAATTTGAATTGGATCGAAAGTGACGAAAACTGGCGATATTTAATGTGTCCCTCAGTCAAGAGTGATTTTGCAAGTTTAGAAAAACATTGAGATTTTTTTTTTTGTAATTGCAGACTAGAATCGTTCAGGGATGATGTCCTCATATGTATATTTGTTTTTTTCTTTACACTTACTCTATGTACATATGCATACCATGGACTTTTGTTGTGTAAACTTGTATTTAATTATTTAAAAAAGATATTAATTTATTTAGTAATTATATATGCTACATTATTTGACAGGTATGGATATGATTATGAACAGGCATTGCCATGAAGACTTTTACGTTGAAGAGTCAGGAAAAAAGCTTTTCAATAGAGAACGAGGTGACCCCCATTCTAGCAGTGATTTTATGCGCTTAGATGGCACAATTAGCAACACTTCTCTGACAAAACCACTCATGTACTGGGAAGTTAAATGTCATTCTTCAAACGTCAAGAAAATTGAAACTGAAAAAAGCGTTGCAGTCACTGGAATTTGCTTGGCTAGAGACGTTGACAGAGTCGAAGTCCTTACCCGGAATTACAACTCATACCTTGCTGGTCTGGGAAAGAATTCACGAAATAGGCTAGATATTTTTTTCTCAAAGGAGGGTAAAGAGATAAAAAGTACAGAATTATCATGGATTAAAGGAAGAGATGTGGACGTCCACTTGGGTTTTCTTTTGGATTTACGTAAAAGAACATTTTTTGTTATTGACGTATATGAAAATGATCTTCTGTGTCAGTTCTATTCCATAAAACCTCCAAGAGAGGACAATCCGTACATTGCAGTCTTTGAGTTAACTCAAGATGGGGACAGTATTGAACTTATTTCTGGAAAAGAAATTCAAGAATTTCCGTCTGTGTTGTTTGATCTCATATGAACTCTATTTTTATTTAAATCTCAAACATCAAGACAAAGTAATTCAGTATCACATTACATGGAATTGTCTCCCTGATTCAACACACAAGGCTGTTGACAATTCAATTTTACATTTTTTATGATTTTATATACTAATTGATTCTACCTCGAATTTATTTAATAGAATAGCCTTTGGTAGTATTTTTACAATGTTTATGCATCTATCTTACAACAATTAACTTAGTAGAGTATACTGAACCTATTATGTCACACTTTATAAATGTTTTCCTGATAACATTATATCCCATGAAACTGAACTAGCAGTCACAGATATGCAGAAGTTAATCAGAAATATATATTAGCATTATGTGCATTTATTATAATCAATATATTATAGTGTTTCATGTCCTGTTTCTAAGCTTTAATATTTTTTTTTTCAAAAGAGTTACTTCCCTCTCTTTTTAAAAATTAGAATATCATTTTTGTTTAATCTAACGTCACAAAAACAGTTTGCGATTGTTTACCTATTTCTTTCTGTTTAACGCATATTTTCACCTAGGTATATGTTGATTTCTTGCATTTGTTTTTCAAGAAAAAATAAGACTTGTCCCAATAAACTTCAATGCAATCTTAATATTATTTTTTACTTCTTTGTTTTTTTTTTTTTTCATTTTTAAAAATCGTTCATAGTAAACGCTGGTCAAAGCATTATCACATAAAGATATGTGACAGATATACCATTTAGATATATCATACAGAATTTTGAGGAAAAAAAAAAAGTAACAAAAACAACGAAAAACTAAAGCTTGTAGGAATACTTATCCTTGGGGGAAGAGGATTCAGATTAGATGGACGGACATCCCGACTCTTTATCCTACCAGCTATAACTGGGGGGGAGTAAAAAGAGTTTGGGCAATCACATTAGAATAGTCTCCGTCGCTTCAAACTTGGACGAGCTCGATAATTTTTTTTCTTAATCTTGAAAGCTTTTTAGCTCACCTGAGCCCTTGGCTCAAATAAGCTTTTCTGATCACATTTTGTCCGGCGTCCGTCTTACCGTTTCCGTCTGTCTGTCCGTCTGTCTGTAAACTTTTCACATTTTCGACTTCTTCTCAAGAACAGCTGGGCCAATTTCAACTAAACTTGCCACAAAGCATCCTTGGCTGAAGGGGATTCAAGTTTGTTCAAATGAAGGGTCACACCCTCATTCAAGGAGAGATAATTGGGAATTAATGAAAATTTGGTGTTATGTTTTAAAAATCTTCTTCTCAAGAACCACTTTACCAGGAAAGATGAAACTTTTGGGGAAACATCCTCAGGTAGTGTAGATTCAAATTTGTACAAATCATGACCCCCGGGGTAGGGCGGGGCCACAATGGCCGACCAAAGTTTTACATAGAAATATATAGGAAAATTCTTTTAAAATCTTCTTAAGAATAGCAAAGCCAGAATTGTTCACATTTATCTGGAAGCATCCTCAGGTAGTTTAGATTTAAGTTTGTTTAAGTCATGACCACCGGGGGTAGGGCGGGGCCACAATGGCCAACAAAAGTTTTACATAGACATATATAGGAAAATTCTTTTAAAATCTTCTTCTCAAGAATAGCAAAGCCATAATTGATCATATTTATATGGAAGCATCCTCAGGTAGTGTAGGTTCAAGTTTGTTCAAATCATGACCCCCGAGGGTAGGGCGGGGCCACAATGGCCGACCAAAGTTTTACATAGAAATATATAGGAAAATTCTTTAAAAATCTTCTCCTCAAGAATAGCAAAGCCATAATTGATCATATTTATATGGAAGCATCCTCAGGTTGTGTAAGTTCAAGTTTGTTCAAATTATGACCCCCAGGGGTCTTGAGAAGATGATTTCTTAAGAGCATCTGCGTTTTCATTATGGCGGCCTGGTCGGAATTTCACATCAAAGTTAAACATAGCCAACTTTGAAATCCTGCGTTGTTCAATTGCACTGAGGTTTGATGTGTTAAGATGACACAACGGGTTGTTATCAGTGAACACTGTGAATTTTGATCCCAATAAGTAATCTTTGAATTTTTCTGTTATTGCCCAGGTTAATGATAGTAATTCCAGTTTTGGCGAACTATAATTTTGCATGTTCCTTTCACTTGGTCTCAAGGATCTGCTAGCATAGGCGATGACATGTTGTTTTCCGTCTTTGACTTGCGATAAAATGGCTCCTAAACCTAACATACTTGCGTCTGTTTCAAGAATAAGCGGCTTTTGGAAATCTGCATATGCTAAGATAGAAGAACTCACGAGAAGCTTTTTCAATGTAGTAAACGCATCGTCACACTGAGAATTCCATTTATTTCCAAACGGTTTCCTTGGATAAGGTGTAAACTGCTGGGACAACTTGTGTAATGGCGATGCTATATTACTAAATCCTTTCACAAAACGTCTATAGTATCCCGCTAATCCAAGAAATGACTCGAGTTTTTTCACAGTTGTCGGTTTTTCAAAATTTTGCACAGCACTTATTTTTTCTGGGTCAGTTTTGATTCCCTCGGAGGATATGACATGTCCGAGATAACGAACTTCGCTTTTAAAAAAATGCACTTTGAAATTTTCAAGTTTAATCCATGTTTCCGGATGATTCTAAGCACTGTCTCTGATCGCTTCAAATGTTCTGAGATGTTTTCTGAATAGACGATAATGTCGTCCAAAAACACTAGTAAAATGTTAAATATTTCATCCCTGAAGCAGTGTTGCATTAACCTCTGAAACGTCGCAGGGGCGTTGCACAAACCAAACGGCATACGAAGATATTCATACAGACCCATTGGAGTTGTGAATGCCGTTTTTTCGATATCATCTTCATGGACAGCTACTTGGTTATAGCCACAGGTAAGATCCATTGTCGAGAAAAATTTTGCACCGCATAGAGCATCAAATGATTCTTCTACTCTGGGTAGTGGATAGGCATCTTTGTGAGTTTTGCTGTTAAGTTTACGGTAGTCCACACATAAGCGGAGCGAATTATCTTTCTTTCTGACTAACACAATCGGTGATGCGTAAGGACTAGTACTCTCCCTTATAGTATTGTTGTTCAACAATTTACGAATATGTGATTTCACTTCCTCATATTGTGATGGGGGTATTCGTCTGTAAGGTTGCACTATAGGCTGATCGTCTGTTGTCCGAATAGTATGTTTTATGGCTGTAGTATATCCTATGTCATCATCATTTTGAGAGAATACATCTTGATTTCGGTAGAAAAGAGTGCGAATTTCTTTCATCTGTGCAGGATCTAAATTCAACTTTTCTATTTCCGGTGGAATTTTGAAATCTCTTGTCACTTCCTCTGAATTTGTGGTTTCACTGCACATAAATTCTTGTTGAACAAAAATCTCTTCAGCATTTCCTTTTCTAGTGAATTCGATGTTAGATGAATTTTCAAGTACATCGCCATTGACAAGAACGGCAACTCTTGTTCTGGGTGCTAACCACACATCGTCAGTACCAATATTTGCGATACGAAAGCATAGAAATCCACGGTTCACTTTACTAAGAGTCCGGACAACGATAATGTTTGATGACAAATGCTGAGTAGATGTTAAAGGTTCTACCATGGCTTCATACAGTCTTGGCATCTTTGGTGCTGTACCATTGATAACAGTCACAGATTTTCCCGGAATGCGTACTGGAGACTTTGCACAGACTTTAACATATCCTATGACATCACGTTTAATATTTCTGTAACATGCTTTGAATTGTTCCTTTAATTTGTAATTTGCTGAAATTTCTTCAACTTCTTCTGTGTACTCTGCCCCTGTTGTGTTTCTAATAGATTCTTACACAGTGAAATCGTGTTCATTCCCAGAATGGCCGGAATGTTTTCTTTACGCTGACGTGTTTCTAAATCAACGGAATTTTTCACAACTAACACACCCACTTGCTCTAACTGTTGACCCATGACCTCAATGTTGACCTCGATGTATCCAATAAACGGTACAGAAAGTCCGTTAGATGCTTTCAAACAAAAGACAATCTCTGTATTTAATTTGGTTGCTGACTACAGATGTTTCTCATAAAATGATTCTGTCACTGTGGAAACTGATGATCAAGTATCAACTAAACAATTAACATTAACACCATTCATTGTCACAAATACTGAAGGACATTTACCAACTAAACGTGCGTTCATTTTCCATGAGTCCGTTTCACTGCCCTCTATAACGGGACCCGGCATTACGAAGGGCTTTTGTTTTCCTGTTCAGAATTTGTAGAATTCGGTTTTGTTGGGCATTCGTTAGCTTTGTGTCCCTGCTTTCTGCATCGGTAACATGTAAGCATGGTAAGTGGTCGATCATAATACCAGTTGTTGTCGTAGTATTTTTGTTTGGAATTGACAGCTTTTGTTAAATTTTCTATCTGACACGATTGTTTCTTCAATGCGTCGGTAAGTCCTTTGATTTTCTTTTCACTTTCACTTTCCGTTTGCTTCGGTATTTTTTCTGTCGATATATACTTCAGTTTTCTTTTCACTCTCGGACTCCCGGTTTTGTTCAATTGATTTCTTCTCCAGTGATTCTTGAAACGATACTTCGCCATGTTCATCTTCTTCTGACCAGAGTATAGCCTCTTCTCTAAGTTCCCTAAATGTGATATCCGGTTGCGTGATCAAAATACGTTTTAGATGTTTCCGTAGATACTGGTCTCTGACATTTTCTGAAAAGTGTTCACATAATGTTCTATCTTGGTTTCCGAATACTGATGAGTCTTTCCGAGTAATTCTTTAAATGATATCCATCAGACCGTAAGAATATTGACGCAGTGTTTCAGTTTCATTCTGTTTTCTGTCAAGAAATTTCTTCTGTAATTTAATAGCACTGTCTCTATCACCGAATACATCCCGCAAAATTTTAACCATATGTAGAGGATCTTTTCGTACATCACCTGACAAATACTTGATTTCGTCTCGCGCATTTCCAGATAGATTTTGGTAAATTAGATCCGCCCCTTCTTCCTTTGTCATACCACGTGCTATACATATTGAACATTTTCTATCCAGTCCTCTATATCCATGTTATTGCCGGTGAATTTCGGAACAGTGCGATCTCGCTGCACATAAACAGTTTTTGGTTCTTTTGGTTCGTAATTTGTTTTCCAGCCCATTTCGCTAAGTTGATTCTGCAGACCTTTGATTTCTTTCTGTAACGACTTTACAGTTGAATGACTCGCCATTGTAACAGCCGAGAATGGTATCACTATCAGTACGGGTAGTTTACGCTCGAGTAAACATTCCTTTCCCACGATGTTTCATTGATGTAATGGAATTTGAAGTTCTACTTACGTTGTTGGAATTTTACATGTAATTTTCCGTTGTCACCACTAGCCATAATTGCTTTAGTTCCCGGCGACGCCAAATGTAACCAAGCGGAGATGGAAAACGCAGGTTCAGTTTAATAAATTTATTTGGAAATGAAAAAGCAATGGCAGATCTACAAATACAAAAACATATATACAATATCATAATACACATAGACACTGAGACAAAATACTTTTATTTCCTATTCACTTCAAAAATAAGAAAATTTAAGTTTACTAAGCCAAAAACGTCAATTTCATAGTTTAAAATACCTTTCTCTCAAAAATATGAAAAATGCTTGAGATTATAACTTGGACTTAATAAATAAAATACAAAAATTTAATACACTAAGAAAATTACCTTTCAAGTGGTGACAAGGCAGCTGGTAATAGGTAAGTTAAGTTTCCCGCACTGACAGGGATGGGCCCATGCCTCAGTATATATAGCAGAAAAACCGGTTAAACAAGGGGGTACAAATTTACTGGCCAATGAGATTTTGTGAGTAGAATTCAAGAATGGAGACTACTACCAAGTATGGCATAAAGTAAATTATGGCTCAGTAAGTTATTCAATAAAGATAAAAAAATATTTTAAATAAATATGACTCTGCCACAAAAGATATAGTGAAAATTCTTTGAATCGAATTTCTTTATTTTTTGTGCAATACAAATCTGCAAGAAAAAATTATCATTTTAATTAACGTAAAATTGCATTAAAACATATCAATAGAGGTAGTCTTTTTTAACAAAGGTTAAAGCAAATATCTTTCAAAATAAAATATCCGTGCTATATTTATTAAATCACAATTATGTCAGCTATAATATCTACCTCTTCAGCATTTTGGGAGTGAACACGATTGCATTCTATACTTATGTGTTGTTCCATAGCAGTAGTGACCACCACATTGCGGTCGAGGATTGGAACATGATCGTTCTCTGGGCATCAATTTTTAACCTTCTCCACAAGTCTTCAAACACCCTCCAACTGAATCCCAAGATCCCCAATTACTCCATTTTCCATTGACTAGAAATTCAAGGGTCATTTAGTTAAATCACTAAATGAACAAATGTAACAAAGTTAAAACAATCTTTTTCGTTTTCGTTTTTCAAGAAGTTGTATTCCTTGCTTTCTTACCCTTTAAAAGACATGACCTGATGGTATCGATTTGTCTACTGCTTCCATAACATCTCCCTCCATTTTAGGCCTTGGATTATTACACAGTCGGAATCGCCTCCTTGTTTGGTATTCGATGCAAGAGTAACCACTTTTTCGCTTGCAGTAGCTCCATGAACCCCAGCTGTGCCAAGTATTCCATCCTCCATCAACTAAGAGATCAGTTACAAGAAAAATAAAACTACAGTGAAACCTGTCTAATCCGACATGCACTGGGAGATGAATTTTATGTCGGAGTAGACAGGATGTCGGATGAAACAGTTACAAAAACATGGAAACAGTAAAATGGGAACCAAATATAACGTTGGAATTTACAGTGTGACGGATTACCCAGGTTTCGGATTAGACAGTTTTCACTGTAATAATTAATTGCATTTTCTTCCGGTTAATTATATTTATACAGTACCTTTCTCATGAAAATGACATTCATCCCACTAGGTACATATAAAACAAAGCATTTTTAGTGATTTTGAGTTCTTTTTAGTTTTACTTTTTGCGTCACTATATTTAATGTTGATTATTAAAAAAGTGAGAAAGGTTCAAGGGAGCCGACAAGGGTTTTATTGTGTGAAAGTTGCAGTAGAGAAACTCTTTAATTTATACAATATAGTATATAACATGCCAAGTTTGGGTAAAATCTACCGCCCAGGTATTTTTAGGGAACCTTCTCAAAATACAGGTACATTTACTTTAGGATTATATACCAGGAAAGTTCCAATTTTTAGCACTTTAGAGCAAACATAAAACAAACTATAATATATGATGAGTAATATCATACTAGTATTGTACTTCATATGTAAGAAACACAAAATTCTACTGTCTTGTTACTAATTAATTAATTTTATTAATTAAGCGAACAGGTAAAACAGTAAATGCTCTTTATTTTACCTTGATGTATGCGAAATTTTGCGCGATGAAAATACCACTCGGCTCCATTAAATGATATTTTTTTCCGACATTACCTCTACATCGAACTTTGCATGAATAATATGTTACTTTATTCCAATAACTGCAATAAATATAAATTATATTGTTGGTATGACAATAATAAAACCTTATAAATTTGAAATCAACATTCAATAATAACATATGTATTATAAGGATATTATAAGTATGTTTAGATTTCAGCACAATTACATGTTATTCAAAGATATATTGCCAGATAAAAACAAGAAGTAAATTTGACCATACAGATTAGAGTTTTTGATAAAATGAATTAAGCATCTCACGTTTTTCTCACTGTACATCGTTTTCGCCACAATCACCCGCATGCTCTATAACGTGTGGTCACCCATCGGCTCTTTGTTGTACATTTCGCATCTCGTAAACCAGTCAATGAATCGCAATGACTAGATGCAGATCTATAAGAAGGACAAGAAAGACATTTTGTGTAATATACTGCACAATTATTATATGTATAATACTATCCTTCTAAGAATCAAAATGGAAGAATTGTTATTATTTTGAATTGAAAAGAAAAAAAATGCAAATACACCTGTAAAGTATCACAAGAGGTGTGTTTGATCAATTGTAGGCTATCAAGCCAGATATCATGTAGCATCAATAGTTCATTCTATAATAATTTATATTTTTGGTATGGGAAATTGAAAGGTAATGCTAACAACTTTACAAATGATTTGCATATCCATTCAATCTCTTCCTTATACGAACATTAAAAAAGAACGTTAATTATTAAACAATATAACCTGTATACTCTGAGGTTTTTATTAAATGTAATAATGTTTTCTCTTTAGTTATTTATTCCTAAATTTATGAATGATCATTTCCCACTAGCTTATGTCGTCTTAATTTTGACGACGTTAAGCTGAACCAGATTTTTTTTTTATTTATGCCCAAGTTTGCATTAGGATCATCCTTAAATTCTTAAGAATATTTCAAATGTTTCTATGACATGTACAGTGTATAGGAAAGTTATGTTGCTTACTGCATAACATCTATTATCAATATGACACAAGATTCTGAATAAAACCTCTTAATTGTGCCTTTTCTCAAAAATATAACAGAGAGTACAGTTAAATAAGCTGCAACAATGAAATGCATGGATACAATACTTTTTTTTTGCAAATGATGCAAATCTTAATAAGAACTGCTGTAATTTCCGATAGTTCTGCTCAGCTTTCTTACTTTTTGCCTTCCTCTTAAAGGTGCTTTGACACAATTTTTTCTCAAATTTTCGGTATAATATAATAACTTATATATTGTATCTAGCTTTGGCATATCACAAAAAATAATATAAAAGGGTGATTTATTTGCAAATTATTGAAACTACAAAATTCGGGATGCATTTTATCGACACATCCTTGCACTTTCAAGAAGTAAAATTGGTCCCTAATACTTAAGAAAAGTAACAATTTTTTAGTGTATAAATGATATATATGCAATTTAACTTACTCAACATAAATAGAGCTCTTGCCCTTTTTACAAAATCAACTTCCGTTTTAGAAATTCGGAGCTTCACAGATTTTCAGATAAAATATTTTAAATATTGCCGTGTTAAATGCTAAAACAACATACATGTTTGCCATGATTGTTATACCGAAAGTCTATGAAAATATTTCTTCAAATCTGTGTCCAAGCACTTTTTAAATATTTTTACAAAAATAAATCTCTTTATATGACATTTTTGATAAATCTTTTTTAACAAAAAAACTTCGAATACATATAACTTATCAATTTTGATTTATGGAGAGAAGCCTACTATGAAACATGTAATGAACAAACAATAGTTAACCTCAACGTCAAATAAGATAGCAAAACAAGGGGTCAGAGCTATCACCAACCTCTTAACCATTATAGTCATGATCAAAAGCCACAGAGGTGTAAGTTTCCCCTGGCGACTGGTCACATCCGCCGCGTGTTCTTTTTAACGATCAAGTAGACTAAAAATCCGCAGAGATTGTGAGTGCGAATAGTTATTGATGGGGCAGTTGATAATTTATTGTTTAATCCTGAGTCGGTATACAGTACATGTATTTCAGACATTAATCGGCAACTTACATGTAATATGAATTTTAAAAAAATAATGGTGATTATTGACGTCATACTCACTGAAAGTTTGAATTTTGTTCTCATTTTTTCTTTTCACGATTACTTTATTACTTCAGGGTTTTCCCCTAAAAAAAAGTCTATGAATTTTGAGAGAAAAAAAGTTATAACTCGTTACCTTCTTATGGAATGGCTTTCGCTCAATTTTGATTTGACAAAAAAATTAAATTATTTCGATTTATTTTCATTCAAATTTCAAAATTTTGTTTTTCTATTCTTCTTTTGATGATTTTAACTATATGCACTGTATATATTTTTTAAAAGAGGGTTTATTCTAGGACTGTTGAGTGTGAGGAAAATTGTGTAATACTGTATCATCAATATTTTAGAAATTATTCAAGAAAATAGTATTATCATGATATGTCAAGATTTTTATATTTTCTTTCACTGTATATGAAGTCAGTTTTAATGTATATACTTTTTTGTAAAATGTTTTTAAAAAGAAAAATTTTCAAATTTTAACAAGTAAACAATAAAGTTTAAGTATCTATTCCTGAAAGGAATAAAATGATTTTCATATCTAACATCATGGTGCATGATATTGAAATTAACTGCTAGTTTTCAAAGAATTTTGTACAGTTAGACTATCTCACACTCAGAAAGGAGAAATGTGTTTAATGAACAATCGATACAAATTAACACGTAGAAAGAATAATTAGGAGATGTTTTTTCTTGAAAAGAAATTTCTTGCAAAACAAAATGTACGTCCATTTTACAGTAGGGTTTCCACTTGTTGATGAATTAATTAACACAGATTCTTTGGTATAGAATTTCTGAATTAATAACTACAAAAGATTTTTACATACAAAATATTATCGCAGATCTCTGAGAAGAATTGTTTTCGGTTGACCTGCATGTACAGTGTTTATAATGATTTTCAAAGGTTAATTCTGTAATGTGTTAGTCTTACTTTTGCAGAATCAAAAGTTTCATGTATCTGTCTGTAAATATTATGAATGCAATTCCCAAGATTGTAAACAAATGAGAAACAAAGCATTGACCTCACCAAAAATAATATCACAGTACCAAGAATGCAAACAATAACTCCCTTCATGGTTGTTGATACAACGGAGACTGGTATGATGTTCGAAGCGAGCAGAATCTGCAGTTGGATCGCTTTGCATGTCCATTAAGTGACAACTTGCGTGATTATTATTTGTTTTAGTCTGTATGCATGTATATTTGAAGGCAATCCATGCTCTTGTCATGCACAATTTATCCAGGTATATAATCTACTGAATATGCCCAGTATACACTTAACACCAATATTGATATATGTGTACTCCTGTATTTAAAAGCACAGATGTTTCAAATGGCCACGAAACGTGAAAACCTACAATCATGCATGACAAAGGCAATAACACTAAAACATTATTTTTCATTCGTGTTGATATCATTATTTCTACATTTGAAAATTAATATAAGAAAGGAAATTTGTGTTCCCCCGGTCACAAAATCACATCCCCGAGTGAAGGAAAGCATATGAAAGACCCGGAGTTTGTTGCAAAGTTTGTAAATGTACATGTTAGCAGCTTGAAATCTTTTTTTTTTAAATTAAGATTGCTTTTATTGTTGCAAACCATCTTTAACTTGAAATTTTATTTTTTACCCCCTCCCTTTTTGAAACAGTTTCACAGTCTGGATGTCCGTGCTTCCTCTGCTCTTATTTTGTATTGTTTATGGATTTTTGAGCCTGAATTCTGTTCCTTATCTTCATGCACTACATTTCACTAAATAAACAAAGGCGTCATTACCTATTTACATGCAAACATGTCTTTAATCCATATTATAAAGGATAAAAAAAACTTGCGTATAATGATAATTGCGTATTGCTTTTATTACGTGTGTTCAATGTACATGTATATTAAACCGACAAATAACATTGTTAAATAAAGAAATGAAACATTTGGAGATAACGAACAGTATTCAGGATCAAAAGTCCATAAAACAATATAAAGTAAGAGCAGAGCAAACACGGACCTCAAAAACATAAGAGGTGGGATCAGGTGCCATGAAAAAGTGAGTATTCCCTGTCGACAGGTAACACCGGCCGTGTGCTCCGTCATGATCGGGGAATAACGGAAAAATCCCTCGTCAATCCAGTGTATAAATAATGAACTAACAATTAGTATGATAAACGCCAGTCAGCATTTAACTCAATGATAAATTGTTTTTGCTGACAATGTCATTGTATCGACCATAAAACTTACGAAATGATTACTTTAAACGAGACTGCTGATATTCTTGTTTCATCAACTTGTTCGTGAATAATTTACCTTGTTGTAGAAATTGTTCTTTCGCATCTAATCAACTGAGGAATGTTAACTTCGTATGCAGGCGATGAAGGTATATTGCCGCATAAGAACGGAAGCTGACGATAGAAAATTTTAAGACATCAAATTTATCATAGACCTTGGTTGTTAGATTACCATTAACGTCTTTTTCATGGAAAATATCTAAATGTAAAACAGACGTGAAAGACCCTGTGATACCTCAAGCTCATCAGGATATATCGTATTGACATAAGAATGAAAATTACCATGATTGCTTATTGACAGTATGTCGTCGATATATCTATATGTCGAGTTGAAGGCCACAACAAGTGTATTCTTCTTTTCATGCATACGATTTTGTACAATTCCTGCTTTATATGAATACAGAAATAGGTCTGCTTATAACGGGGCGCAATTGGTACCAATGGGAATTCCAATAGATTGTTGGAAGACCTATTCTCCAAAAACTACATAGATATTGTCAGTCAGAAAGTCAAGCATCTTTTTAATGTCGGAGTCAAAGTACTTGTATGTACAATCGGAGTGCTTTTTAACAAAATTGTTTTTTAAATGACCAATGACCAGGTAAGGAAATTACGAGTTCCATTTTTATCGAAAAAGCAGCTGTCAATCATATCGAAAAGCCTTGACTTTAATTTATCTTGAAGAACAGTTGTGTGTAAAGTTTAAAAGTCGTAAGCTGTTGATTTAGGTAAAATCTTGTGATTTCAAATTGTTCAAAAGTTCCTTGGAATTTTTATCTATCCATATCTGATTTACACCACTTTTTAATTACTAGTATATTGTTGCACAGTACTCGTGAGTTTCTCGTTCACTACTGTTAATATCTTAGTGAGGAGTAAAGAAAGAGACTTGTGCGAACATTTACTGGAACCCGCTATGTACCTTCGTTTGTAAGGATTCTTATTAATTTTCTGAATCCAATCACTCAGATGTTTTACAATGTAGATTTTGTGTACAAGCGTTGTATATACGATGTATGCATTTCATATGCATTATGAGATAGAGATATTAAATAGCTAGCCTAGGGCCATTTTTCTTTTTTAAAGTAACATAATCATCGCTCCGCTGGGTACAATATTTATTATTGTATCACTATGACTGTTCTGCTACAAAATATCCTTTCTTTTATTTTAAGGTTTACATTTCTATCTTTAAATGTCCTTAAAAAGCACCTGTAGATCGGGTGTCTTTGTTTATTATCAAAATGCTAAAACGTTATCAAGACTTCCGCACATTTGTAATGGAAAGATGTCGGATACTGTTCTTGTTTTATTACATGTAAGTATTTAATTTTTTTATGTTTCATAAAGGAGCGGAAAACAAACATCGATGAATTAGAACAAAAAATGTATTAATAGATAAATAGTAGAAAGTAAGTAAATGGTAACCCTAAAAAAAAAATTAACTTCTATCTGCTCGTGCCCCTCAATAAAACGTCTGATAACCTTTTTTGGCCTGACATCGATTTTTGGTACCTCATATTATTCAACCAATTTGGGCCTAAAGTGGAACATTTAGATGAACAATAACCAAAATCATCACAGTTAATGTATAATGACTGAAATATGCCTATATTGAAATATGTTGTTTTTAAAAATTTGCATTTAAATGTTGACGATATATAAACAAGAAACTCAGAAAAGTTTTAAAGATTCTTTTCTCTAGAAACATCATAAAACGGACATTCTAGCAAAAAAATGCAATGCATTTTCAGTCGAATTGAGTTGCAGTAATGACAGACTCTCTCACATCTGGATAGAATATCAGTGTAACCACATTTATTAAGTTTCCATTCAAATCTGCCCGTTTCTACCCTTAAGCTATTGTAGTGCCTACAACTGAAAATATATGACTCCCCCCCCCCCCTTCAAATCTATTTTCATTTTCCTGTAGTTTTCAAATAAAATAGCATGTAGCAATACTTAAATGAAATTTTTAGCACGAACGCCACATTGAACAATAAAAATTCCATGGCTAAAAATTAAGTAGCTAAAATATATTTTTTTCAATACTTATAGTATCTGACATCCTTAGAGAAAGCATATACTGAACTCAACACGGCGTTATTGATTTCATTTAGAAAGCAAATAATATAAATTCAATATTTCATCTTTGTTTTTTTCGCAAAGTGCTTTGCAACGAATGCAGTTCGTTCACATCAGACATTTGCATACTGGAGTTTTACTAGCTATCATTTCTTAAATTACGATACAGAGTTATCCTCAATACAGATGTTTTTTTCATTAAACCTCTCGAATATCTATGTCTAAATCAGGGAACCCTTGTTATGACTGACTTCAAATGCAGTGTAGACATTTAGTAATAAATAGAAATTGATTTAAATATACACTGTATATTCAACTCCAAAAAAACTTTTTTTTTTAATTTGAAATTACATGAACATTTTATCAAAACCAAAAATACCAAGAAGTGTGCTTTTTAAACTTTATTCAAGCAGTTCCAAATGAACTAATAAATAAATGTTCTGTAAATTTAAAAGCAATGTATTTGAGAACAGGTTGATGTAAGTAATACCATTTATTTTGCGATAAAAGGTCCTTTCAATATTGTTCCTGCTTACTGGAGCAGAACATAGGAACTGCTCAACGGTGGAGGATTGTGGCGGATACGAAGGAGCGGCTTGTACTGAAGGCCTGTGTCAGTGTGATGAACAATTCTTTGAGTTCATGGCAAATAATTGTTCTTTAGGTATTTTATCAATGCGAATTTAATTATAATTCTGATGTTTTAATATATATAAACATTTGCACATTTGAATATATATTTGTGCATAAGAATCAAGTACTTTCTAATACCTGTTATCAGCATATATCTACATTCTGTAGCTATTTGTTTTTCATACAGCTAATGAAAGACTTATTCAACCCCAAAATAATTAAAAAAGTATACATACATATTTTTTAAAAGAAAAATAATGGTTATTTTTTTTTATTAGTATTAATAGAATATAGTTTTATTATTTTTGAAAGAAAAACAGAGATGAGATTTTGTTTACACCCAAGAGGTTAGAAAAATTTCTTTTAGTCATATTTCACAAACTATACATGTATTTTTCTTAATGCTAAATATGTAAGGCATTGTCATTACTTGATATGAATCAACTGTACTTTTGATCATTCTTTTCTTAGAAAATACAAACATAAAGAGTACATAGACCTGTAAATGCCTTAATTGTTTTTGTATTTTTGGATTTTAGGTTAATTTGTATTAGAGAATTTTATTGAAAAGGATGTTTGTACTATTACTACAGAATTATAAGTTTTTGATGCTTGATCAAAATCTACTTTTAACGCAAAATTCACGCTATTATATTACAAATGTTAGATGTGGCGGTTTTTTTATTTAATGTTTTAAATTGGCTATAACCAACCATTTTAGTACCGACGGTTACAGTACCAGAAGACACTGCCGTTATCTATGGATACACAGCCAAACTGAATGCCACAGTTGTTTCACTACTACCGATTACTTCCTTTAAATGGCAAAAAATAAACAGTGGTATCCCAACAAATATATCGTTCGACGACGACAAATACGCACAGGACCTCACAATCAATAATGAAAGTTATGTTCTCTTCCTTCTTATAAACAATACAGAATTTCCTGATGAGGGCCAATATCGGGTTGTGCTGGAATTACCAGGAATTCTTCTGAAAAGCAAAATAATTTTTCTCAAGGTTACAGGAGGTAAAATATGAAAAAAACAGATATGTTTTTGGAATTCATACTAGCTTTCCTCTTTGCTTAAAAGAGATGTACTTCAGAATTTTAAGAGTCATTTTGATTTCTTATTGCATACATGAGATGAATTTCAAACAAAATCAATATTTTGTAGAACGACCAGCGGTTGCCCTATCAGAACCTCTTGAATCTTCGTCCACTATAACAATTCCATGTCTGGTCACAATCTCATCAGATTCCCCTCCGCTATTAGGAATTACCTGGTTAAAAAACGGAAGGTCTATAAATATCACGGGGAATTTTCGGAAATACAATGGAGGATCCTTGTCGAATCCCAACATCACAATACATAACGTGGATTCCAAAGATCAGGGAAATTATTATTGCGAAGCATGGAATGCCATAGGAAAGTCATCGAGTGATGTCATTACGTTACGTATGTATTGGTCAAAAATGTCGTGTCAGTTCGACATGTATTGAATATAGATGCATATTAAAACTTTAAATCACTTTTTATTCGCGAGAACTTAATTTTCGCGTAATTAAGAGAGGCAGGGTGCTCGCGAAAATATGGTTCTCGCGTATATTAGTATTCCTATGGATTATATAAGCCATCACCACAATTCGTCAAAATTTAGTCTCGCTCATAAAGAGACAATGACTATCTAGTGAAAATAAGGGGTCTCAAAAATTTAGTGATCTACAGTAACTATTATTTAATGGAATATTTCTGCGTTAGGATTCAGACTGGTGATCATTTCTGTTTTAATTTATTTTTATAAAATGATCATCAGATAGAGAAACATGTTTGAAAAGTTTTGTTAGTTTTCTTTAACTCCAGTGCAAAATGTCTATGCATTCAATATTTTTTTTTTTGCGATTTCCTTGTACATGTATAAAGATCATAACTATGAATTAAAATTGCATTATGTCACACAAAGACAAATTACATCATCCAGCGACAGCACTTCAAAATCATGCAATACCACATGTAGTCAATTAGATTTCCTATGTATATTATATGTTTTGCTTCAGGACCACCAATCATTTTCATTCACGGAAATAGTTCAGCTCCTCTAGGTGGAAAAGCAATGATTCTAGGAAACATGTCCTCTGTTTTATCTCTAACTGATATTAAATGGCAATCACAAATCGAGAGTAAGGGCATCCTGACCATCGACGTATTATCTGCTAAATACAATGGAAGTTCTACATCATTGGAAGCACCAATCCTTATTATCAACAATATAGATATGAATGACAACGCTACGTATGTTTTGATAGCATCTAATAAACTCGGAACTACAGTTAGCAATTCCATGCATCTGCAGATCATAATGGGTATGTACTAGTATTCTGTGTAAAAAAATTTTTGCAGAACCTTTGCGAAAAAAGGAATGAATAAATAAAGAAAAATAATTCCAAAGAAAATTCTTCTTCTTAATTACCTTATATAAAATAATTCGAAAAGAAATTTCTTTGTTAAAAAAATCATTTAACAATATTTGTCTCAAAATCTAATTTAATTTGACATTTTCAGTGCATTTTGTTCGGAATTTAAAAAATCCATACATTATAAACAATTATATATTGTATTTTAGTTTTTTCTCTCCAAAAAAATGTTTTAAACGTTCAAAAAGTGATAACATGTAAGGTTACTTTATCAGTTATTCATACAAAACAATTTACTTGTAAAATCATTTTTATTTACAGTGCCGGTGGTCAGTTTAAATGGACCGTCACACGTGTTGGAGGGTTCATCCGCCGTGTTAAGAGGGACCATAAAATCAACAGAAACAACTACCGACACGTGGTTAAAGCAATATAACGGGATGTCCTCCATCATTTTCATAGATAATTACAAATATGTCAGACGATTTGTTATAACGGGTGATAATGAGAAGGAAAATATACTAGAAATTAGAAATGTTGGATTTCAAGATATGGTGTTTTATCAACTACGTGTATCTAATTCTGCTGGAGAAAGTTTCAGCAACAGAATACACTTAGATCCCATAAGAGGTAATTATATAAACAGATATCTCTTGAAAAAAAACAAAAACAAAACAAAAAAAAGAAGGAATTCATGCGTATAAATTCATAAAAGAAATATTGAATTATTTCTCTTGATTATAAAGTTGCCTTAGTGCTACAATTTTTTTTAGGCAAAGATGCACATATATATTATTATAATCAGACTTACAGTCATGGAATTCCTATTCCAATGTACACTACATTGCAGTTTGATAGCTTCAAATTTTCGATGTTTGAGAAAATAATGGCTGTTTGCAAGAAGTAGGAATTCCGGGTATTGTTTTAAAACTCTTTTGGAGTTATATCATTTGTAAATAAGAGGTAGTTGTGATGTTGCAAGAAAAAATGTAGTTCTTGGATTACTTTGACCAAAAAATAATTAAATTTCCTAATAACCAAATTTACTCAGTACCTTAGCAAACTGTACTAAACCATCATCTTTTGCAGCTCAAATAAAGAACCAGTATTAATTTTATAATAATACATTTATACAAAAAAATGAGTACTTAGATATCAAATATATGAAGATATCAACAACACTATTTTTTCTGGAGCAGAGCAAACTCAATTTCTTGAATATCAGAGGCTAGGTGGAATCAGGGTCATGGAGGAATGAGCGTACCCGGCCGACCCGCTAGTGCTGCTTGCATTGTAATGATGGGAATATAACGAAAAAATCCGTCAACAACTCAGTGTGTAAAATAATGGCAATTTTTTTTCAATTAGTATAAAAAAAACGCCAGTAAGCATTTGATTTAATGATAGATTGCATATAGTGATAAGGTTATTGTATGGGCCATAGAACAAACGAATGAAGTCTTTGAACGAGGCTGCTGATATTCTTGTTTCAACAACTTTTTTGTCAATAAATAACCTCGCCATAGACATTGTTCATACGCAGAGCATGTTCTTGTGTATCGAGTCAACAGAGAATTTAACCCCGTATGCAGGTAATGAAGATATATTGTTGCAAAAATAGGGGAAATAGACGTTTGAAAATTTAAGTCATCACGTTATCAAAAAGATTGGTAGTTCAAGTACTGTTAGTGTTTTTTCTAGTAAAATATCTATGGTATTATCTATACAGATCTGATTTTGGTGTGTCTAAAATTGATACGTTTTGTAGCTTTTTATATTATGTAGAATCAGTTTCAAGCCGTTTTTTGTACATTTCATGATTTAAATTTTTTTTGTCTTGAAAAAACCTCTAATATCATTCAAGTTTTGCCTTTGAAAATTTTCGTATAAGTGAACTATATTATCTTTTTAAAAAAATAAAAGGAAATAAATGATTTGCAGGAATTTCTTTCAAGTCACTTAAAATTAATTACTGAAGACAAAAGTAAAAATATGACTTGTTACTTATAATTTTGCAGAGATCTGACAATAGTTTTGCTATTTTAGCCCCACCATTGTTGGCTGACTCTGCCCTTGTGATGAATAATATTGTCATGGAAACAACTATAAAAATAACTTTAAATGCAACATTTTTCACGAATGACATGAATGGTCATATCGTTTATTTTGGAGTAGCAGTCTGTTCAGATTGTACTGGTAAGCATTTTGTTATTCACATCAATTGATATTATCTCCAGAAAAATATATTTATAGAGACATACATAAGGAAATCAAAGACATAATACCCTTTTTAAAACACATCTTAAAATTGATGTAAATACCATGAAGATCGTAAAATGAAACATCAGCAATGTACAGACTGAAAGAAATAAAAGATGGGCTTTCTTATTTTTCAATTTCGCATATTCCCACATCAAGTCATCGATAGATCTAATTCTATCCCAAATTTGACCCTCTATCCCGTTTATATATCTCATATGATATCGTTTTCTTATCCCAAAGTTGTGACCTCACAATGGGTTTTGTGTTAGAGTGATGAAGTAAAACAAAGTGGAGTCCTTTTAAAAACAGCGTAAAACATTAATTGTGGTGTATAAACATGGGATAAAAGAATCTCACATGATTTGTAATTAGATATGACTTTCATTCAATTCGTTGTGAATTTCTATCCCCCCGCCATAGCTCGGGGATATAAAACATACAACTCGTTGGATAATAGTCATATACAACTACAAATCATGTGAGATCCTAAGTAGATCTTCTTTGCTTAAATTTCACGCAATATAACTCTCTTTGTCATAATTTCAGAAAAGGAAGCTAATTTTCAATATTTTCTTCTTCTGTGCAATATCTTGTAGATCTAAATAAACAACCTCGTACTCTGAGTTATATGTGGGAAACTCTTCAAGACTGGTATGAGGCAAGAATGAATCAATTTACTCTGTATCGGACGACGGATGATAATTTTATGACAGCAATAAAACTTCATGGTAAATTCAAATACAAATGTCAGACAAAAACACAACCAAGCGCATTATCAAGAAAGAAAAATCATTTTAATTTAGTAGTGATGTAGTTAATGTTTTATTTACTTGAAGTTCAATAAAGGATGCTTTTTTTAATTCAAATTATTCTAGTTCAAGAACTTGGTGTATCAAGAGCATTTTTGTTTACTATTGGTGAGGATAACAGCTGTCACTCACGTGGGCCTCGGAGTTACTGTAATGGACCTCTACGTCCAGGGCTTACCTATAGGTACAAAGGATATTTAAAAACATATTGTAAATTTATTCTGCATTCGGTTAGGTTCTGAACTTTTAATTAAGAAGCTGTTTTACCTTTATTTAGGTTGATATTATTTGCTTGCACTTTGGCGGGATGCAGTCAATCTGGGTCAATAGGACCATTTCAGACGACTATAGGTAACGAAAACAAACAAAAAAAATCAGCATTCATTCTTTAATTCAGCTTCCTCTTGGTGAAAAATAAATGTTTTTCTTAACGCTCCTTTGCAATTTCTTAAAGCTCAATCATCAAAGGCAGGCAGCACAGTTCCTGTTGTTGTAGGATCGACTTTAGGGGTCATTGTAATCGTGATACTGGCAGTTGTTGTTATTGTCTTAGTACACAGAAAGTACAGGTGCAATAAATTTGATTAATATTAACAAGTTTTTAAACCAGCTTTTTAACATGTATAACAATGAACATCAATAGAAACAAATACCCTTACTAAATTTTAATTTTGTCCGTTTTTCTTAAATTATTTTTTTTTATTTGTATACATTTAAAGTCCTGAGTGAATATATTATGTGGTGACAATTTAATATATACTTTGTTTATGAATTATTACTTGTATAGACTTTTATTTTCAAAATTATAATTTTCATTAAAAAAAAACATTTTAGAGCAAAGTTCATTAACCAAAAATAGAGAATTCAAACTTATCAGCGGAAAAAAATCTTTTTCATCTTAAAAATTGGATTGCTACTTTAATGTAAAAAGAATAATTAATTACATTCAAAATATTTCTTTAATCTTCAATATGACTTTTTTAGAGATAAACGGAAAAAATACACCGACCTTTCCATGTCAAGGATAGGAGAAGGGTATGATTTCGTAAAGTATGGTTTTTCGTAGGATACAATTATAAAATAACGCAAAAAAACGACAGGACTATAATATATATAGTCTATTGTTGCTGAATGAAGGGAAACTAAAATTTAATTATATAGTTATTTCCCGATCCTGACAAGGAGCACACGGTGGGTGACCGGTCGGCAGATGATGCTCACTCCTCCATGACACCTGATCCCACCTCTAATGTTTTGGAGGTCCATGTTTGCTCTGCTCCTATTTCGTATTTATTAAGGACTTTTGTAATTGAATATTTTTCATTAACATTCATGAATACAGTAGCTTTATTAAAAATAGTAATATTACGCTACACGCATATTATCTGTAAACCAATAATATAACAAAATGGTTAAGTAAGACAGATTTTTACTCAGTTGAATCAATTGACTTTAAATAGAAATCTGACAGAACATTTCTTTTTACACTTTATTTTAGCAAAAGTGGATATACACAATTAAGGAGAGATTATAATATTAAGTGAGTGATTAATTTTCTCTTGTATATATATTTCTATTAATGAAAAGCGTATACTAGACACTTTATTTCATAGATTATTTCTATAGTCTCAATTTCGTTAGGTTAACAACTCTTTGAGGATGAACATTTTTGACTTACATCTATTTGAATTGTAGACCTATCCGGGTCGACTCTTTATTAAATCATGTGTATGAATTAACCAAAGAGAACGGTGCAAGACTAAGCAACGAATTTTCAGTAAGTGATGTCTTTAAAATGTTAACATGTGTATATATTTTCCTTATTATATTTCTTTTAGATTGTGTTTAAATATGTTAATTCCAACCTTTCAGGAATTGACTTCACTCGTCTCAACAAGTTCTGCAATTGTTGGAAAACTGATGCAAAACTTCGAGAAAAATAGATCTTCAACAATCCCTTGTAAGTGTATCGAAAGTTAAAAAACTATGAATTTTTAGACACAATTCTATTACTTGAACTGATTCCTTTTGGAACAATTGCAAAATTTAATCTCCCCTTCTTAATCAGATATTTTAATGTTATAGATGATTTCAATAGAGTCAAGCTGCATCATCCCTTGGAGTTACCAGAGATGAACTATATCAATGCTAGTCATGTCTTTGTAAGTACTGCCGACAGTGAACACATGTGTAAAATATTTCGTTAATTGTTTCTTCATTTAATGCTAAACCTCCTCAAAATATAAAAATTAATTTCATTTTTTATCCTTTTTATGCTTCAATTTCCAAGGAAATCCGACTGTGTTTTTTCATTTTTCATCCTATATTTCTTAACAGATTTGTAAAGAAATTCTTATGAATATTTCAATGCGAAAAAAGTATAATAATGGGAATTTTGCAACTTCGTTAACATAAATTTGGTTGTTGTTTAATTATTATATATCAATTAAACAACATCCTCAAAATAATATTAAGTTTCTATACATGTGCATTGAATGCATTGATTGAAAATCTTTGATTAGATTATTTTGAAAGTTTGGATATTAGAGTGAAATAACATGAACTTATGATAAAAATAAAAAAAAAGCAATTTATTCGCTTCAATTTTTGTGCAAGAAAGTTTATCTTTAGAAAGGATGCATCTTGGATTGTAGCTTTTTCCGACTAATTAACATTATATTTTTTATACAAATAACATATTTTGTAGAATAATGAGTACATTATAACCCAGTATCCACAACGAAGAACCATGATTGACTTTTGGGACATGATTTGGGAGCAGAATGTATCTGCAATTGTAATGCTGGCTCCGTTAAACGAAATGGAAAAGGTATGACCAACACTGAGCAATATAAATAGCTGGGTAAATATCGGTTAGATGCAAGTGAGTTAAGGTTATGTATAGAGTTTCAATGCAAACAATCCTAGTTAAATCCATATTGGCTATACCTACCACTTTACCAAAGTTAAGACCAAAGTTAAGACTATTTTTCTAACGCATTCTTGGTACCCACGATATGCGATAGCCAGTTTATATTATGACGTCATTTAATGACGCCATCTACACTTACTAAACATGTTTTAAATAAGAAACATCAACAAAATCGCTTTGGTGCACGGTCATACTTTACTTTATTTTACGGAAACAAGGTATAAATAGACGCAGGATATTCAAAGGATTTATGATATTGCTGCACAAATGTCGACACTGCAATTGTTTAGTCAGAATTTGTAGAGTTTTAATTTTTAACAGGGTAAAAATTCAAAGAAAATAAATAATAAGAATTCACAGTCCTATGTAAATTTCGTAAATGTTTTATCCATTGAGAAAGTGCATAGGATCTGTGCAGCAATTTTGTTAATCTTTAGAATATTCTCCTTAATATTATAAGTTATTAATTTTAATTAAATAAGAGATGCCCTTGCGCCGAACTGTTTTGTTGATGTGTTTTATTACCTTTTAATGAGAAAGAACAATGACGTTGTGATATGGCGTCAAAGTGTGTACTAGCTATTATATGCTGTGGGGATATTGAATTGGGAAATCAATTTGAACTTTCTTTGTGTATAAAAATATACAATTAATGCATTTTCATTAGATCATTTGTCTAGAAATCCCCATATTTAGCCTTAACTCACTTGCAGACTGAATTTAACCGGGGCCTCCCGCTAACGTCTTAGGTCTTTCGTAAGGTTGTCGTACAATGTACCACTGAGTTACCAACAAGGGGGTACATAGTCCCTTTCACTACCCCTCCTTTTTTCCCTGAGGTTTTCCATTTTGAATACCTCGCAGAAACTATTCTAAATTGCTCCTGGGCTTTGCTGTGAGTTACTTAATATAACAGGCGGGGGAAATGTCGGCCAGCCTTGAATTCGAACCAGGGACTTCCGCTTATCTCGTGGATGCTGTTTCAAACAGCTACCGGACTGATGTGTCCACTGCGTGTTTCTCTAGAAAGGTTTTATACTAAAAAGTTACTTTAACACTCGATGTAAACTTGTGATTGCTTCATACGAGGTCTATTCATTAAATAGTGACACTACACGTACTCCTTTTAAATTTTACATTTGATTGAAATGGAATCTCTTTGAAAATGTTTATTAATTGTCTTCCATACTTCTGATTTGAAACGTGGTCACAACCTATTTATAAAGCAATTTTCGAAGAGAGCATCTTTTTTTAACCCACCCTGTGGACACTGTAAACATGAAGAGAGAAGGAAAGTCCCGAAAACACATTTTGAACATCAGGTCGTTTATCAAATATCGTTTTCTAATGAATATCAAGGGAAAAGAAATTTTCAAAGAACTTGTGTCATTATTTGAAAACTTTGTTGTGTCTATTAAAACTGTATATCGATGGATAAAGCATTTCAATTACCAATGAGAAATCAGTTGCAGCAGTGAAAAATATCATCGACAGAGACGGCAGAGTTCTTGTGAACCAGATTGCCAAGAAACTGAACATTTCATCGGGTAGCATCTTTAAAATTTTAAATTATTTTTACATTTCTGAGTCAGGAAAGTATCTGCAAGATGGATTCCACACATTTTAAATGACGAGCAAAAAAGAAAGCGATTACAAATATCTCGAAAACTTTTGAAAATGTATGGACAAATGTGATAAAAGACGTCTTCATGAATTTGTTACGGGGGATGAAACTTGGCTACATTTTTATGAACATGAGAGAAAACTGGGAAACAAAATATGGCTCCTTAAACAAAGTAAACGACCTACCATTGCTAAACGCGGCAAAACAGCAAGGAAGGTTTTGTATGCAATATTTTTCGATTCTAACGGGATTGTCGCTCAGATTCCAATTAAAAATTGCAGAAGGAGGAACTGCGCATGCCCGACATGTAGACAACCACAAATTTCCGAGAGGAAAGTTTTTACCTAAAAACTTGAAATCATCGAAAATCAGAAGCCCAAAAAATGCAGCAACTTTAATTAGGATAATGAGTTAAGTATTGTGTGACAACCTATAGAAGTTTAATTTTTCTACTCAACATGTCACATAATTTATAGGGATCTGTATACATTGTCTTTTTGGTTACTTATAGATACATAACATAATTAATTAAAAAAAACGGACAAGTTGTGATTACATTACACATGTAGTGGTTTCCCTCATAAGAGAATAAAATATATATTAATAAATTTTATTTCACAACCTGTTAGGTAGATTCATTAATTTTCTACAAATAGAATAGACCATGTATATTGTATTTCCTACACCTGTAAACCCATTCTCATTTTTTAAAGAAATGTTTAATGTTAACTCTTAAGAAATATCAATTATAATCTGTTTTTGGTATGAACTGTCTACTCTCAAAATCAACAAGGCATGTATTCTCAGGCAACCCACACATTTTTGTATATACACCTTTTTTATTTTTTGTTTTTTCTTCTGTTTCTGTCTATCAGGGGGTCAGCAATGTTTTCATCATTTTTTTTTAGAATATTATGGATTATAATAATGATAACAGCCTAAAAATACTCTCAGTAAATTGTCAAGGCCTTGGTAACATTCATAAAAGAAGAGATGTGCTAAAGAACTTAAAAGCTAAGAATTACAATATTTACTTTTTACAAGATACCCATTTTGTAGAAAAAGATGAAACTATGATAAGAGCACAGTGGGGATATAAAGCATTTTTTAGTTCATTCAAGTCCAATTCAAGGGGAGTCGCTATCCTCTTTAACAACAACTTTGAATTAAAAATTTTGGATGTCTTTATTGAGGATATCTCTTTTTTACTAATAAATATTTATGGTCCAAACTCTGACACACCTAATTTTTACATAAGTTTAGTCCATAGAATAGAGGAGATTCATTCCTCTCATAAAATTGTTATAGGGGGTGACTTTAATTTAGTTTTTGATAAAGATTTGGATTCAATGAATTACAAAAATTTAAACAATCCGAAATCAAGACTTGAAGTAATGAAGCTTATGGATGTTTTAAACCTTAAGGACGTATTTCGTGAAGATAATCCAGTTTTAAAAAGGTTTACCTGGAGACGAAAAAATCCACTCAAACAAGCTAGACTTGACTTTTTCCTGATAACAGAATCCATGCTAGCTATGAATCCATGTGTCAAGTTTGAAAATAGTTATTGTTCTGATCATTCACCAGTTCTATTACATTGTAAATTAAATGAATTTAAAAAGGGAAAGGGTTTCTGGAAATTCAATAATTCCCTGTTGCACGAAAAAGAATATGTTGAACAAATAAAATGTAAGATTAAGGATGTTAAAATCCAATATTCAATATGCCCAGTATATAATATGGAAAAAATAAGTTGCATCGAGAATGATACTATTCAACTCACCATTAGTGACCAACTCTTTCTTGATATTTTGTTAATGGAAATAAGAGGAAAATCAATTTCATTTTCAACATATAAAAAAAAGAAAACTTTCAAAAGAGAACAACAGTTAGAGAGAGAAATATTAGAATTAGAGCAGAATTTAACAGATCAGTTAATTAATGAACTTGAAGAAAAGAAAAGAGAAGTAGAAGAAATAAAGAACATAAAATTTAAAGGTCAATGTATAAGGTCAAAGGTCAAATGGATTGAGGAGGGAGAAAAACCCTCAAAATATTTTGTAAGTTTAGAATCAAGAAACTACGTAAGTAAGCAAATACCTAAAATAGAAAAGGACAATGGCTCAATTGTTTCTTCCCAAAGCGAGATATTAAATGAAACAAAAGCTTTCTATGAAAACTTATATAAGTAAAGGGAAAATGTAGATACTGAAAATATTCATGATAGACTTAAAGATTATGATATTCCCAAATTAAGTAGAGAAGAATCAAACAGTCTGGAAGGTCCTGTAACAAACTTTGAAGTTTTAAACTTCTTAAAACAAATGAAAAATGACAAAAGTCCAGGACCGGATGGATTTACATGTGAATTTTTTAAATTTTTCTGGAAAGACATTGGCTCCTTTATTACAAGAGCAATAAATAATTCAAATGAAAAACTTCAATTCTCAGACTCAAATAAATTAGGAATCATTACTTGTATCCCAAAAACAGGAAAGCAAAAACAATTTCTGAAAAACTGGCGACCCATTAGTCTTTTAAATGTTGTTTATAAAATAGCATCAGGATGCATCGCAGAACGAATGAAAACTAAATTGGGCAAATTGATAAATAGAGACCAAACTGGATTTATAAAAGGTAGATTTATTGGGGAGAATATTAGACTGATATATGATATAATGCATTATACAGAATATAATCAAATACCTGGCCTTTTGATGTTAATTGACTTTGAAAAGGCTTTTGATACAATCTCATGGAACTTTATATATCAAACCCTTGACTTTTTTAATTTTGGACCCTCTTTTAAAAATTGGATTAGAACCTTCTATAATGGTATTAAATCATGTGTTATACAAAATGGATTTACTTCAGACTATCTTTTCCCCCAAAGAGGATGCAGACAAGGTGATCCGATCTCACCTTATCTCTTTTTGTTATGTGCTGAAATTCTTGGAATCTTAATTCGTAATAATCAAGATATAAAAGGTATAACAATTGAGGGTGAAGAGTACAAACTCTCTCAATATGCTGATGATACTTCTCTTATCTCAGATGGTTCACCAAGATCTATGGATGGTATTCTCCGAGAATTAGATTATTTTGCTAATATATCAGGCTTAAAGATCAATTTCTTAAAAACTAAAATGATATGGATTGGAAGTAAAAATTTTTCAAGGGATGTATTTCATCACTCAAGGTGGAAGCTTGACTGGGAAAATTCAATATTTGATCTTCTAGGAATAAAATTTTCAGTAAACTTGAATGAAATGCTTGATCTTAATTATTCCATAAAGCTAAATGAAATCAAAACTTTGTTACGTAAGTGGAGTTTAAGGAAACTTACCCCAATTGGAAGGTTAACAGTAATTAAAACTTTAATATTACCCAAATTAAACCATTTAATTCTTACTTTACCAAACCCTAAGTCAGACTTTTTGAAGATGTTTGAGACTGAAATGTATTATTTTCTTTGGGGTAGCAAAACGCACAAGGTAAAGAAAAATGTTATAATCCAGGACTATAAATATGGAGGTCTAAAAATGATTGATTATACAGAATTCATTTCTGCCCTTAAATCAAGCTGGATTAGAAGACTTATTCACTCACAAGCAAACTGGGTAAAATTATTTGAAGCTGAACTAAAAGTAGATATAAACAATCTTTGGATAAGGGGTTCTGATTATATTCTGAATCTCTCAACAAGAGTGAATAATGTTTTTTGGAAAGAAGTTCTGTCAAGCTGGGCAAGGCTAACTATAATAAATCAAGAAAAGGACAGGCATGTGCTCTTTGAACATATATGGAATAATCCAAGGATTAAAATTAATAATAAAATCTTTTTTTTGGAAAAACTATTTTAATGAAGGCATTGTTTTTCTTACTGACCTCTTTAACAATGAGGGTAGTTTCATAAGTCTCGACTCATTAATAAACTTGAAAGTGAAAACAAATTTTGTTGATTATAATGGTCTTAGAATAGCAGTGTTAGATAGACTGAAAAAGGTAAACTGTGATGAAATTAAAAATGCTAAGTTGATTGGACCACATCTTCCAAATTCCATTTTTGTATTTTATAAACATGATAAAGGTTTTAAGGATATGTATAACATATTTATAAGTAAAAAGAAAGAGCCAGTTAACTCAATCAAAAAATGGAAAGAAAACAGATTTATCTTCGATGAGGCGGACTGGGCTAAAATATTTGAACTTCCATTTAAAATAACTCAAGAATCTAAACTTCAATGCCTACAGTTTCAAATCTTACATAGAATCATCCCAACTAATTATTATCTTTTTAGACTAAAATTGATCGATTCTCCAGCATGTAGTTTCTGCAGAAGTGACATAGAAACAATTGATCATTTATTTGTTGAATGTTTCCATGTAAAAGAACTCTGGTGTACTATTGAAGAATGGATTTTAAATAAGTTCAATATTCATTGTTGTTTTGATAAACAAGCAATACTATTTGGTAAATATGAAAATATGAATGTTTATAAATTTCAAAACCTTTTAATACTTATTGTAAAACAATTTATCTTTGCCAGTAAATATAAGAATGTTCCAAGAATAGATGCTGAAGCTGTATTAAAGAGGATCACAGATAGAATTTTGATTGAAAAAATTTTTATTGATGAAGAATTGTAAATATGAAGAATATGAAAGGCATTGGCAAAATATTTGTGATGCATTGTAAGTAACAGAGTTACATATACAAGCTTATATATACATGTACATCCTATAATTTATTTGAGTGATTTTTTATTTTTTTGTATTATTTGTAACAGAAGAAAGGTTTTTTTTCTTGCTGACCCCTCCCCCTTTTCTTTGTCTTTTTTTTTCAAAACACCTTTCACATTCTACATGTTCTATAAACATAACTCTATATTGTGTATAGACCCGATGTTATTGTGAACCAAATGATGAAAATTATTTTTTTATGTACATGTGAAAGTGTTAAAATAAATAAAAAAAAAAAAAAAAGTGGAAAATTTACCTGCTATGTACAGAAAACTGTCCGACAAAATATATCGGGTGGGTAGCGAGTCTTCATCTTCTTCTTGTATAGAGAAAATGCCCCCGCTGAGCAGGTACCCAACCCTCCCGAGGCTGAGGAAGCTGAAAGATGAAAGTCCTCTACGGTGCTAAAAACAAAATAAATCAGAAAAATTAGTCAAATCACATCTTAAGTATTTATTTAACAGCAATATTTTTCAGGTTTTCTAGAAAATAAAAAAAATTACACACCTTCAAAAAAAAAAAAAAAAAAAAAAAATTGCAGAAGTGTAACTAAAGTTGTTTACGTGAAAAAGATACTGTCTGAGGTAGAAAAAACAATACAAAAACAGAAGACCAAAGTCGGGAATGAGGGGGATCAAGCTTTTACATGATAATGCCCCAGCACACACTGCAAAGTACACGCAAGATTTCTTGTTGGAAAATGGAATACAACAACTGGATCACTCCCCTTATTCACCAGATTTATCCCCATGTGATTTTTTCTTATTCCCTAAATTGAAAAAATGCTATCTGGAAGGCGTTTTCATTCTCGTTCTGCATTGGGTTCAGCTGTGTTATCAGTGTCTAAAGAGTATACCTCTTCCGGAGTATAGAGACGCGGGTCAAATCTGGATAAAACGACTTCAAAGATGTGTTGCAGTAAAGGGTGATTATTTTGAAGGGATGTAAATAAAATAGAAAAGAATCATATGTTATTGCTTACTTTACTGAAGAAGTCTCACCACGCTCAATTCATATCTTATTCACTTTTTACCTGTCTAAAACACATTTTTATTTTCTGGAATAGAAATTGATTGGGGACTTCCAAGATTGATAATTTAGTTTTGAAAAGTTATTCATCTCCAAACGATTTGACCAAAAGAATATTCCGTACATTGAATCAAAAATATTTCAAAAACTTTTTCATTGACATATTTGGTAATGAAAATTCATTTCATCTGAAACTAGTTCTCAGAAAAATTAATTGATTTTCTCAACATGAAACCAATAAAAATCTAGAGGTACTGTGAGCGATGAGCTCACTAAATGATACCCCCCGCCTCCCATATGGTTATAACTGGTGAAAAAGTCCATGTTTTCCTGTGGCCGGGAAACCCAAAATATGTGTCGGATCAAAAAGTAAAATAGGAGGTGCACAATGGCAATATGTAATAAAGATTCTGTGAAAGTTTCATCAAATTTCATTCAGTGGTATGAGAGGAGTTGCGGATAAGAGATGGGTACCCCAAAGCGTAACAGACGGACAGACGGACGTACAGACGGACGGACGGAATTAACGATTACTATATACCCTCCCGCTTTTCAAGCGGGGGTATAAAAAGGTGTTAAGAAGTCCATGTAAATAAAGTGTAATATATTAAATTACTTGTTTGTCCTCTATTTGGGTATAAAAAAGATAACAAGATGGGCTTGCCTAATTTGTATTATTATACCACCTGCTTGAAAAGCGGGAGGGTATATAGTAATCGGTATTTCCGTCCGTCCGTCCGTCCATCCGTCTGTTACGCTTTGGGGTACCCATCTCTTATCCGCAACTCCTCTCATACCACTGAAGGAAATCTAATGAAACTTTCACAGAATCTTCATTACATATTGCCATTGTGCACCTTCTATTTTACTTTTTGATCTGACATATATTTTGGATTTTTCAGAGCAAAACATGGACACTGCCATTATATTCATATGGGAGGCGGGGGGTATCATTTAGTGAGCTCATTGCTCACAGTACCTCTAGTTTATTCCTTATATGACATATTTGAATAAAATAAGCTGTTTTTTTTAGTCAATATGATAATTTCACCACCCTTGGATCCTGTGGATATTTTATCATTAGGTCACTCAATATCGTGCTTACCTGAAAAACAATGATATCTGTTTATATCTTTATAGTGCTTCCGTTACTACAGACGAAAACAAGGCGCATCATGCACATATGGTGATGTGGTTATAAAACTCATGGCTACATTTATGTATGGCAAGAACTTGAAAGGCAGAAAATTAAATGTTTACAAGGTTTGTGATGAAAATTACCCTCTAAACTAAGCTTATATTTATTTTAAATGTATTTTACAAACATGCTCGGAAGTGTTTGTTTCAAATGGAATAATAATTTATCATTCCTTATAAAAAAACACTCTCTGACATCAGCAAGCATGCTATTTTGATTAATTATCATTGAAAATAATTTTACAGAAGAAGAACAAGAGAGTAAAAAGAATTATCACCCACTTTCATGTTTATGCTTTGGATGAAAGCACAGTAGCCAAAGACATTGTTGATTGTATCAAAATTATTCGTTCGAATATTCAAGCTGGGGTAAAGCCCCTTGTTGTACACAGTGGGTAAGCAATTTCACCATTTTACCAGTCCCCTTTCTGAATTCCGATCTTTATACCCCTCTGATTGAAAAACTGGGGGGTATACTGTAATCGGGATGTCCGCCCGTCTGTCTTGTCAGTCCGTCCGTCCGTCTTTACGCCTTTTGGTACCCATCTCTTATCTGCACCTCCTCTCATACCACTGCATGAAATTTGATGAAACTTTCACAGAATCTTGATTACATATTGCCATTGTGCACCTTCTATTTTACTTTTTTATCCGACACATATTTTGGGTTTCCCATAGCAAAACATGCATGGACACTGCCATTTATACACTTGTGGGATGCGGGGTATCATTTAGTGAGCTTATTGCTCACAGTACCTAGATTTTTATTATATCGAACAACACGATCAAATGTAAAGTATGGAGTGCATCATGTCAGAAAGATAACGATAATTAACATTTTTTAACACTTATCTTAAAAGGCTTTCCGTTCTCTAAAACATGACAATTTGCAAAAAATAAAAATAACATGCACAGAAAGATGATGGAAGTTTATCGAAATTAAGAATTACATTGAAGAGTACCTTCTGAATGTTTTTTAAAATATATAACGAAAACTTTCAATGATTTCTGAAAACATTATAAGCGTATTTTTCAAATTTTTAACTCCTCTTAATAGATCTGGTCCGGAATGGAGCGGTGTTTTCGTCCTGATGGATTATATTATTCAAAAGATCAGAAAAGGATCTGAAACAATCGATATATCCTCAGCAACTCTTCAACTTCTTGATGAAAGAATGGCGGTGCTTTCAAAGGTGAATTAAACTTTTGAAATATGACCTTATAGGCCTACATATAAACCAGTTTGTATAATTTTCACATTGCAACGCCTAAAATGTTTTAAATACTACCAAATGCAAATACATGTAATTCTTAATTTTATATCAAGCCAAAACTTTTACATTAAAATGTTACGATGTTGTTCAAATTTGTACCATATTTGATGTTATTTTAATTATTAATTTTATTTATCGAAATTTATTATTATTAATTTTTTTCGGAAAACTTTTGACATAACGATAAAAGTACTGTCGATTTTATATGGTGTATTTTATGTTAGGCCAAAAATATTTTTACATTTTATGCTTAATATTTCTTTTTGATATTTCTACTTTAGAATCAATATGCCTTACTGTATTTCTGCCTAGAAAATTATCTTAAACAGAGTACTATAAAGCACGTTTCAAGCTCACCAGACGGAGAAGGTAACGAATTTTTGCATTATCAATCTTATATTTCAATTATATCATATGTATATCATGAACCTCCTTTAGTTTAAAAAGAGATAATTTGAATCATGTGATAGCATCTGTCTTAGTCTCGTGTAGTTTGAATCATATATCCTTTGTTTTGCCTAAATGATATGAATCATTTAAATCATTTGTCTAATTTGAATTAATCTTTTTTTCAGAAAGTGCAAGTTCATATGAAACTCTTCCATAGAGAAAAGAAATATAATGTGTTTCAAGTTTATCTTAAAACGAAATGTTTAATTTCAAATATTTACATTTGCTAATGTTTTTCTTTATATAACGCTGCTTATAAAATTGAAATTCAAATTTCAATGACATGCAGTGGGTCACATGATCAGACGTTCTTGCGTATGGAAAGCAAACTGCACGAGCAAATTGGAAAGTTCCAACTCTTCGGGCGTTATAGAATTTGATCACGTGACCGATTTCATATCATACCCCAATGAAACTCTAAAAATGATATTTAATTTCTTTATTGACATAAATTTGTTGTAAGATTTGATTAAGTGTTTGGTGTACGAAGATCAATTGAATTCGCAAATTAATTTTTTTGTTGTTGTCTTATCAAAATTTTGTTGTTTCATTTACATCGTGAAATTTACATTGATTTATTTGCAAATGGATTTCAAAGACTTAAATGTAATTGGAATAGGATTTGAAGTTAACATTTTCTCAGATTGTCGGTATAATAAATGTCGATATAATATTTATACGGAAATATAATTTTTAAAAACTTACTTCATCTAAAAACAATTGAAGCTTATAATTTCGAAACACGTTTGATTGATACATCCTTGCACTTTCATAGAACAATCTTTATCCCAAAAACTTAAGAAAAGTAAAGATTTTGTTGAGTAGTAATTATATACATATGTATAATCAAACTTTAATCCAGAAATCCAGTTTAAATGTGGCAAAGCAAAACCAACTCACCAGTATTGTCAATACGTGCTCAGTGATGTGTGAAAAGTTAAACAATTTGAACACACCCGATGAAAGAATAAAAGAACTCGTGTCCTGTTTACAAAAGCAGCTTACCTTTCACGGATCTGTTCTTGTTTAACTCAACATGGATGAACACTGAGTAATATAAAAGGCGAGAAAAAATATCGTCCAAACTGCCACAAGGGCCTCCAGTTAATACCGCGGTCATAGGTATTAGTAACCAGCCCCTTCACCTCTTTTTTTTCTTGAGGTGTTCTAACCTGAAACCTCACCAGCACACTTCCAAACCACCCTCTGTCTTTTGCTGTACGACGATGATGTGTCAGACTCTGTAGTATCTTTTATCTCAAGCTCACTAGGTTATATATCATCGACAAAAGAATGGAAAACACCATTGTTAATTGACAATACGTTGTCGATATATGAAAATGTGGAGAGTTGAAGGCCATAGCTAGTGTTTTCTTCTTTCCATGCATAAGATTTTGCACAAATTCTGCTTCATATAAACACAGAAAAAGGACATCAATTTCAACTGAGGAGGACGATCGGACAACCTTCAATGTCACGTCAGGGGTAGGCGTCCTTTGACAATTAGAAAAATGCAAGAATTGAATTGAAAAAAAGAAGAATTGAATTTAGAAATCAATTGAATTTAGATATGAAGTTAAATTACATTGACTAATAAAATACACATTTTAGAAAAATGACAGTAAATAATATCTTTAAAATGAGAAAGGAAAAATATTAAAAGTTAAAAGTTTTCCAGATTTACTAAAAATGAGTGCCGAAAAGTAGTGCCTTGATTATGTTTGTAGTATTCTATGTCGGAGAATATTTGATTCTTACAGATTTTATAAGAGTTTTTCCATTACTTTTGGGTAAACTCTTGGATAAATTCTTTAAAAAAAAAATCTTCCCCTCTGCACCTAGGGCCCGTTTTAAAAAAAAAGGACCTACGACTTAAGACCAAGTTTATCTATTCATGTAACTTTTTAATTAACATTTTATTAAAAATTGTTTTAAACTTTTTAAAAAGAATATGGTAAGATATTTTTACGCAGAAAATTTCAAAGAGAATTATTAATTTTGCAAAATTTACAATAATCTGAAGTCTTTGGTCTTAATCGTAAGTTCTTTTGTAAAATGGGCCACTGGGTATTAAACCAATTAACTATGCACATAGTTATGATGGTGAAGGATGCTTCTTCCCAATTTTTAAATTTCATGGCGCCTTGGTTAAGGTTCTGGTGTTCAGACGGGGCTCTAATAATTATATTGTGAAATTCTTTAGAAAGTCTTTTCCTTTGCTCCTGGGTAATATGCAAATTATTTAGGTACATATCTATGATGAAAAAAGGTGCCTCATCCAAAATGGTTCATTTCAGGGCCCTTGGGTTACATGTACGGGGGTATATAGTCTGAAAATAAGTAATGCCTTGAAATCTGCCCTTTGGTTTTAATAAACCATTTATGATGAAATAAAATTTAAAATTTATGATAAATTTCCAAAATTTTGGAATATGTGGCCCCAGGGTCAGGGTTTCCTGTGGGTTTGGGAGCACAGCTATTGGTTATAAAATGGAAATGCACTTTCTTTTTTGTTATTCTGATCTACCTCTGGGTATTAAGTAAGCAAAGTAAGAATGCTAAGTGTCCAGTTATGATAGATAATGGTACATCTTTCAAAATTGTGAATTTCATGGCTTTTTCTTTAACACACGAATCAAATTCAATTGTTGGAAAGTTGTTACATGATACTCAGGTGACCTATAAGACCCGTGGGGATCTTGTTTGGTTATAATGCTTAATGACAATATACATGTTTCTCTAGAATTAGGGAAACCTGTAGACAGCTTTTATTTACTAGATCATGACCTTAATTAAGGAAGGAATGCAAAAATCCTAAGGAATTTTCAGTTGCCAACTAAACAATGTTATTTCTTGATATAATGTGTCTAAATCAAAGATGTACGTGTTATAGATCGTGTGATCGTGTGTACATTTTCGTGAGATCTATCATGGAATGATGCATTCCTTTTCATAATTTTTGTTACTTATTCATATTCTTGGTGTTTGATTACAATTTTTCAGTAAATCTATTAAATATTATCTTTTTAAATAAAAAGTACAATTTCTATAAACATTTCTTATCGGAAATTAACCCCCAAACAATTATTTGATAATTAAATCCGATGTTAGTGAAAAATGCCAAGAACATTAGCATCTGTAAATAACCCAGCGCCAATTAGTTAGATGCGAATGTTATTTAATTAATCACTTTTTGAAATCACTGGCGTATGTTCTTCATCATGTTAAAGATTGAAAACATTCTGACGAAGACTTCTGAAAAATATTTACAAATGTCGGTTGGAAAATTGACCAAAAAATAGAGTTCATTTGCCCCTTTTTTTAATGTGGACTTATCTTTTATGTCAATTGAATAAATTATTCTTGAAAAATATTACACTGAATATTGTTCATTTAATAAAGTCTATAAACGAAGTTGTTTGAAGATGTATTTTTGTGATTTTCATATTCTCTTCTTAACAAGTACTCTTAAAAATAACTGAAAATATGTAGTCTCATTTTGTAATTACCTTGCCAAGTTTCACAGGCTCTAATAGTTGGAAAAAAAGGAAACATATCATGAGCTTTTAACTAATTGATAAGCAAGTACTTATTAATCATTTTGAAAAATTTAAAAATCTTAATTGTGACGAAGAATTTTCAGACATAGGTTCTACCTTAGGAGTAGGTATTCCACTTGTTGATAGATTAACAAAGTTTCTTTTGCATAGAATAGTCTGATTTACAAATTACAAAGATTTTTACATATACAATTTTATTTACAGATGTCTTATAATTGTTTTCGAGTGACCTACATGTACAGCATAATGATTTTCAAAAAGTTAATTCTGTTAGGTGTTAGTCTTACTTTTGTAGAAAGTTTCACGTATCTGTCTATAAATGTTAAAAATGCAAATGCATACAATATAACAAAGAAGGATATGGAGATGACGAACAGTATTCAGTCTCAAAGACCATAAAACAATACGAAATAAGAGCAGAACAAACACAGACTTTCGAAACATCAGAGATGGGATCAGGTGCCATGGAGAAGTGAGTATCCCCTGCCGACCGGTCACACCCGCCGTGTTCTCCTTGTCATGATCAGGAAGTAACGGAAAAAATCCGTCGTCAATTCCTTGTATAAATAATTGACTAACAATTAAACAACACTTGACAGTGAAAAACGTCAGTCAGCATTTAACTTAATGATGAAATGAGAGATAAAGCACTAGACTGATCTCACCAAAATAAAATCACAGTAACAAGAATGCAAACAATAACTCCCTTCATGGTTGCTGATACAGTCAACTGGATGATGTTCGAAGCAAGCAGAAACTGCAGTTGGATCGCTTGCATGTCCTCTAAGTGACAACTTGCTTGAGTATTATTTGGATTAGTCTGTATGCACATGTATTGTTAAAAATTATGCTTTGTCATGTACATTCTATCCAGGTATATAATCTACAATACAGGGTGTCCCAAAACATATACATGTTATAAACTTTTATACCGTTATGAAAATTTTATGCCTCAAGTTACAACAATGAAATTAAAAATTTATATAATGAAAATGTTATAAATTTTTGTAAAGCATACATTTGTCACAGTTTCCTTATTAACTATCTACATTTTTTCTTTATAATAGCAGCTGTAATTTTACAGCATGTTCCAAATTACGTCCCTTTGAATTAACCTTGTTTGAACACAATTCCTGAAGTTTTTATTTACCCAGCTTTAAATGTAACATTATAATAGTTCAGAAGTTTTTCCACCTCAAAGTTGGGTTTCACCAAACAATGGAATCTAAGATTCTCTTAAACAACATTGTTTAAATGGAAGGAGCCTTCATGGAAAAATCGTGCATCTGTTAAATTTTCAGAGTCGGGTCTAATTAAAAGCCAACGGGCAAACTCAAACGCCTTCTAATTTCTGTCTCTTTCGAATGCTGCATTACATTTATCTTGTAAGGAATCAATTTCAAAGGTGCTATCTTGTTTATATAGGACTTGTCTAAAGGATTTTTGTAAAGTTTCAGTAAAAATTCTATCCATGGTATTTATGTTCTCTTTGGATCGGATTTTTCTTGGTCTTCCAATACCAGAATTAAGTCATGTGTCATTAAATTTAATTTCAAACTCCTTCACAAATCTGTAAATTAGTATTATGTTGAGCACTTTCATATCAGGATGCTAACTAATGTAGCAATTTTACACCGATAGTAAAGTTTTACAATTTCTACAAGCTCTTCACATGAAAGTTCCATATTAAAAAATATGATGACGTCATTAGGACATCATAATTACCTGACTTTTGAACAGAATTTCTCGAAAGTTTGTCAGATTAAATGTTTGTACATTAGATGTTGTCAAAATATCTTTGTGTATGCTTTTGGTTTGATAAAGTTATTAGATGATTAAAAGTATAACAAATGTTTTGGGACACCCTGTTTATTACCAGCATGAACCTTACATCGATATTGATATACGTGTAGTACTGTTTTTAAGAGCGCAGATCTACCAAATGGCCATGAGACATGGAAACTTACAGACATGCATGACAAATGCAATAAAACTAATTTAAACATTATATTTTATTCATTCCTGCTAATATCATTATTTCCATCTTTTTAAATTAAAATATGAAAGGAAATACATGTTTCACCACAAAATTACACCCGAGTGACGAAAATCACAGGAAATACCGTTAGTTTGTAAATGTAAAGTTTGAAGTAAAGTTTGTAAATGTATATGTAAGCAGCTTGAATTCGAATTTAAAAAAAAGATTGTATTTATTGTAAAAGACCATCTCTAAGTTGAAATTTCATTTTTTACCCCCTCTTTTTTGATCAGTTTCTTAGTTTGGAGGTCCTTGTTTCCTCTGCTCCTATTTTGTATCGTTTTATGGACTTTTAGGCTTGAATGATGTTTCTTATCTCCATATATTTCATCACAGAAAATAAACAAAGGACAATTGTCCTTACCTATTTACATGAAAACATGTCTTCAATCAATATTATAATGATAAAGAAATTCATAAATATTTGATAACTGAGATTATAAAACTTGCGTATTCCTTTACTAATGTCCAATGCCTATTACACCGACAAATAACATTTTTAAATGAAATGTATTCGATCAATCAGATAATTTACAAATGAATATAAAATTTGTGTACGAGCGTTGTAGAATATATACATGTATCTATATGATATATGAATTTCATATACATACTCGTATATATATAGTACACTGTGAGACATGCAGATTAAATAGCTAAGACTATTTTTCTTTTATTAAGTTACATAATTATCTCTCCGCTGGGTACAATATTTATTATTAAATCACTATGGCTGCTCAGCTACAAAATTATCCTTTATTTTCTTGTAAGGCTTAAATTTCTGAACGTCTTTAAATGTCCTTCAAAAGCACAAATCGGGTGTCTTTGTTTATTAACATAACGGTACAACGTGATTATGACTTCTGCATTCGTAATGGAAAGATGTTGGTTTCCTATCTTGACTTATTCCATGTAAGTAATTCGTTTTTAATATATTTCATTCAGGAGCAGAAATCAGACAACGACGAATAAGAACAGAAAATGTTATAGTTACAGACGATTAAATATCATTTTGCATTACTGCAGTTGTGTTACTGCAAATAATATCTAGGCAAAAATTTTAAAGAAATAAATGTCTCTGTGCTTTAAATAATAACAATGAGCATATCCATGGCAGTAGGAACCTGGAAGGGGGGGGGGGCTCAAAATCTTTTGTCGATATATAGTAAACTTTAGAAATCATAACAACTATCTGCTCGTGCCCCTCAATGAAAAGTCTGATGACCTTTTTTTTGGCTTGTCATGGATTTTCTGGTAGTTAATAGTCTCCGACTTAAAATATTTACTATTGCTGCGTTACTAGTTTTTCTAGTAAACCAACTGTGAAATTGATTTGAATGCCATTTTCGTGTATACTCACGCGTAGAAATATGGAAAAATTTGCGCTAACATAATGTCACAATTAGACTACACAGACATAGATAAAATTGTGATGATACTAGATGAAACCCATCGCAATCGCGGAAAATTAAAGAAAGAGGGCGTACAAGGTGTAATCAATCCCCCGCTCTGAGACAATTTGTTTCTCAATTTTCAAAATTCACGGAAAAGTTATATTTTTTCTCAAATCGTGTTCTCAGTAATATCATCTTCAAAACATCTTTTTATTTTATTTAACTGAACGACATGTCATTTGACAATCTTTTTTTCAATGTTGACAGTTAAGCATTTTCAGTGAAAAATGGGTTTACTAGAGCCATAAAAAATGAATTTTGAACATGAATGGGTCAAGTCTCCATTCTTCGTTAACGCTTAAATGATGGAAACGTAAATGTAAAATCTATTTCATTTGTCCAAAAAATGGAATCTGAACCCATTCTATATGAAAATCGACCTTTTCTGAAAAAAATGTACGTTTCAACAAACCCGTTCATTTAAACCACACTGACAGAAATGAAAATGCATATACTTCGTAGCGTAGTGGCTAACGTGGTCGGCCTTGCACTAAACCCTTTGATATAGAAAGAGTTCAAATCATACGTGAAGCTTTTACTTTTTTGTTTACACACATCTTTAAAACACGAGTGAAAAGATAAATTATTCATAAAATATCAAAACAATGACATACAGAATTAATTGCGTATAAGAATATAAGATGATTAAAAACAATATAATTTTGAAAAGTAAAGCTTTCATGAACTTTGAAAGTTTAGAAACGTCTTTTCTCAGAGCGGGGGGCCTTGAACGACTCCATTCTTTATTGATACCACTACCGAAGAAAAATATAATGTAGTTTCTATTGACAGTCTGCAGGTCTGGGGAAAGAAATACTTTGTTCAAAATCCCACTTTAATGATTTGCAAAAATGTATATTACCGGTAGTTTTCCTTTAACATATCATTAAAGCTTACGGAACATGCACACAGTTTCAACTGAAGAATTTATTTTTCATTTTTTTATGTTCACAAATACTTAACTTATGAAACATATGTAGGTAGCAAAGAGTATTCAAGAAGGATATGGAGATAGCGAACAGTATTCAGTCTCAAAGTCCAAAAAACAATACAAAACAAGAGCAGAGCAAACACCGACCCCCGGGTAAACATCGGAGGTGGGATCAGGTGCTATGGAGGAGTGAGCATCCCCTGCCGACCGGTCATACCCGCCGTGTGCTCCTTGTCATGATCAGGAAATAATGGATAAAATCCGTCATCAATTCAGTGTATAAATAATGGACTAACAATTGGTTTGAAAAACGTCAGTCAGCATATGACCCAATGATAAATTGTATTTGCTGACAAGGTCATTGTATCGACCATAGAACCTACGAAATGATGACTTTATACAAGACTGCTGATATTCTTGTTTCATCATCTTGCTTGTCAATAATTTACCTCGTTTTAGAAATTGTTCATACGTAGAGCATGCTCTTGCGTATCGAATCAACTGAGATATATTCTCCGTATGCAGGTGATGAAGGTATATTGTTGCATAAGTAAGGAAAGCTGACGATAGAAAAGTTAAAGTCATCACGATTATCATATAGTTCAAGTCTTCAAGGTATTTTTTATGATTATGAAAGTTGTCGAGATACAATTAAGGTAGAGATTGATAGCTTGTCAACAAAAAAACTACCCATTGAATTTTTCTGAATTTTTTATATGTTTGTGTTGAGTCCTTGTTCTAAATCATATCAAAAATTCAAGGCAGGTCATCGGGCTAGTTTTAGAGAAATTTGACAATTTTAACATAGCCTTCATCAACCACCGAAGAGCTGAAAAAGCAGGGTAAAATAATATAAGAAAATGATATGAAAAGGGCTGTAAATTTTTTATTGCTATATCAATTATCATTTGTCTTATATGAATTCAAACATCTGTCTGTATAGATTAATATTTGACATCAATCTTAAATTTATCAAGCATTGTAAGCAAAAAACAGAATTACATTTACCAAGATCCATGGTCAAATTAGGTTAAAATATTGCCTATTCATTGCATAAAGTCTCACACTTCTGCTTCCACTGTGAAAAAATTACCCATCAAATTTCTTTCTTTATTGCATATTATAGTTAGCCTATAAGTGTCTTAAATTTTAGAAAAAAATCATACTACATAATGGGGTTTAAATTCAACCTGGAACAAGTTTATTATCATACACCCTACCCTACCCCCTTCCTTTAGAAGGATGCAATTTTGAAGAATATGGTGACTAAGAGAGATTAGCAAGAATTTATCAAAATATTTCACAGAAAATGAGTTAATTCTTTGTAATATTCTTCTAAATTACATTTTGTATTACAAAAACAATTTATACATGTACACCTAGACACATGTTGCCCTGGTTGACCTTTTTGCACTTATATTGAAAAAGATAAGAAGTTTTCCTTGTATCATTCAAATTGACTTTGATAGATAGAATTAATCAAAATATTTCAAAGAAAATGAGTTAAATTCCAAGTAATATTCTTCTAAATTACATTCTATATCACAGAAAACAATTTATACATGTACACCTGGACACATGTTGCCCTGCTTGACCTTTTTGCACTTATATTAAAAAAGATAAGAACTTTCCTTTATATCGTTCAAATTGACTTTGTAGATTTATTATACATATGATTCTTGGATGAATTATTAATGACAATATCTTTTGACTAATTCTGTGCATAAGTAAACTGGTTTTATTATCTTCCTTTGACAACAATAGAATGATTAATTTCACTTTTCTTTTAACAATTCCTCTTTTATTCCAAATACATGTGCAACATAAATAAGAAAACCCAGTGTTATGAAGTTTTGAACACAGAATCAATCCACGGCATGTTATCCTTGTTTTAAAAATATTCAGATAAAAATGTGTTATGTATTACACTGTTGAATGAAGACTGCCTGGTCATCAGTTGTCAGATATTAATACACTAAGGCATCACATGGTAAAAAGTGCGGGAAATTTGGGTGATTTGGTTATCATTACATACATACAAAAATAGTGTAATAATTTACAAAATAAAACATAAAATGTATTAGAGGTAATAATTTTGTAACTTTAAAGTATAGATTCTGCAAACAGATTCATAAAAAATAGAGGAATCCCACCATAAACTGTATATGATACTGTACAATTTTTAAACTCATGATGCAGTTCAACAAAATAAAGTGAATACATTCAGTACGTGTACGGTAATAGGATAAACTTGCTATTTTGCTTTTTGTCTTACTGGCTAACAAAGATCAATGTAAACATGGATGTATGCATTTTTAATTGCTATCGTATGCAGCCAGTTGCGTCATGTTCAAGGATCCTGACAATTCCGTTGTTTTTATGTCAATACAACAAAGGTGTTCTTTCACAAGGATCTGCAGTGAGCAAAATTCATTCTGTATATTTAGATTTTGAAGCTCGTCTTATGGTGTGATATGTCCGTTCCTCTTTACTGTCTCCTTCTGGTAATTCTTTTTCTGAAAAGAACAAACTATTTTAATACAATAAGAATGAAAATACATGTTTTACTTCTTTCTTACACTGCAAACATAGTATGACTATGTCTATATGAATATAAGACACTTTTGAGATACCTTTTTTATATAATGTCATGAATTTTTTTAAATCAAATGCATATAAAGTCGCCTCATTAATCTGGGCACTTTTGCTCCCAAGGAAATTATTTGGATTAATGAATTGTCTTAATTAAACAAACTGGTATATAAGGATAAAGATCAAATATTTTAGTTGCTAAATGTAGGCCACACTCTCAGGCCAAGACCATGGGGTTAAAGGAAAAGAAATAAACATGAAATACAAAGACTCAGCACAAACTGTTCAAGAGTTAATACCAAAGGATCAAGTTTTTGTGGAAATTAAAAACTACATGTACCTGTTAGTGACACATCAATGCATATACAACTAGCAACCTAACTATCATATGTGGAATTAAAATACTTTTCTTTTTACATCTTATTCCATTTTTTTAATTCAGTTTTGTCCCTAATTACCTTATTGATATAAATCCAATATTCTTTTGTAACACTGCAGATGACACTTGATTAGTGACCCTATATTTCCATGGGATCTGTAACATGATGAAAATAAAATAAAGTAAATAGCTTGATCTTTTTAAAAAATTGTAGAATTTATTAACAATTTTGATTTATTTTGCAAATTTAGCTATGATAATGTGAAGAGGTCAATATTGTTAAAAAACCATGTCAATTACAAGTGTTTTAACAATACTGACTTCTTCATATTATCATACCAATTCTGTGGTGCTTTAGTTGAAATAATTTCATTCAAGTTAGAAAACATCTTTACATTTTACAATTTATTTGGTTATTGAGTTTTGAATTCAATTTACAACTTGACTTTTTAAATGTTTATACACAAATATTTAACCATACATTTATTTAAGTCAATAGAGCACCTACATGTAAGTAGTGATGCAGGGATCTCCTGTTAGATTCTCAGTCCAGCCATACATGTTCCTCGTTTCCTGACAAACAAGTATGCCACTTTATGTTCAGTTTGCTGTAGCAGATCTGGCGTGAACTTTCCTGAAATATTAATATGATCTTTGAGAAATTATTGACTTAAGAAAATGCTTCTACATGTATATGTATACAATAATACTGTATGTACATTATGGTGTTTAAATTAAAAATACAAGGACTAAAAATCATAAATTTAAATTTTTAATACATGTATTATAAAACACCTCCTTTTCACCACCCCCTAGAAAAAAAATTTCTGGATTTTTCCTGATACATATGCAAGTGTAAATTGAAAGAAAAAAATACAAACCAATGGCTATTTTGGAGTTAATGTAAAAATCACCCTTGACATTCCTCTTTCCAGGTGACACTTGATTTGGTCACATTATTTCAGCAGAGAAAGCTGAATACACTGTCTAGTTCATAGCTTGCTTCACCTGTAGTATTAAATATTTCTTTTGTAATCTATGAATATGATATCTGTTTATAATCAGGGCCCTTTTGAGCATAAAACAAATACATACATAAATTTATTACAGGTACATAAATATTACATAAGGCTAAAAAAATAGTCTTGTTTCCTGCTACCCAACTGACCCTATTTTTTTGTCATTTGATCCTAAAAATGTTTCTTTTTTTTTCAATGCAAATTTTTACAATTTGCTTTTTATTTAAAAAAGACAAAACATTTGCAAGTAAATGTCCACTATCATTTATAAAAGGGGTTACAGTATAATAATAAATTAAAAAGCATCTGTCATCCAAAGCAGAGAAAGTTTACACATTTCTGCATTTGAACAATTTAAGCAAAATGTTTTTTTTTCCATTTTTTTTATCCTAGTAACTAAACACCACCTCGTGTGTTAGGCACAGATAAGTATGATTACTTTACATTTTTTATCAATCCGGCCTTTATCATGTTCTGACACCAGAAATGTCCAGTTTTATTCTTCTATTCTAGAAGTTACAGTCTGGTCATGAAATGTTTTAATTTTTAGCTAAACAAAACTACTTTAGGAAGGAAAAAAATCTTCTATGAAGGTTATTGGTAATTGAAGCTAAATATACTGGTTGTACCAGACATGTGCGTAAACAAACAAGCACCATAGTCATGATCGACATACTAAGTCGTAAATATTCACCTTATGTATCTGACACGGACACAGCATACAAAAAATCTGTTCTGCAAAAATTTTACTTCTTCCATCATACCAATTAACATCTGTAGGGTCATGGTCTTTAAAATGTCTATACAGAAAACAACATCAGGCACTGATCGATACCGGTGTACCCACGTGGTGCTGCAGCGGACACTGGACAAGGAGTAGTTTCATTAAAATTATGTTCATGTTCGGCTTCAGTCTCACTTCTATTTTGATTCTCATGAAGATGCTTCAATTTCGAGAACCGTAAAGATTTAATACGTCGATCGCTTCGTCGGCCATCTTGTAGCATAGACAATAATGTGTAAATGGAGACTTTTATTTGACGGCGTTCCGGAATCCGGAAAAAAAGCACGTGCAAATATGCGAATTCTTTCGATCACGTGATTGCTATCGGTCTCTACCTTAAGACGTAAAAATTTAGAGCTTGAAATCTTTGTTATGAAAGCAAGACCCATGTCATGTTTTTGTTTACATAGGTTAAATATACTGATGTATGTACATTATAAGTAATTTTCTTCAATTTATAAAGAAGTTTATTCCAAATACAATTAAACCCTTTCTATCGACTAGCAGCATCTCATTATGTCATTAATATGATATTTTCTATTTGTAATAAAAAGGCACGAACCTTATTTTCATTATGAAGAGGTTTAAGTTCCGTATCTCCTTTATAAATCAACAAATAATTTTCAAATTTTTGCTGACCATTTAAATTGCTTTAATAGGGAATTGTGAATATTAAAATAGGTTTTTAAAAATCAGTTGACATTGATTTTTATGTGCCTATGAAGTACATGTATATAGATATTTGTAATCACAGACCAAAGTACCTGTGAAAAAATGAGCTTTTTACACTATATGAATAGGCCTAGTATTAAATACAAAAAGACTATTCAGGGGGAAAAAACAACACTGAAAATTAACGTATAGCATGAATACTGCACAAAACTTTGCAACTTATTTGCGTTAGAACAATGCCTTATTCATTTTTTTCATGTTTAAGTTTTAATGTAAGCAAACTAATTACGAAGTACGTATTGAACATCGGATTTATTTCTACGATAATCAGTGAGGAAAATACAAATTCAAAGATAAGATCATTAGAAAAACCTACGATGTACGAGGGCTGTTCAGTAAATAATGTCCTGGGTGCTCAGAAAGAAGCAAAAAGACGCTTTTCAATGATTAAGTCTTCATGATTTAACTTTTTAATCTCTTTTAATTAAAACACATGTCTGCAACATTTTTGTGCAATTTTTGATTATTTTAGAACTCATTTTTGGGTATGACCCTTAGTATACTGGAAAATGCAGATCCAAGGATTTCCTGGACTTGTTTGTTCCTTCTGAACGGTGTTTTTTCAAGTTTGAAAATAAAAACAAGTCAAAAGATCAAAGATCTGGCGAATATTGTTAATGTGAAAAAACATTACCTTCTGTTTATCCAGAAACCCCCTTTACTCTTCAGGGCGTGCGGGTTTGGACGCTGTCATGAAGAAATTTAATGTGGTGGATTCCTGATTCTGGGTCCTTCCTCTGATAAACCTTTAGAATTTTTTGCACAACATTTGCTTTCTAGCGTTCTCCAGAAATTAAACTGTCTCCCTATATACGCTTTTGAAGAACAAAACCATTTATATTTGAGAAAATTGCAAATAAATCTGTCTTTGTGCTCTTGCAATTCTTTGCTCTTGTCAGACCTTCGCTGTTTTATCAGGTGCATTTTATGGTAAAGTTTGTTTTAAGGGTTTTTAGCAATTATCTGTTTGAATATCAAACATACGTGGATAAATACAATCACTGATATTCTAAAATAATTGTTAAGACATTCGTACACGCTGTCGTTTTCCCTCATTTTTCAAAATATAGGGTGACTTTTGAGTACTAAGCTTTTTTTACCGTCAAACGTTTCTTAAAAACAGTGTAAACTGCTCCCGAAATGAACTTTATCAAATTTGCTACCTGTCTTAAAGTCAATCATACATCATCAAATATTATTTGTTGAAATTTGGTAAACAGTACATAAGTTGTTATAGTTTTTTGTTGGCAAGGACGGTACCCATTTTTGATGCTCATTAAATAATGTTTTATCATTGAAATCCACTTGCTCATTTGTCTATAAAACAGGCATTGGTTGCTGTAAATGTCACATACTAGTATTTCAGTGAATATTTCTATGGGATTTTAAACAAGTTTTACAGCAGCTTTAATGAAGCTTTTATTTTCACTCTAGTCTACTTATTCTTAGCATTCTTTTATAATGCAGTGTCTCGAATAGCCCTTGTTTTCCAGCTTCTCACAATGAAACAATGTGATGAAAAGTGGTCACATAAACTGTTATAAATTCATTAAAGATTAAATAATGAGAGAAAGTCAAGCTTAATGTCATATGATATCTGTATTGTATGTCATACAGTTCAGGACATTATTTATTGAACAGCCCTCGTAATAGTCTTCGATATATGAATAATTTCGCAAAAATGATTTACCATTGCTTCAATACCAATCCACATAAAAGTTTTTTTTTAAGTTAATGCAGCTATAATCACATCGTTTTTCTTTTAAAAAATCGGACTTGATGTTATGTGATGTTCTAGAAGCTTCTGTCAATATTAAGATCAGTAGATGACGAAAATAAATTGCACATTTCCCTTTTCAATCGGTTATCATAACTCATTTTTTAATATCATTTAAATTAAGGTTTGATTGAATAAGTCAGTGATGAAATTTTAATGAATGAATAAACGATCATTGCTTGTTACCAATAGCTTGGATCCACTGACCGGAAACGCCACCGTACTCATGTTTTTTTTTTTTTTTTGCTATCTAATGGCTGTTTATAGAAAATTAAAGTAAAACTATTAATTTTATGTACTATACTAACTATGCAAGTGAAATATTGTACCTAGTGTTTTGTAAGAGAAGTAAGTAAGAACTCTGGTGCACCCTTTCGAAATTTATTTGCAAAATGTATTAATTTATAAGTATAGATATATAGGGTAGTAAGTATTCAAACATTGAGTATATTTTTAGTGCTTTTCGTCATGTAAAAAGGAAATTGTGCAAGGAATGCATCTGTTCACATCAGACATTTGCATACTCGTGTTTTACTGGCAAATTTCTTAAATTACAATAGAGGGTAAGCTTTAATACACCTTCGAATAGTTATATCTAAATGTTTTCAGCATATGGATAAGAGGATCTTGCTATGATGTTTGACTGACTTTAATCGCAATGTAGATATTTCTTAAAAATAGAATTTGATTTAAATATACACTATACACTAGTATTCAACCTTTAGAAACTTTTAAAAATCTAAATACCAAAAAGTATGGTTTTTCAACTTTAATTTATGCAACCAGGCCAAAAGTAACTGCTGTTCTGTAAATTTAATTTATAAGCAATGTATTTGAGAACTTTGAGAAGAGGAAGATGTAAGTAATACCATTTATTTTGCGAAGGTCCTTTCAATATTGTTCCTGCTCACTGGAGCAGAGCATAGGAACTGCTCAACAGTGGAGGATTGTGGCGGATACAAAGGAGCAGTTTGTACTGATGGCCTGTGTCAGTGTGATCAACATTTCTTTGAGTTCATGGCTAACAATTGTACTGTAGGTAATATATCATTGCGAATACAGATGTTTTCAAAAGATTAGACAGTTTGCACATCAGAATGTTGATGATTTGAGCAAAGGAATCGAGTACTGACTACTTCACCTGTTGTTGGCATTTACACTTTGTAGTTATTTGTTTTTAATACTTCTATATAATTTTATTTTTTCCCCAAAATGAGGCAAAAGTATTTTTGAGAATAGAAAAATACTGGTGAGTTTTATCTAATTTTAAAGTTTTTATAAGTATAAACATAATCACGATTTTGCTCACACACCCAAAAATTTAGATAAGTTTCTTGTGGTCATATTTTACCCACTATACATGTAATTTTCTTTATACATGTACTGAATATGAAATCCATTGCTATTACTTGATATAAGCCAGCAATAATTAATGCTTTTTTGTATTGAAAATACAAAAAATAAGAGTACAAAAACTTGCAAACGCCTCAATTGAATTTGTATTTTTGGAATTTAATGTGCACTAAATTTGAAAACAGGTTTTGTACTATCATAATATAAGTTTTGATGCTTGTTTAAATCTTCTTTTAACGCAAAATTAAAACTATAACATCGATATTATCAATGTTAGAATTGTTTTTTTTTTTATTTCATGTTTTATAACCAATCATTTTAGTACCGACAGTTACAATAACAGAAGAGACTCACATTATTTATGGATACACGACCATATTGAATTCTACAGTTGCTTCACTACTACCGATTACAACCTTTATATGGCAAAAATTAGACAGTGATGTGCCGACAAATATATCGTTCAACGACGACAAATACGCACAGGACCTCACAATTAATAATGGAAGTTATGGTCTCTTCCTTCTTATAAACAATACAGAATTTCCTGACGAGGGCGAATATCGGGTTGTGCTGGAATTACCAGGAATTATCCTGAAAAGTCAAATAATTTTTCTCAATGTTACTGGAGGTAAAACGCTAAAAAACAGACATGTCTTTGAATTAATTTCTATCTCTGCTCTTTGGTTAAAAGAGATGTAATACGCAAGTTTCGAGATAATCTCCCTTGGTGCGCTATTTATTTAGAAGGGGATTTTCGTTGCCGCGTAAACAGACAGGTGGGACAGATATCTGAGTTTTGAAAACATTGCATTATCGGTATACTGGTTTATCATAACTACACGATTGTCAAGATGCATTCTACAACTCGAGAATAACCAAATTTATGTAAAAGCGTGATTTTTTAAAGCAAAAAAATCGTATTAATAAAGGAATATCAGTGTATGTTAGGATTTTCAGACGAGGGAAGAGGTACGGACCTCCAATAAATGCAGTACACATGCACATTGCACGTCGGCAATCAAAATGACACATTAATTCATTTCCTAATTATAACTTCAAAAAACCCACTAACTTTTTAGAAAATGTTTGTACAATCAATTGATTACTTCAATTGGTTAATTGGTTACTTTTTATGAAGACTACGACGTTTCTCTCGTTTAAAGGTACCCTAAAAAGTAGATTTGTAAATAATTATGCATAGTAGAGCTTGATAAAATCAGATTATCAAATGACAAATGCATCAATGCTTAACAGTTTTATTTTGCTATAACATTAGATGAATATCGTTCATTTACATATACACGTTTGTATACAGAAACAATTAACCTGTCCCACCTCCATGTCAAAATTAATACTGTATGCGCCTCGTATTGTAAGAGAGTTACAATCTCGAAACTCGCGTATTAGGTTATTAACATTTATTTTGATTTCTAATTGCATACATGGGATTAAAACAAAACCAATCTCTTTTAGAACGACCAGCGGTTGCCCTATCAGAGCCTTTTGAATCTTCATCCACAATTACAATTCCATGTCTTATTACAATCTCATCAGATTCTCCTTCCTTATCAGCAATCACATGGTTAAAAAATGGAAAATCTATAAATATCACGGGGAACTTCCGGAAATACAGTGGAGGGTCCTTGACGAATCCCAACATCACAGTTCATAACGTGGATTCCAAAGATCTGGGAAACTACTCTTGTGAAGCATGGAATGCCATAGGAAATTCAACGAGTGACGTCATTACATTACGTATGTACATGTATAAGTCAGGTAAAATATGTTATAAATACATGTTCTTTTTATCTATCAAAAAATTGTGAGCAAATATTTAAAATCAATATTATTTAATGGAATATTTCTGCATTAGAAATCAGACTGGTGATTGTTTTTGTTTTTATTTATTTTTTTTTTTTTATAAAAAGATAATCAGATACATGTACATGTATGAAATTTTTTTTTCAGTTTTCTTCAACTTCAATTTAAAATGTCTACGTATTTCATTTTTTTTTTTAATTTCCCTGTATGGACATCATAACTTGCTTTTAATTACATACGGTCAGACGTCAAATTACATCCTCCAGCTACAGCACTTCAAAATCATTCCATACAGCCTGTATTTAGTTAGGTTTCTTATGTATATATATTTTGCTTCAGGACCACCAAACATTTTCATTATGGGAAATAGTACAGCCCCATTAAGCGGGAAAGCAATGTTTCTAGGAAACATTTCTTCTGTTTTATCTGTAACTGATATTAAATGGCAATCACAAATCGAGAGTAAAGGCGTCCTGACCATCGACGTATTATCTGCTAAATACAATGGGAGTTCTACATCATTGGAAAGACCAATCCTCATTATCAACAATATAGATATGAATGACAACGCTACGTATGTTTTGATAGCAACTAATAAACTAGGAACTACAATAAGCAATGCTTTGCATCTACAGATCATAATGGGTATGTTTTCTATATTTTTTTGCAATAAGTTGTACGAAAAAAATTATAAAATAAATCAAATTATTCATGTTATTCTAAAGAAAATCCTTTCTTAGCTTTGTTTGCTACATGTTTCTTCAAGATGAGTAGAAAAGAAATTACTTCGTAAGTCAATTAATTTTTAACAATATCTCTCTCGAAAGTCAAATAAATTTGATATTTACAATATATTTTCTTCGAAACTTTTAAAAGAATTATAAGTTGAATTATATGTATTTATTTAAAACTTTCTAAAAATAATAATATCTTGAATAATTTTGAATTCATACAAAATAACATCGTCGCAAACCACGGCCATAATGTATGATCCTCTCCCATTGAATATTTTCGGAATCTCGGACACCTGACAACTTACAGCGGACTGCGGACTTTTCATTTTAGGGAGCATGTCAAAAAAGTAACTAGAATGTTACGTATATATATCATTGAACTCGATAATAAAATTTCGTTTTCATTTGCACGAGTTATAACAACAAATACATTGCATGGAATGTGTCGCCTCTTTCCTTGAAGACAAGTCTAGTAGTGTAAAATCGTATCACGAGAATAAATTATCTATACGAAAAACATGCTTTAAAACGTATTTCTATACGCTCCCCGAAAGTCGTCTATTGTTTGCAGTCCGCTGTCCGTAGTACGATGTCAGGTGTCTGAGATTCCTAAAATGTTCATTCTAGCCGTGGTTGAATGAGAAGAGAATATTTCGTAGATCATTAAAATATTGATCAATGCGAGTAAAGCGTAGTCGGAAAATGAACTTTGATGTGACCTTTCAATATCCAATCGCAGTGTACGATATATTTCTTGTATACCGTGACGGCAATATTGTTGATATCAATTGCGATGGAAACAAAACTTGTCAATGACTGAAAATGACGTCACACTAGAGAGACGTAAATATTCAAGATTTTTTGACCAAAAAGTCACAGGTAGGAGAAAGCATTTATGCGGACTCTGGACCGTGGCTTGAGACGATGACAAAATAATTTACTTAAAATTTTTTTTTTATTTGCAGTTCCTGTGGTCAGTTTAATTGGACCTTCACATGTGTTGGAGGGTACAACCGCCATCTTAAGGGCAACCATTAAGTCAACAGAAACAACTAATGACACCTGGTTAAAGCAACATAACGGGACATCCTCCATTATTTTCATAGATAATTACAAATATGCCAGAAGGTTTGTAATTACGGGTGATAAAGAGAAGGAAAATCTACTAGAAATTAGAAATGTTGGACCTCAAGATATGGTGTTTTATCAGCTACATGTATCTAATTCTGCTGGGGAAAGTTTCAGCAACAAAATACACTTAGATACCATTAAAGGTAATTATATATACGGATAATTCATAAAAATAAAAACAAAAACTTTTAAAAATCGTACTTATTCTAAACAGAAATAATGAATTGTTTCGATCGGTTATTAAGTTTTCTTAAAGCTACAATTTGTTTAGGCAAATATGCACATATGATTTTTATCAGAAATATAGTCATGGAACTCTATTCCAATGTACACTTCATTGCTGGTTGAAAGCTTCAAAATTCGCTGTTTGAGAATATTTTGGCTGTGTGTATGAATTAAGAATTCAAAGCATTGTTTTCAAACTCTTTGGAGTTATATCATTTGTTATAATTAATAAGACATAGCTGTGATGTTGCAAGTAAATATATAGGTATTGGATTACGTTGGCCACAAATATATAAATTTCCTAAATAACAACATCGCCTGGTAAATTAGCAAACTGTACTTAACCATCATCTTTTGCAGCTCAAATTAAGTACCGGTATATATTTTTACGCTAAAAAATTTGTAAAAAAAAAAAATGAGTACACAATATACAGTAAACTGTATATGGAGATATCGAACATAATTCACCTCAAAAATTCATTAAGAATATCAATTCTGGCGCAGAGCGAACACGAACTTCTTGAATATCTGAGATATGATCAGGTGCCATAGAGGAATGAGCATCCTCTGCCGACTGGTTACACTCGCCTTGTGCTCCATGTCATATTGAGGATATCAGTAAAATCTGTCAACATGTTAGTGTATTTAAAATTGCCAATCTTTCAATTAGTATGAATAACGTCAGTCAGGATTTGATTTAATGATAGAAAACATTCACTGCCAATGCTGTTGCATGGATTTTGTTTCACCAACTTGTTTTTCAATAACTTATTTCGTCTTCGAAATTCTCCGTACACAGAGCAAGTTCTTGTGTATCGAATCAACCGAGATTTGAGCACTGTATGACTATTGAAAAGTTAAAGCCACCACGTTTATCATAAAGCTTGATAGTTAGATGGCCGTCAACGTCTTCTTCTAAAATATTTATGGCATTCTATAAAGACATGTTTTGAGTGTTTTTCTTAGATTTACCACTTTCGTTACTTTTTTTATTAATGGAAGAATAAATTTCCAGCCGTTGTTTTTTGTACATTAAATGATTAATTGTTTTCTCTCGTATTGAGACAAACTTCAAATAGCATTAAGGTTTTGCCTTTTGAATATTTTGTATGACTGGGCCGTGTTATCTTTAAAAAAAGAAACCAAAAGAAAATAATTGATTTGCTAAACTTTCTTTAAAGTCACTTAAAATTATTTTTAAGGTCACAGTGGAGATATCAATATATTGATAAACTTGCCATTTCACTGTATTGAAATTAGATCCTTTGCGCCTCTATATTTATATTTCCAATGTCTTTGTCCGAGATAAAATTACAAATAGTTAATGTACTTTACGAGGGCTGTTCAATAAATAATGTCCTGAACTATAAAACATACATTACAGATATCATATGGCATTAAACTTGGCTTTCTCTCATTATTGAATCTTTCATGAATTTATAACAGTTTATGTGACCACTTTTCATCACATAGTTTCATCGTGAGAAGCTGGGAAACAAGGGCTTTTCGAGACACTGCATTATAAATGAATGGTAAAGAATCAGTAAACTAGAGTGAAAATAAAAGCTTCATTATGGCTGCCGTAAAACTTGTTAAAAATCCAAAAGAAATATTCACTGAAATATATGACATTTACAGCAACCAATGCCTATTTTATAGACAAAAGAGCAGGTGGATTTCAATGATAAAAAATTATATAATGGGCATCAAAAATGGGTACCCTCCTTGCCAACAAAAATTATAACAACTTATGTACTGGTTGCCAATTTTCAACAAATAATATTTGATGATGTATGATTGACTTTTCGACACATAGCAAATTTGATAGACATTATATCGGGAGTAGTTTACACTGTTTTTAAGAAACGTTTGACGGTAAAAAAGCTTGGTACTCAAAGGTCACCCTATATTTTGAAAAATGAGTGAAAACGACAGCGTATACGAAATTCTTAACAATTATTTTAAAATATCAGTAATTTTAGTTATCCACGTTTGTTTTATTTTCAAACAGATATTGAAACATGAATCTATTGGTTAGAACTCTCAAAACAAAATTTACCATAAGATGTACTTGATAAAAACGGCGAATGTCTGACAAGAGCACAGGTATTCAAAAGCACAAAGACAGATTTATATGTAATTTTCTTAAAAATTAGTGGTATTGTTGTTCAAATTCGTATTCGGAGAGACAGTTTAATTTCTGGATGAGTCTAGAAAGCAATTTCTTTGCAAAAAAATCAAAAAGTTTATTAGAGAAAGGACCCAGAATCAGGAATCCACTACATTAAATTTCTTCAAGACAGCGTCCAAACCCGCATGCCCTGAAGAGTAAAGGGGTTTTCGGGATAAACAGAAAGTTAATGTTTTTTCACATTAACAATATTCGCCAGATCGTTGACCTTTTGACTTGTTTCTATTTCCAAACTTGAAAAAAACACCTTTCAGAGGGAAGAAACAAGTCCGGGAAATCATTGGATCTGCCATTTTCCAGTATACTAAGGGTCATACCCAAACATTAGTTCTAAAAACAATCAGAAATTGGATAAAAAATGTTACGGACATGTATTTTACTTAAAAGAGATTAATTAGTAAAATCATGTCGATGAAGACTAAATCATTGAAAAGCGTCTTTTTCTTCTTTCTGAGCACCGAGGACATTATTTATTGAACAGCCCTCGTATTTCCTTATCAATGTACTGGTTCATCGAAAGGCACGGTTAAAAAAAATCACGTGCAGGGCGGGACAAATAGAGAAAAGAAGCTGGACTTGTAACACGTGGATTGGCGGAATCAAGAGCATGTAAATATAAGAAATAACTGTCAGATTTCTCGATTTCATGACGATGATCAATCGATTGGCTTGGGTGATAATTTTACGCATAAACGCCGAAGGCGCCTATCCAAATTATCACACAAGCCAGTCGATTGATCACATCATGAAATCGAAAAATAAGACAGTTATTCCTTAAGTATTCTGTTATGTCGCTGTAAGGATTCTTAAAGCAACGTAACAAGGTTCTAATTTTAATTAGATTACATGTACTTGCAATTTCAGCTCCACCGTTGATGACTGACTTTGCCCTTGTGATGCACAAAATTGTCATGGAAACAACTATTGAAGTAGCTTTAAATGCAACATTTTTCACAAATGACATAAATGGTCATATCGTTTATTTTGGAATAGCAGTCTGTTCAAAATGTTCTGGCAAGTATTTTGTTATTTACATAAATGAACATTATTTTCACAAGAAAAATGTGTTTTGAGAGACATACATTGAGTACAAACGATATTAAAATGGTAAAGCCATTGATATTACACTTAAAAAAACATAAAGTAGATGAATGTATTTTACACAACCAAGAACGTAAAAATCTCCAAATATCATAACATCTACTTGTACAGACCATAAGAAATTGAAGAAAATATTTTTTTTATTTAGCATTTTTGCACATTAAGTCATGGGCAGAGCTAATTTGGTCCTTTTGTGGAAATCTCACGCAATATAACCCTTTTCACCATAATTTCAAGAAAGGTATCGAAGATACTTTTAAACATTTTTTTTTCTATTTGTGCAATATCTTGTAGATCTAGATAAACAACCTCGTACACTCAGTTATATGTGGGAAAGTCTTCCAGACTGGTTTGAGGCAAGGCAGAATCAATTTACTCTGTATCGGGCAACGGATGATAATTTTATGACAGCAATAAAACTACATGGTAGATTTAATGAGACTTATTATGAGTTTACATATACATATCATGTCACGAAAAATACAACCAATTTCATCAACTAGAATTTTTAATTAATCATGTGATTTGAGCAATTTAACAAACATGTTAAATGTTCTTCGACCATGGATGCTATTTTTTATTCAAAATATTTCAGTTCAAGAGTATGGTGTATCAAGAGCAAAAATATTTACTATTGGTGAGGATAACAATTGTCAGTCGCTTGGGCCACGCGGCTACTGTAATGGACCATTACGACCTGGACTTTCCTACAGGTTTGAAGGATATGTAAATATAATGAAGACATGTTGAACGTCCAGTCAGGTCTTGATCGTTAAATCGATAACTTAGTAAGCAGTTTTTTCATGTATATTTAGATTGACACTATTTGCTTGCACTTTGGCGGGATGCAGTCAATCTGGATCAATAGGACCATTTCAGACGCCAACAGGTATTTTCTTTCTTTTTTTTTTTTTTGTCCATCAGAAACAAAATCTAAACAAGAGGCCCATGGGCCACACAAATCAGCTTATTATTGAAAAGCTTACTTGTTCGGAGAGGGGGGTTTGTTTTCTATTACTAACTTGAGAATGTCAATATATCAATAAAGCATTCAAAAGTCATGTATAATTTTGCCATTCTTGAAAAGAAGATTTTTAAAGATTTTTTCCAACATATTACTCGATCTCCCTTTGTGACCCCCACCCCCCTCCCGGATATTTTTTGAATAAATTTAAATCTTCACTACTTCAGATGCTTACATGTCAATCTGACAAAACTTTTCTGTTCTGGAGAAAATGTTTTCCTATATATTCCTATGTAAAATTTTGATCGACCATTGTGGCCCCGCCCTATGCCCGGGGGCCATGATTTATACACCACCTGAAGTTAATTCCACGTGAGTTTCATCTATCCTGGCCCAATGGTTCTGGAAAAAAGATTTTTAAAAGAAATAATAAATTTTTCATTAATTCATAATTTTCTCCCCTTGGAAGAGGGCTTGGCTATTTATTTGAACAATCTTGTATTCCCTTTACCTAAGGATGCTTTGTGGCAAGTTTGGATAAAATTGGCCCGGTGGTTCTTGAGAAGAAGTCGAAAAGGTGAAAAGTTTACAGACAGACGGACGGACAGACGGACTACAGACAAAATTTGATCAGAAAAGCTCACTTGAGCTTTCAACTCAGGTGAGCTAAAAAAAAACTAATCGATAAAAGCCAATTTTTCTTAATGTTCTTACACAATTTCTTTAAGCTCAAGCATCGAAGGCAGACAGCACAGTTCCTGTTGTAGTAGGATCGACTTTAGGGGTCATTGTAATCGTGATACTGGTAGTTGGTGTTGTTGTCTTCGTACACAGAAAGTACAGGTATAATAAATTAAATAAAATATTAACAGCTTTTAACCGGATTTCTAGGATCATGTACACCAACATGAATCAATGGAAATCATGCTTTTACTAAATTTTGTGGGTTTTCTAAAAAACAAAAAAAAAACTATAAAAATTATGTGTTGACAAATTTCTACATATTCGCATATTCATTATTTAAGACTTTTATATACAAACTTTTTAAAAAAAAATGAATTTAAGTTTTATACCTAATAGGACATATAACATTTACAAATGCATATAACTAGTAAATGAAACAATAATAAAGACTTCAAACTTTACACGAGAAAAACTTATCTTAAAAATGAATGGCAACTTCAATTTAAACGATGCCATTTAACAACATTTCTTCGCTTTAACATTTATTATTATACCTCTATTAATAATACTCAAATTTGATTGGCTGGTTAGAAGACTTTAAAACACAACAATGACTCCAAATGGTACTGTTTACAGCAATAATGACCTAGGAATCCTTGCACGTGGGATATAATGACCCTGTCATTATAATTAATGACCGCTAAATTATGACCTCTTAATCAAAAATTCGTTTTTGAGTAAAGTTAATGCATAAAATGATAATAATTCGAGAAAAACAACATGTTTTTAAATTTGTGCATGGTCTTATTTGCATTACCATACATAATACGGTAAAATTTCATCGCTAACTTAAACGGTTTACTCATTTCAAAATACAGTGTACATGTATCGTTATAGGCCTACAGTTCAATAGAATGTAGAAGCGGCTCTTTAAAGAGTTGAATTCTGTGTTAGATTTTGACTGTGTTGAGGAAAAGTAATCGTTAGCAATGTATGTTGCTATCATCCAATATTGTTATAATCAGTAAATCATGATGCAAAAACTTACACGACTTGCAGACGTCAACGTCAATGTAAACATCTTCGCTACACTCCGTGTAGCGAATCCCGATCCCGATCAAAGAAAGAATTGATAACGGTTCATTATTCAGATTCATACTTTTCAATATATATCGGTATAATACAACAATTGATTACCCCTTTTGAGGTCAACATGGAGAAATAAGGACATGAGACTTGGCCCACAAGGTGATCTGACCTGACCGAGGTAGCGTAGCGGCCGAGGTCAGGGCAGGTCATCGAGTGGGCCAGGACGAGCAGGAATTGTATAATATAAGTATTTCAATTTTGTAGAAAGCGTGAAAGATATACCGACCTTTCAATGTCAAGGATAGAAGGGTATGATTTTCAAAAGCATAGTTATATCAAAATTATTTAAACGAATATTGCAAAAATGAATAACAGATATAGAACTTTATCGTAATTTATTGTTTAGTGTTGCTAAAACAGGAGAAAATGAATCTTTATTATGTGTAATTACTTTATAAAAAAAATCATGATATTTCGCTAAACACAACTTATCGGTAACCAAAAATACAAATAACAAAATTGTTATCTAAGACTGATTTAAACTCAATTGACCTTCAAATGAAAATCTTTTTTTATATATATCTTAGCACAAGCGGATACACACATTTCAGGAGAGATTATAATATTAAGTAAGTCTTTCATTTTCTCTTACTAGACATATTCCTATTACAAAGTGTATATTAGGCACTTTATTCCATAGCCTATATCTATACTCTCAATTTCGTAAGGTTACCAACTCTTTGAAATTGCACTTTTGTTAACTTAGATCTATTTGATTTGTAGACCAATTCGGGTTGAGTTTTTATTAAATCATGTACAAGAGTTAACTAGAGAAAACGGCGCAAGACTAAGCAATGAATTTTCAGTAAGTAGTAATTCACAATAAATTTTTTTTTCTTAATTATATTTCTTTGGATTTGTGTTCAAATTTGTTTATATCAACCTTGCAGGAATTGACCTCACTCGTCTCAACAAGTCCTGCAACCGTTGGAAATCTGATGGAAAACTACGAGAAAAATAGATCTTCAACAATTCCTTGTAAGTATTACGAAGGTGAAATAAGTATCTAATGATCTTTTAATTGTCATTCTATTAGCTGAACTTATTCTATATGGATTTGATAACAAGTCTTTCACTTTTAATAAGATATTTTAATGTCATAGATGATTCAAATAGGGTCAAGCTGCATCACCCCTTGGAGGTACCAGAGATGAACTATATCAATGCTAGTCATGTCTTTGTAAGTAATGCTGACAGTAAACTCATTTTCCTAGAACACACTTCGATAAACTGATTTACATATAATGCTAATCCCAATCAAAGCTTTAAAATTAGAATATTATTAAGTTTTATTATTTTTATAGATGTACTTCAATGATTTAGTCTTAATGATTTCATTTCAATATTATCCTTTAAAGAAGAAAAAACATGTCCATAACATTTTTAACCAATTCTTGATTATTTTTAGAACACATTTTTCAGTATGGTTCTTCTTATTCGGAAATATGACAGATCCTATGATTTCCTGGAAATATTTTTTCTTTCTGAAAGTTTTTTTTCAAGTTTGGAAAATAAAACGAGCGTGCAAAATCTGGCGATTATTGTTGTTTTACAAAACATTAACTTTCGGTACATCCCCAAGTCTCCTCAGGGCGTGTGGATTTTGACGCTGTGATAATGGCATATAAAACTGTCTTTTTGTTCTTGCAATTCTTTGCTCTTTTGAGAACTTCGATGTTTTTGTCAAGTGCAACTTTTTGTAAAGAATGGGTGGACTTAACGCCCTATTTTGGATTTTTTTGCGACTCCGCTACCAAGCTGTTAATGAAGTGAATCCAAAATATATTACGAGCAATGGAAAGAGCTACATAAACTTGGTTATATTAGGCGGAACATTTGTACAAAAACAATGCCATGTTGTCATGTATCAAAATTGAAGCAACGATACATGAGTATCGTCTTCCGGAATTCGACATGTACCCGGACTGGTTTTTATGTCACACAATCAATATTTATAGAAGGCGGGGCTATCGATCGGCGTCATTGTTTACATCTCTCTCTCTATCCCTCTCTCTCTCCATAAATTCGAATACATGTTAAGCATATTACAGCGATGTCATTATTTTAAAAATGTGACGACACGCAAAATTAAAACAATATTCATCTTGCCAAATTCTGAAAACGGCAACAAAGCACGCTCAAAGACATAATTTAGATCGAGGTCAGGTTGAAGAATACAATATACCTGTTTTCACGAGTTCACTCGCAGGTGGACATCAAGTGATGAATTGTAATATTTAACAGGTCAATCGAAGACATAACAATAGAAGCTAGAAGTTTCTTTCGAACATGTTTTTTGTTAAATTAAGTGTGAGCACACTTTTGTCGGCTCTTCTCCTTTTAATATTACATTATTTTGTTCAATATACAACTACAGTTTTCTTAAGAACAGCCGACAAACATGTGCTGACAATGTATTCAGACGATGAAAAAACGCCTGACCCTGATTATCTATTGATATTCAAGAAATATTCAGGCACCATGCCTTCGATATTTATTTAGTTTACCTCTAAAAAAGCGTTTAAAATTCACATCCGTACCATGAATACACGGTTAAGATATCGGGAGTTTATATGATGGAAAAAAATAAACATTTTGTGAAACTTAAATTTACAGCATTTTTTCTGGCCAGTTAAGTCCACCCATTCTTTGTTTTGAGGGTCTACAGCAATAGATTCTAATTTCATTATCTGTTAGAGTCGTTTTCACTCATTTTTCAAAACATAGGGTGATCATTGACCATTGAGTGTTATGTCTTATGTTGTTAAATGTTTCTTTAAAACAGTGTGAACTACCCCAAAAATGGTGCCTGTCAACTTGTTATGTGTTTAAAGTCAATCAAAAATCATCAGTGAAAATTTGTTGAATTTTGGCAAACAGTTCATTGGTTTTTGTAAGGCCTTGTCGCCAAGGATGGTAACCATTTTGGATGCCGATTATATCATTTTTGTCATTGAAATCCATTTGCTAATGTATCTATAAAACAGACATTGGTGGCTGTTAATTTCGCATATTTCATTGAATATTTCTTTGCGACTCTTAACACGTTTTACAGCAGCTTTAATGAAGCGTTTAATTTCACTCTAGTTTACTGATTCTTTACCTTTCATTTTTAATGCAGTGTCTCGAATAGCCCGTGTTTCCAGCTTCTCACAATGAAACAATGTGATGAAGAGTGGTCTCATAAGCTCTTATTAATTCTTTAAAGATTCAATCCTCAGAGAAAGTTAAGATTAATGTAATATGATTTCTATGTTATGTGTCATAGAGTTCAGGACATAATTTATTGAAAAGCCCTAGTTCATAACACAAATTTGGATGTTGTCTAAGTCTCAATTATTATACAAATAAGTTTTTTTTCGGCAAATTAACATTTAATTTTTTTTATACAAATAAAATGTTTTTGTAGAATAATGAGTACATTATTACCCAGTATCCGCAACGCAGAACTATGATTGACTTTTGGAAGATGATATGGGAGCAGAACATTTCTACAATAGTAATGATTACTCCGTTGAATGAAATGAAAAAGGTAAGATCAACTGAGTAGTAATTTAAAAGGAAAAGCATAATGTCATCCAAACTGACACCGGGGCCTCCCGCTAACCGTGCAGTTTTCCTGCAACTGGGTTACTGACATGAGGTATCCAATCCTCGTCACCCTCTTTCGCTGAGGTTTTCCATCCTCGACTATTCTAAATTACACGAGGGTTTTGCAGTTACCCATTGCATGTTAGACTACCAAGAATTGATTGATCGACTGTAAGTCGTTTCACTTCACACTCGAGAAGATTGCACTCATATAAAGAAGTTCGTGTATATTATACAAGTGAACGACTTTATATATTGACTGGAATAAATGACTATTTAACAGTGAGAGATATTTTTCTTGTCAACGCCTGCAATGACACAAAAAATAGCTGCTACCCTTTTTTTATCGACTTAGGTCATTCGCGGCCGAGATTCGAACTAAAGACTTTACAAACACAATATGATAACACATAAGGAAAAAGCCCGACCTCCAAAACATCAGGTGCCATGAAGGAGTGACAAACTCCTGTCGCCCCCCCCCTTCACCCTGTGCTTCTTGTCATGGTCGGGAAATAAAGGGAAAATCCGTTAACAATTCAGTATATACGTAAATTATGGCTCAACAAAGATAAATTATTTCTGCTAACAAGTTCATTTTGTTGACCATAGCACTTTTAAGATGATACTTTTAATGGCTGATATTCTTGCTTCATGAACTTTTTTGTCAATAACCTACATTACGTAAACGTAGAGCATGCTGTTCCAAATAGAATCAACTGAAATATACAGTTAACCCTGTATGCAAGTGTTGAGGCATATTGCTGCATATCTAAGTAATGGAGGTTGATGATTTAAAAGTTAAAGTTATCATAAAGCTTTGTTGTGATTACCATTAATGTCTTTTTCAAGTAAAAAAATCCAAATATAAACAAGAAAACATATGACAATGTATGCTTACTTAGTCTGTACCATGTATTCAATTAATAATATTATAAATGAAAAATAGCCGTTTTTCAGTCAAAATGATAATTTAACCACCCTTCAACTCGGTGAATATTTTATCATTGGTACTCTAAATGTCGTTTTTACCTACAAAGCAGCAATAATTGTTAACATCTTTATAGTGCTTCCAATACTATACTGGAGAACAAAGACCGTCATGTACATATGGCGATGTGGTTATTACACCCATGGCTACATTTATGTATGGCAAGAACTTGAAAATCAGAAACTTAGATGTTTACAAGGTTGGTGATGGAATTTACTTTGTAAACTAAATGTATATACTTAGGACAGAAACTTTTAAAAAAAAGTTTGTTTCAAATAGAAGAAGAATAATTCAACATTCTTGATAAGAACTGCATTATATCAGCAAGCATGTTAATTTTTTAATAATCATCATTGAAAATTATTTGAACAGAAAATGAACAGGAGAGTAAGAAGAATTATCACCCATTTCCATGTATATGCTTTAAATGAAAGCACAATGGCCAGAGACATTGTTGATTGTATCAAAATTATACGTTCGAATATTCAGCCTGGGTTAAAACCACTTGTTGTACACAGTGGGTAAGCAATTCAACATTTCTACCAGTTCCTTTTATTTGCTGAATTCTGATCTCTTTTTAAATGTCATTATATCGTATATTAACACAATCAAATGTAAAGTATGAAATACATGTTTCAGAAAGATAATGAGCTTTTATGTTTTAAATAGAATTTACTGGACGGCACTAAATACAGAATTGCCATATTTTTAATTTTGTATTTACTGCCACCCGGTAACTTCAAAATTTACAGAAAGATATTTTTCATGACGTTTTTTAATAGGCTTCCCGTTTTCAAAACTAGTTTCTTTCGCAAAAATAGCAGATGACAAGTAGTGATTCATGAAAACTATATTCTCAGAAAGATGATTGAAGCTAATCGAATCAAGTGTTACATTAAAGAGCATATTGCAGAATGTTTTATCAAAAATATAACAAAATTCTTAATAATGACAAAGAGCATTGTATACACTATCTTTTCTGATATTTTTACGATACAGATAAAAATTCTCTTAATAGATCTGGTCCGGAATGGAGCGGGGTTTTTGGCCTGATGGATTATATAATTCAAAAGATTAGAAATGGATCTAATACAATCGATATATCTGCAACAACTCTTCAACTTCTTGATGAAAGAATGGCGGTGCTTTCAAGCGTGTGTTTATCTTTTTTCATATATAACCTATATTAGCCAAACATTTATCATCTGTACATAGCTTTGCCTCATATGTTTTCTGAATACTCAGTGCAATTACAACTCGTTCTTAATTATTTGATGCCAAGCAAAGACTTTTACATATTGAAATGCTACGATGTTGTTCAAATCCGCTTGCTTTTTTTACGTTTGGTTAATTATTATCATTATTATTATTATTATTATTATTCTTGAAAAATCCTGACAAAACAAAAGACGTCCAGTAAATTTTATATGGTTTATTTTAAATTAACTCAAAGATATATCAATTTCTTTACATTTTATACTAAATATTTCTGATTAATAATTTCTACTTTAGAGTCAATATGCCTTACTGTATAGCTGCCTAGAAAAATATCTTAATCAGAGTGCTATAAATCACATGTCAAGCTTACCAGATGGAGAAGGTAACCGATTTTAGTATTTTCATTCTTATATTGTCAATTATACAATATTATATCATGAATCACCTAAAAAGAAATAATTTGCTTCATATGATAGCTTCCGTCGTATCTCATTAACTTTGAATCATTTAGCTTCTGTTTTTGCTTTAATTGTATGAAATACTTTATATCGTTCCTCTTATATCAATATAATTTATTTTTCAGAGAGTGCAAGTTCATATGAAACTCTTCCATAGAGAAAAGACTTACAATGTGTTTCATATTAAATTTTATCAAAAATTTTATTTTTATATTTTTTATGAAAACGAAAATGTTTAATTTCAATTGACTGAGATTTGTTATAAGATTTCATTAAATTTTTGGTGTACGAAGATCAATTGAATTAGCAAATTACAGTAAAACTCGTTTAGTACGAACACGGATAATTTACGGATATAGCGAAGTCAACTTGGATCCCCAGCTGTATAAATTTACTGAATTCCTTATACGGTTATAACGAATTACGGATATAACAAAGTAAATTCTAAGGTCCCAGCGACTTCGTTATAACCGAGTTTTGCTGTATATTGTTTTTATTTTCTGAACAAAATTTTGTTGTTTTATTTACATCCAGAAATTTACATTGATTTATTTACAAATAGATTTCGAAGACTTACTTTAATTTGCTTGTAATAGGATTTGAAGTTTAATATTTTCTCAGATATTCGGTATAATATATGTTTCCATATATATTTCCATTTACACGGAAATATTAATATTATATATTATTGATATAAATAAACATGTATCTTTAAAAAAAACTAACTTCATCTGAAAATTATTGAAGCTAAGAATTTCAAAACGCGTTTGATTGATACATCCTTGCACATTCATCGAGCAAACTTATCCCAAAACTTAAGAAAAGTAAAAATTTGGTTGTGTATTAATGAAATGTAATCAAACTTTAATCCAGAAATTTCAGAGTTGGAATGTGAGAAAACAAAACTAACTCACCAGTATTGTCAATTCGTGCTCACAGATGTGTGCAAAGTTAAGCAAATTGAACACATCTGATGTATTGATTGATTGATTGTATACTGTTTAACGTCCCTCTCCAGAATATTTCACTGATATGGAGACGTCACCATTGCCGGTGAAGGGCTGCAAATTTAGGCCTGTGCTCGGCACTCAGGGCCTTTGAGCAGGGAGGGATCTTTATCGTGCCACACCTGCTGTGACACGGGGCCTCGGTTTATACGGTCTCATCCAAAGGACCGCCCGATTTAGTCGCCTTTTACGACAAGCAAGGGGGTACTGAGGACCTATTCTAACCCGGGTCCCCACGGGGTGACACATCCGATGAAACAGTAAAATTAAAAACATAAGTAGCTTATCTTTCACGGGTGTGTTAAATTTGTTTAACTTGATGAACACTGAGTAATATAACAGGCGGGACAATATCGTCCAATCTGACACAAGGGCCTCCCGCTAATACCGCGGTCGTCCTACAACTGAGTTACCGACCTTAAGTATTAGTACCCAGTCCCCTTTGCCCCCCTTTTTTCTTGAGGTTTTCTAACCTGAAACATCACCAACACACTTCCAGACCACCCCATGTGTTTTGCTGTATGACGACAAGTTTGAAAGGCGGAGAAAACGAGAAAATTATTACTTTAAACGTGACAACTAATATTCCAGTTTCATCATCTTGTTTGTCAATTATAAAAGTCGTTTAAGAAATTGTTGATACGTAGAGAATGCTCTTGCGTATTGAATCATTTGAGATATATAAACTCTGTATGCAGGAGATGAAGGTATATTGCTGCATAAGTAAAGTAAGTTCACGATAGAAATTATAAAGTTAAAGCCATCACGTTTATTTTAGATTCTGGTTTTCAGATCACAATTAACGTCTTTTCAAGTGATATATCCAAATATGAAACAGATGAGTCAGACTCTATAGTACCTTTTATCAAAAGTCCACCAGGATATTATGGTGTCCCGATAGGGTCATTGCAAAAGTGTTTTAGTAAGTTAGAAACAACACTCAACGGCGTTAGTGACAACGCGCAAACGCGGTGTTAGAAAAACACGCAAGCGTATTAATGACAACGCGCTAGCTCGTGGTCGTTTTGTGAACAACGTGCTATCGCGCTAATGTCAACGCACCAGCGGGCTAATGACAACGAGTTCTGTATAAACTTTAAGTCGTGTTGTTCACAACACGATTTGGCGCTAACACACAACTCGTTGTCATTAACGCGCTAGCGCATTGTCATGAATGCGCTTGCTTGTTGTATCTAACTCGCTATTAAACTTTTGCAATGGCCCTATCGGGACACCATACATCCATAGTATAGACATAAAAATAGAAATTGCCATTATTAATTGACAATACAATGTACGTTGTCGATACATGTATAATATACAATAACAAAATGAATTGAGAAGTTCAAAATGCCTTTCTTCTGAATATTTATTTTGAATCAACAACTAAAAAATTAATTCCGAAAGAAGTGTCCACATCAAATACCCTGTGTCGTATCCATTGAGAATTTTTTTAAGGTACTTGGACACAGATTTGAAGTTATTATTTTCTCTATAATAATACGACTTATATATTTTAATAGCATTTCACACAAAAATTAATTAAAAATCTTATTTCGTTTAAAAGATATTGAAATTTCCAATTTTTTCGGCGGGTTTGATTGACATATCGTTGCACTCTCACAAATTTAATTTTATTCTTAATCCTTAGGAAAAGTGGCAATCTCGTTTTGTATACATGAATAATATTGATACTATTATCCAGAAAATTCAGCGTAGACACGTTCGAAAGCAAAACAAACACACAATACATTGTCAGTCCGTGCAGTTGTGGTAAGCAGACTGTGACGATTGAACGCACCCGGTAAATTCTAAATATAAACAATAACAGAACTCGAGCCCTGTTTACAAAAACTGTGTACATAACACGAGTGTGCTCGATTTGCTAAACTCTGCACGCATCTCTTAGTTCGGAATGACGATACTTGTGAAGGTGTTTTGCTTTCAAACATTTCTACTCTGAATAAAATTATTTTTCTTGATAAAAGTTTTAATATTTCTCATTAAAACACATCAAAATTGCCACTTTTCCTAAGGATTAAGAATAAAGTTAAAATTTGTGAAAGTGCAAGGATGTGTCAATCAAACACGCCAAAAAATTTAAAGTTTTAATAACTTTAAACGAAATAAGACTTTAAATTAATTTTTGTGTGAAATGCTATTAAAATATATAATTCTCGAGATTATATAGAAAAAATGAGAAAATATTAACTTCAAATCTGAGTCCAAGTATCTTTAAAACTAAACTTAACTATTTATAAACATGCTTGGCAAGCTATCAAATATTATGTACAGTTCTTACTACTTGCACAGAAATTGCAAAAAAAGCGATGTTTTTCTAATTTACATCGTATACGGAAGTAAAAAAATTATAAGGAACGGCATTAATAACTACGCAATTTATACGGTATATTTCTTTTCTAAACCGCAGCGTTAATTGCCCTAACTCAGTTAACCCCGTATAAATTGGATAGCTATTAAATTCATTTCTCAGATGAAAGAGAAGTAATTAATATCAATTTGCACTGCATCGCTATTTTTCTTTTCTTTTTTTTTTTTTAAAAAAAAAGGTATTTTTCTTAATGTTTAATGCTCTTGTTTCATTTTTCTTGCATGTCTGCATCACGATGAAACAACTGGACAAAATGATATAATAAAAAATAAAAGAAAATAATTTTAAAAGAAACTAGATTTAAAAACTTGTTTCTTTTCAAGATGAACAGACTAAAATCTTTTAAAAACCTCCAAATCATTCATTTTGGAATTTTCTCATTAACTCAATTATTTCTCTTATTTAAGAAATGCCTTCAATCTTATTCAAAGTTGGAAAAATTCCAACAAAAAAATGGATTTACCTACCGATGCAATTTTTTAAAACCCGAATAGGGAGAACGCAAACAATTTTTTTTTAAAAAAACGGCCTTACTGGAATTTTTCAACCACCACTTGACACCTTTAAATATATATACTTATATATACTTAATTGTGAAGGGAAATATCATTTCAGATATTTGACGGAGACTAACTTCTTAAAGAAAAAACTACATCCGTACAATATCGCCCGTCCTATTTTTAATTCACTTCTTATTCTGTTTAAGCCTTAAATTGGTTTGATTCATATGACATTTTCTGGCCTAATTTTTTTTTTCAGAAAGTACAAGTTCCTATAAAAGGCAAGTGCGCTTCCATAGAGTAAAGTCTACCATATTTCTCATATTTTTTCCCGTTTTTTTCCGATCATGACAAGGAGCACCCGGCGGGAGTGACAAATCGTCATGGGATGCTCATTCCTCCATGGCACCTGATCCTATCTGTAATGTGTTTGAGGTCCATGAGCAAAATTAAAGCAGTAAGTAATTTAGTATTTGACAATTTTCTGGGTATTATAACGGATTTGGTTTTTCTATAGAATTGGGTTTAAAAAAAACAAGAAAAAAAAAGAACAGTGATAATATGTTTACTATTCTTCTTTATCCATAACTTGAATTAGATATTCTAAGAAAGAAACTCGTATTCTGCGATACAAATCAAGACATTGTGCGCATATCATCTTTACATCAATAGTACATATTTAGCGATAAAATATTAATACGGAGGAACAGACAACTGCTTGACACTTATAAGGGAATGCTATATCAGTAGTTTCCGTTTCTTGCATATTTCAAATAATTCTCTTCACAACGTGAATTATTTCCTTGTTTGCGTCCTGTTTTAGTTTCAGGAAATTGCCTCTTCATTGTATTGAATCTCGTGTAAATTAGTATAAAAATCAAAGCAACAGTCTTTATGTATTATAACTGTGTCACTGTGTACATGTAATTAGGACAGACATGTTAGTTTCCCGGGTCACTAAATCACTGGACACTTTTATTACTGATAACATGTACTTGTAGAGAATTATGACATACAATTTATAAATTATACGGGTTACTGTTTTAGATGTTCATTCATATGAAATTGAATTTAGTTGCTCATTCAATAAGCACTTTTTAATTAATGTTTGCATTTGAAAATACAAATAAGCAAGAAAAATAAATATATCTTACAAATCAAACTATGTTTGTAGAAAACAAATATTGATTGTTTAAAATATTTATTATTTCATTTTTAAATTTTGACAAGAAAGTCAGCAGTACTAGTATCGTTTAAAGTAAAGGTTTACTGGTCAATACAATGACCTTGTCAACAAACACAATTTATCATCAAGTCAAATGATGACTGGTGTTTTTTATTCTAATTGTTAGGTTATTATTTACACGCTGAATTGTCAAAAGTTTTTCCGGTTTTATTTCCAGATCATAAAAAGTAGCTCAAGGCGGATGTGACTGGTCGGCAGGGGATGCTTACTCCTTCATGACACCTGATCCCACATCTGAGGTCTTGCATTGATTTACTAAGCAAGTTCGGTATAAAAGGAAGTTGCTTAAAATGTTTTCTGAGTGTTTAAATGAACGTTTGTCATTCGTCCCGCTATTGGTCATATTTCCTTACGAAACATAACTTCCATAAGTACTTTACTTAGATTCAACTTTAATTCCTCAAAATTTTGAATGACGATAACGTCAGAACCTATCATAGATACTTAAAGGAATACAATTCTTGATGACAAAAATCAAAAGAAAAATATCACATTTGAATGAAATATATTCAGGACTAGAATTGCTTACACGGGCTATGTTTATTATTAAGATAATAAACATGAGTTAAGCTATTGAATTTACGTCACTCTTTTTCCTTGCTGTTGAATTCGCATAATTGAGCAGACTATCAAATGTTTATCTCATTCCGGAAGCACATGCCTAACAAATCTTCTTAGATGACGGATATTTTGTTTGACACCATGGTCTTCTCTCTTCTTTCTAGCAATGTACACTTTTGCACTCAAGCAGGAGGGCACATGAAATAGTATGGTATTCTCAAGACATTGTATGCTTGGTGCTGAAAAAGAAAAGACCTGATTTCAATTTTTTTTTCACAGAGACAATACGATTGTATTTGAAAGAAAGAGCTCACCATTGTGAATAGGTGTAATTTTGGAGCAGAAGCAACACTCAATAAATCCTTCACTGGCATTGTAGGTACATCCACTTCCTGCTAGCCTTATAGTAGAAAATCGTCTGTAGTGCCCATTCCTGACATCTGCAAAAGTAGCCAATCTCTGCATCTCAGTTTTAGCAACATCACAACTGGGGATTGTTCTGTTTAGAGATTGTTGGTTTGTTTCTGCCTGTGGAGGAGTAACCTAGAGAAAATATAATATTGTCACATTTTCTGAAACAAGACACTGATTGATTGATATTAAGATTCAAGATTTAATTCTCAAATGATAGTTGTGCAAATCGTATCATTATCAGCGTGGAAGTGGAACAGATTGTCCATATGGCAGTGCATAAACTACTGTACGATTGCTAGGGCTTTTAAAATACATTTTAATTTTAGATCCACATATATTTTAATGTCCGGCAGTGATGATTTTGATGATTTTATTTAACTCTGCTTTATATATGTTTTACATTATCTTATATTATGTAAGATAAAACAGATAAGATAAAGATAACCGTCACAATTTTATGAAATTGCTTTTTCGAAAGAATGCTTCCTTGATTATACAACTACTCTCTAAAATAAAAAATGAATTCTTTGAAATAATTACCGCGTATATCTAAAATGTCGGTAACCAGTGTCATTCAGAATGCTTTTTTTTTAATTATAGATTCATTGGTGTATCTTCCTCACCAGATGTCACATTAACTGATATTTTCCGGTAAGTTTTTTTTTTGTTAAAAATAATTTCACATCAACACTTTCAATTCTGTAAGTTTCAAATAAATGAGTGCATTTCGACAAACACAAATAATCGCATATTGTAACGTTTACAACGCGGAAATGATCCATAGGGATTACGCCGAGGCGGGACGTGCATGGAAACAGGTCCTTCAGATGAGCCCAAATAAACTCAAGTCCCGTGTTCAGTAGATGTTTGAAAAAAAAACTTACTGCTCAAAGGTCCTGGGTACCAAGCATAGGTAAAAAATTTGTAGCCCTTCACCGGCAAGTGATGGCGACTCCATCAGAATGAAAATTCTCGAGAGGGATATTAAACAACAAAGAAACACTCATATGAGACGCCTCTATTGACCGATGAAGAATTTGAAATTTAGCCTTTTATTCACCACTTACGGTATTTGTGCAATGGGATCTCTTTGTTGTTTTTAATGCCTATCGTGGAACAGAACCTACCTTGGTAGGTTATATCCGAAGGCCCAAGACTTTTGCTGTCAACAGTTGAGCATAGTCACTACATATAACGGAATTTAAAAGTCGACGTGGTGTCGGTAACAAGAATTAAACAATTTACTACAACTGTAGAGGGCACATTTTAGATGTAAAATTACAAGTCCATTCACCCTATGAAGATTTATGATAAAAAGAGAATTATAATATGTTTGCTAAAATAAACGTTAACTAACATTTTGAAAGAATCTTTAAGTTAATTTTTCAAATAAGAAAATGATTTTAGGAATTTTTTTTAAAAAATGAAAGCATTATTAAGTTGTTTAAAACACTTACCTGCATAAGAATTGATTGCATCTTCATATATTAATTTAAATAAATTGAAATCACGTATAATTTGATCACTGGTCATCAATTACTGTTTCCCTATGATATATGCAGATTTAACTTTCGCTTCCTTGATCTTCATTTATCATGTTTGGGGAAGGATATCGTTAAGAACTACGCGCAACTTTTTTCCGCAACAAAATACTATTCTAAAACAAATATATAGTCATATTGCATTGCTCACGAGTCGCAAAAGATTTACAGATAAATGGCAATAAATCAGTCTTGTTTTAATTCATGCCAAAAAGAGGTATATGAGCTTCTTGATAAAATTTGCATTTAAAAGTACCAAAGCATTACGCCTACCACAAAATATACAACCCAAGGTAACAATTACAAAATTTTATTCGACTTTCCTCTCAAAAGACAATAGAACAGTCCTAACATTAAGATATGATTGATTGTTTTTTGTTTAACGTCCCATTCGAGAAATTTTCACTTATATAGAGACGAAACCGTATGCCAGTGAAGGGCTCAGATTAAGATCTATACTATATAAATGTGTTACTGAGTCACTGGGTAATTAGGACCAAAGATGCTTGGATCAACAAGTCCTCAAGGACTTTAATATTTCTTCCTTCTATCAGAATAAGCATTACGCAAAAGCATAATGCAATTTTTTTTTTATTTTTGGACATGTTCATAAAATTGAATTTAGTTCCTTGTTTAGCTCTTCCTTATAATTACATAAAAGTTTGTTTATTTAATATAAACAGTTTTAAACATCCTTGAATTAATCATTTAACAACCTTAGATATATAATTAAATATATACGGTAAAGCCATTTCATTTCTCTTGCATGCTTTGTCATAAAACATTTAACCTCAAGAGAAACGACATTAGCCAAAATGAATTTGGTACCATACGTAATTATGTGTCAGAATTATGTAGATCAGTAGGTCAGTTCTACAATATAAGCCTTAATGTTCAAGCTTCGAAGGAAATAGATTACCCAACTTGTAGACTTTTAAATGTTAGCATAAGTCAATTTATTATCAAGGTAGATTGAAAAATATTTTAAATGTTATGTTATCTACAAGAGCATATTGGTTAACCCAAATTGCATAGATAAAGATGGTTTGAAAAAACAAATCTCATCTTATTGTGAAGATCAGAATCAAATACAACAAGTAAATTCAATGAATTGTGTTCCACCGCTTTTGGTGTCATTTTGGGTGAGATGTCATTTTTTATGACATTTTCTGTCTAATATGAACGCCCTATCATGTCATCTATTTGGAAATTATCACTGAACTCCAAGGTCAAAGAGTTAACATTCTTGGTATCCAATGAAAAGTCTTCTCAAAAGAATTACATATGTGTAGTATGAAAGCCCTAGCCTTACCATTCAAAAGTTACGGTCAAGGTTAAAGTTTTCTCATAAGTACAAAAAATCTCCAAGGTCAAGGTCAAAAGGTAAAGGTTTTTAGTATTAAATAAAAGGTCTTGCCACAAAGAATACATATGTAAAATATGAAAGTCCTGGTATCTACTGTTCAAAAGTTTTTGAAGAGTAGGTCAAACTCCAAGGTCAAGGTCCAAGGGGCAAAGTTCTTGGTATTCCATGAAAGGTCTTTTCACAAGAATTATATATATGAAGAATAAAAGCACTAGCCCTTACCATTTTAAAGTTATGGTCAAGATTAAAATTTTTTCATAAGTACGGAAATCTCCAAGGTCAAGGTCAAAAGGTCAAAGTTGTTGGTATCCAATAAAAGGTCTTGCTACAAAGAATATGTATGTGAAATATGAAAGTCCTAGTACCTACCATTCAAAAGGTATGGCCAAAGTAAAAGTTGGGAATTTGTGTGTAAAAGTGGGTCAAACTCCAAGGTCAAGGTCAAAAGGTCAAATTTGGTGGTACTGAAAGAAAGGCCCTGTAACAAGAAATACACATATGAAACATGAAAGTCATAGCTCAACCAAATCAAAAGTTATGGGCAAGGTTAACGTTTTTGTGACGGACGGACAGATTGACGGACAGACGAATGAGATTTAATCTCCCCTCGCTTTCGCAAAAGCGGGGGACAATTAGAATTAGTTCATGGAAAAAAATATGCATGTTTAAGGTAAAAGAAAACGGAACTGCTGTTAATTTTTGCAGTATTTTTAATTTAATCAAATGGAGATAACGAACAGTATTCAAGTTCAAAAGCCCTCAAATCAAAACAAAACAGGAGCAGAGCAGACACGGACCTCCACAACATTGGAGGTGGGATCAGGTGCCATGGAAAGTGAGCAACCCCTGTCGACCGGTCACACCCGCCGTTTGCTCCTTGTCATGATTGGGAAAAAACGGGAAAATTCAATGTAAACAATGGACTAAACTTAGTATGAAAAACGTCAGCCAGCATTTGACTCAATGATACAGTGATTTTGCTAAATTATAGTCCACATTTACCGGTACAATTTAGTTATGAAGATTTTTTGCAACAATGATTTTGTTAACAAGTACAATGTATCGTTAAATACAATGTATGATAATTTATGTTTTTCGTCATCGGGAATATTTCTCGCCGCGAACCGATACTTAAAGTCTCTCTATCTATTTAAAAAGATCGAAAAAGGCTTTATCGCAAAAATTAATCGTTGACAACTAGTTAACCCCTGGTAAACCGCGAATTAAAGTCGTCACGAATAAAAGTTGGTTTACAGTAACAAATTGTTACAATGCATTTTGGACTGTTCACACCCACACATAACGGGAGATTGAACAAGTAATACCTTTTTAGGTCACCTGGAAGCCATCTCTCTGAACCTACTGTTTGACCGACACACTGAAAGGTCACTGAGAATTCAGAGTCAGTAAGCGACGGACATATAAGACCGCCAAAACACCACTATATTACACACTCTTTACTGTGCTCCACAATAACGGAGGACTCTACAAGAGATACAGATACAGTGCCTCGATATTTATGGAATTTGATGGTACCCTTCATTCAGTCGAGATTCGAACTTACGACCTCCCGATCACGGAGCGAGCGCTCTACCGACTGATCGAGCTACCGTTTATTTGAATCATATAATAATAATAAAAAAAAAATACACACAATATTTGAACAAAATTGTGAAATAAGAAAACCTTTTTTTTAATACTTTGACATTTAAGTGCTACAACCCCTGTTAAGTAGTTTTACAGTACTTTTGATGAAGGATTCATCGACATTACTGCTAAAATAAAACTCAAATACACACAAGTATTCGTGTAAAGTTTCTTTATCAAGGAATGACTAGTAAAGTAGAAATGTATTCTTTGAAAAAAAATTACATCTCAGATACCCAATCTCTATTTTTGTTTTAAAGGGTTCTGGTAATTTCCAATATTCATTTTTTTTGTTTAAATATCACGAGGTTTTCCTATTTGCGTTTTAAACTTTTGTCGTAGGATTTTACAATAAATACAACACATTTTCATTGGAGGTAGACGAGCTTCAATCAATGCTATTTTTGCAATCTACCTTGATCATGATTGGACCAAACTATGAATATCTACAAGTGGAGTCATCTATTTTTTTCAATGACTTGGGAATTAAGGCGTGTATAGTAAAACTGACATACTGACCTAGCTACATAACTCTGAAACATAGGAATGTGCGGTGCCAATTTCATTTTGGTAAAAACCATTGCTCTTGAGATTAGATGATATAAGATTGTTAATTAAATATATTTAATAAAACACTTTGTTAAAACATTTTTTCCTAGGCAATTTGAAACTAATTATTAAATTGACAAGCTAAAACGTATTTAAAAGGAGCGCTTTCATAAGCAACTATAAATTCAATTTTATGAACATGAAACCGCAAGTGATTAAAAAAGTTTGTATAATGGTTGTTCTAATAGGAGGAATCAATATTGAAGTGTTAAAGGACTTGATGACCCAGACACCTTCTGTCCTATTAACCCAGTGACACAGTTAAACACAACTTCCTGTTTAGACAAAAACACGGTCAAATATCCGGGATTATTTAAATGTCTTTCATCGACTTTGATATTACAAATAATCCAATAAAACTATACTAGGACAAGTTTTTAAATAAACATTTTTTGTTTTTCGTTTTAAGTCGAATATATTTTTTAAAAACTTGTCTTAGCATAGTTTTATTGGATTATTTGTAATATCAAAGTCTCTGAAAAAAACACAGATGGCTCAACTTGTAGATAATTAAATAACAAATTCATAGTTTGAACCAATCATGATCAGGGTAGATTGCAAAAATAGCATTGAGTTGAAGCTCGTCAACCTCCAATGAAATTGTGTTGTACATATTGTAAAATCCTACGACAAAAGTTTAAAACGCAAGTAGGAAAACCTCGTGATATTTAAACAAAAATAAAGAATATTGAAAATAACCACAACTCTTTAAAACAAAAAAAAGAGATTGGGTATCTGAGAAGTAATTTTTTTTCAAAGAATACATTTCCACTATACTAGTCATTCCTTGAATGTATTATCCGTCTCTCTTTTTTTATAAGTGTATTAAACGGTTTGAATCCAACTCTTATCATGCTTTTGTTTAATCACACGTTGCACAAGCATACTGGTAAATCCAAATGGCTTAAACAACTTGGTTTTAAAACCTTGCTTCATTTTATTTTGAAGAAAATCAGAAAAAATTAAATTTAATATTGCACATGCAAAGCTAATATTGAATGTTAAAAGTAAAATAAAACGATGTTTACTTCTCTAGGCCACCTGAACTAAATGGGATATTTTTAGAGGTTTTGTTTGTTTTTTCTCAATCTGTATTGTTTCTAAATATATTTAAACAGTACTTTATCACCATATTCAAATATTCTTAAAGAAATCAAAACATTATTTGAGAATTACAAATTCAAAAATTTCATGCAGTATCTATTATATTGCACAAAGTTATACAAAGTTTTTTAAGTAAATAAACCATGTACTCAGTTGTCATTTGTAAAGGCAATCTGTCATAAAGCAAATGACTTATTCTTTCAAGCTATAGAATCTGGTTTCAAATTCTGAGTATTAATGCATTAATTGATTACAAATCTGGTTTCGATTTTGAGTATTAAATTTTAAAAAATAATGCATTTATTGGATACAAATGAATACATATTATAATAAAAGATTACATTAATGGCATCATTTATGCATTTATCATTTAAATTGGCGAACAAAAATGTTTAATTCTAAGTATTGAGTTTCCTTTAGTAAAAATCCCTTCATTGAAGGCTATAAGATACAAGGCCTTTCTGTATAAAAAATGTTTTAAGGATACCTGATAAGGCGGTTCTTTCTTTGACACAAATGAAATACTACATTGAAATTTAAATAATAATTAATAAATGATGAAGCAACCAAAACATGTTAACACATAGTAAAATTGTTAAATATGAAACCAAATTAAATACATTATACAATAAAACAAACGCATATAGCAAACTCAATTATAAAATTTTAACTTCACCATATTATGCAATGAGATACGCATGGTACAAAAATGTGTACGATATACAGAATGCGTATCAGACATAATCAGTTTACTTATGAATATGTTTCGCTACATTTGGTTAAATCATGCCTAAAAATCCTAAAGCATTGTGTTGGATAGCAATAAAAACGAACACCTAAGAACTGCGTGGATTTTTTAAAAAACAAAAAACCTGCACATTGAAGCTCAATAGAAAATGCGCTAATCAGACTCGTCCTCAAATTTCATTTTTGAACATAAAAAATTGCTCGGAACTGATAAAACAATAATTGGAGGAATATAAGCGTTCCTCTAACAGGTTACATGTACATGAACCTAATTATAAATCACCATAATCAAAACTCAACGGTTACACATCATACAAAGTAAGAATATTATTTACATTTCAATAACCTTGTTTTTAAAAGCACATATACATATGATATATCAGTAATCAGAACGTATCCAAATTCACACAAAACTCCATTTCAGAGAAACATAGGTCTACATTCCATTTAATTTGAATCACAATAACTGTTCTATTTCAGGAGAGTGTACATGTAAATCTGTTACTATTTATAATCAAGTACTCAAAATACAGATGACAGTTTACATGTAATCAAGCACCACATCAAATTCATTTCGTCTTGGAGTGATGCCATACACGTGGATGAGACTGTCGTAACCATGAGTACCTTCACGTGAATGAAAAGGATTTGTATTCATTAGTGATTTATCTGCAAATTGCTATCGTTTATGATTATTAATAATAGTCTTTTATCGGAAAAATTTCATATAAATTAGAACTTATTTTTGATATAAAGATACATAAAAAAGATATTTGCGATAAATGAATTCTATATCAACGATGTGAAAAAAATTAAAGCCTGTCTTAAATGACCACCTGATCATGAACATTTTTTGCAAACAGATGTGCTTTAAATAGATTAAGCTGGACTATTTATATATAATTACTGTTTCCTTTAATTCTAATACTTTGAGTAATGTATTTGCTCTAATGTACCTCCAATCATGATGCGCTGACTATGAGATCTCTTTAGGATACGCAGGTTAATGGCGATTCCCTGGCTTATTTCTCGTTCCTGTCTGGAAATGTACGCTGTCAAAGCACCACACAGGGGGTGGTGATAGTGCTTTAAGTCATACAAAGTCTGCATAATGGGGCCTTTGAAATATAGATTAAAAATATATATCATGTTATTTTTCAAGAAAAACATTTTTTTTAAACCACATCATTTTATTTAAAATATTTTTGAGACATACTGTCATTTATTTTCGTAATTTTTCCTCCATACGTGCATTCTATGTATTTTTCGTCACTGTTGTAGACACAGCCACTTCCGGCTAGTCGAGTTGAAGAAATCTTGGCAACGATGCTGTGATCATCAATGTCCGAGAATGTTGCCAGTCTCTGCAGTGCTGTGCTTTCAGTATGATGGCAGTTGGGTATTACTCTGGGGTGAGGAACTCTATTGGAATGGCGCCGCAATTCGTCAGTCTGAAAAAAAAATATTCCAATCTGTATGTTTCTTTACGTTTTTTATAATAATTCCAAAGCTTTTGTGTGTAAATATAATATGAAATATCAGTTACATATATCGACATTCAAATTTCTCAAATCACTCATTTTTGCATCGTCTACTTCTGCTGCTAATCAGTATAAAATAGATTTGAAAAGGCAAGCGTTTGACAAACAAGTTCATGAATCAATTATATTTATAGTCTAATAATTGATACAATAAAGTTGTCAACAAAAAATCATTAAGTTAAACGCTAATTGACGTTTTCATTCAATTTGTTAGGCCAATATTTACACGCTTGGTTGTATGCAGGGATTTCTGTTTGCCCAAATGTGACTCGAAACGCACAGCAAATATGACCAAAGGACAGGGGATAGTTTCTCATCCAAACTGATCCAAAGGGATCCAAATTCTTTTAATTTTTTAGGTCCATGTCTTCCCTCCTCCCATTATTTCAATGGGCGTTTACTGTTCAATATCTCCAAATTTCGTTTCAAGAGAAAAATGATTAAGAAACGGTGTAAATATAAACATTGTCCTGAAATTTTAACAAATGCAAAATACTTAAACAAAAAATCTCATACCATTGAAGAGATTTGCTTAAAAATTTAGTTTTCTTGGGGTTATCAGACTAAATTCATATGGTTTGCAATTAAAAAAAAATATTTTTAGGGGGGGGGGGGGAGACCTGCTGTTGAAACCAGATTTCCGTCATATTTCTTATAATTAGCAAATAATGCAGTTTCACATTGTCTCTTAATGTCGTTTACCGGTACCTGGACATCAATCGAGCCTGTCGTGGATGAGGCCATGATCGGCACTCGCCCAAATTCCCCAGAAACTTCCGTTGGCTAAATGACAATGGTGTTTCCCAACACTGCTGAGCTCCGACACAAAAGAAATGGAGGGAATCTTGTTCTGAATATGGTGGAGCAAATGAAACGGAAGTGACCGGAAATCGTCTCTTGGAAGGAAAGTATCTACGCCTTTTGATCTCGATGAAATTCCAGCCATTAGAATTGCCAATTACTTATGAAAACTTCATTGTTCTGAAAAAGAAAAATTATAAAAACCCTGATCAAAAAATGCTACGTTTCCATTTTGAGCATTGTTTATTTTTTACTTCCCCCAGAGACATGAGCATGTTTAAAAGTTTCACATTACCATACTTTTGAAAAAGAAGTTTCATTTGGCATTGTATCACTAAATCACTGCAAATTATGTTCCAAGTTAAAATTCGAAAGGTAAGTGAAAGTATAAAACCAAAATCAAAACATTAGTATACACAAAATTTCTTGCGGTGCATTCAACATTTTATGTCAATTTACTGTTTAATGTACATACGCAATTTAGCCACATATGATCCACATATGCATTGCCTTTCATATGAAGATCATATGTGGATCATATGAGAATCATATGTATATACAATCATATGAGAACCATATGTGACCAATCATATGAGAACCATATGTGACCAATCATATGAGAATCATATGAAGTAATATACATATGATTCTCATATGAAAGGTCCTACATATGAGAATCATATGTATATTTTGGCAGTGGTCATATGAGAATCATATGAAACTGATCATATGAGAATCATATGAAACCATATTCACTAATTTGCCCTTGTTATACTCAGGTAAAAATCATATGATTATTTTGACAGTGAGAATCATATGACACAGTGATCATATGAGAATCATATGAAACAGTATTCACTAATTTGCCCATGGTATACTTAAGTAAAATTGCAATTTCAATAAAATATCTCAATAGTAATTTAAATGTACATCAATTTCAAAAGAATTTGTTAGAAATAACTTATGTTAAGTTCTACTCTGTTTAACACACCGCCCCCCCCCCCCCCTTTTCCCTTATAAAAAAAAAACCTTTCACAATTTTCTTTTTCTGTAATAATGCATATCCCAGACAAAATTGATAAAGAATAATTAATTTCCTTTTTATTTCAAATCTTTTGGGTTTGGGTTTATTACTTGAGTAAAATAAAAAAAAATCCGTATTTTTCCCGGACCGGTTTTGACTTCTATCGGATGAAAGTGTACGTATGTTTGACGTCCCTGCTGCAGCAGAAGTGCTGGGTGTTGGAAAAAGTAAGTAATCTCCTAAAAATTTTAAAGACTTTTAATTCATTTTGTTTAAATATCCTTTCATTACGGTTACAGGTTCGTATGAACTCATCTCTGTAATACCCTCAACACTTGTAATTGTTGAATTAATGTATTTCGTAAACCTACATAATGTTACTTAGTGATTTGTAAGTAATTTTGGACAAATTTGTTTCTGAATGAATGTAAACATTACAATTTACATGTTAGGCTAAAGGCATTACTTTGTTTTCTTTTTGTTTAGACTTTTGTTACGTACTGATTTGAAAGTGAAAGTAGAAACCCTGTATAGCAGTTTGGCTTTTTTGAACGTAGAGATCGTTATCAAGTCGATTCTTTCATCAACTTCATGACAAATGTTTGTTTTATGGACTATAGATGCATTCAACAACTTGAGTTCATATATGGCACAATTATGTATTTCTTTTATCATAATATCCTTTCATTGCATGATTATGTCCCATGCAGCTTCAAATACAATCAAAGTACTGGAAGTACTGGGAAGCGCTAAGCATGGTTCAACTAACCCGCCTCTTGATCGCCTTGACTGCTACGTTAAATAAAACCGAGTTTAAGGTTTGTTACTTTAATAAAGTCTAAAAAATGAAAAAAAAAATAACAAAGTGTTCGCAGGTAGGTTAAGGTTACAAATAAATATTCTACTTGCCTATATGATATGACGTCATGGTAAGCTATATGACGTGAGGTTAAGAGATAATAATTTCTTAGAATCGATATCTAAAATTGATTTGAGGCCGTAAAAATGAATCAAAATATGCAGAGACATAATATAAACGGAATTTTGTCGTTCCTGGGCCTCTGTAGTTATCACAAGGGTTAAATACCAAACCCGTTACGTCATTACTGTTAATCATGCAGTAGCAGAGTGAAATGTATCGTAGCGAGAATTGATACAAACAAACACAAGAAATCGGAGTTTAAAAACATTTAGAATGAATATCATGTGTGATTCTTATGGGAATAAAGTGTATGAATAAGGTATGGTAATATGGTTTTGCAATTTCTTCGTAAAATTATAGTAGGGAGGGTGTTTACTTACCGATCAGCCTTTCCTCTGTCGTTCGTAACAAAAAAAAAATGCGAAAGTTCAACACTTCACCGCATACCTTGAAACTTAATTTTTGTTTCTATCTAAAGTTTTTATTCTTTTGTTTTTTAAAAGTGCTGCCAGAATCGTATGGTTTACGGGAATTGATGCTTTTCTTTCAATGTTATGAACAAAAAGTTTGGGGAAGGTTTCGTCCGAAATTGCTGAATAATTATTTCTATAATAGTACAGTACGATTCTTTTCATGGTACAGAGATGATTTAACATAACTATTATTACAAATTGAAACTAATTATCCCCGGGGTAGTGTTAAACTTTTCACTTTTACATTTAGGCATATTTTCTAATTATAGACGTCACGTGGTGACGTCGTGGTGAAGTGCTTCCTGTAGTATAATCCCATTGAAGTCTATAGAATGCATAATTATAGCAAAAGTTTTATCCTTGACTTTTTCCATTTATTAGTGTTACATAATTATAAAAAAGTGTTAATTCGCCGAATTCTGATCCATATGCTGCCTTAACTTACTCGCGTTGCATTTTGGATCCAGGTTTCTGCTTTAAAATTGAATTTATATCAATATTACAGTCCGATTTTTTTCTTCTGACTTACCTCATTTCAGATTAGATATAAAACTCTGCATTAGCTGGAGAGTTTTCGGAAAGTTTTCTTTGTTGTTGTTTTCTTTTTTTGGGGGGGGGGGGTGGGGGGGATTTGAATACAAAAAATGTTGCTGATATCCTTCTCTTGAATGTAAAGTAGAGAACACAAAACCTTTGAATGAAATTTTGAACAATGTATAATTCTACTCTCAAGAATATGAAGAATATTTTTCGTATTAAAATTAAAAAATTGGCTGTCAGCGACTTTATTTGTGATCAACGGCCGCAGGGGTGATCTGTCTATTGTGTTTGAAAGTGAGCAGGGAGAAATGAGTTATTATTTTTTATTTGTTCCATCTTTAATGATAAAATATATTAGGATTATGAATTAACGATTTTTAAAATGACATAATATTTTGTTTGAACTGTTTTTAGCATATTTAAATATTTAATCCTCTTCATAAATATTTATAAAGTTAAAATTTATATAAATAAGGTTTTACAAAATAAGAATTCCTAGCATAGGACCTTGTAATATATACACACAATCATTATAAGACTTAGTTTCTGGGTATATAAATAATGAATTGAACTTTTAAATTTTGTTTTGAATATGCTACACTTGAATAATATGATAATAATATTTTTTCAATATTTCACATTTATTGTGATACCAATCCAACCTCGTGCAGCATGTTGCTGTCATAATGTAACAAAATCCCCGAAGACTTTATAATTGTGGACACCCCACACACTTCGATATATTCAACCCCAGGGCTTGTTGGAAATTTTTTAAACAAATTATATCTATTACACTTATTCATCATGTGTACAATATGCAGGGGGATTCCTCTCCACAAGTACCCGTAATCCTTCATCTCTGACTCTCTCACACATGAATTATAATTTATTTTAACCGCATTTAAAAAAAAAAAGCTTGGTCATTCTGTTTCTCGTGTAATATTTGAAGCAGAATTGACAATATTTCTTTTTAAAATAAAAATGTAAAATCACATATAAACTCTAAAAAAATGCTTTATTTTTTTGACACCCAATCGTTCAGTGAAATGGATTTTTTTTGCATCAAAATATTTTGCTACAGATAAAAACTACAAAACAAGTATAGACTCTATATAAATGCGTTCAAGTTTGTACTGCTAAAAGATAATTTGATGCTGTGAAATCATTATAATTGATTGCCCTCTGTGTAATGCAATTTGTTCCAATCCCGCCTTAGCTGTAAAATTTAGCATTCACATTTCGCCTTAGTAATCTCTCTGGTGAAATAATGTGATGAAGATTGAATATATATTTAGCAGCAACAAATATTTTTGAGTATTACATTTATCATTTCATTCACTGTATTCATAAATTCCCATCAACTGTTAAATTCAATCTAAAAAAATTTATCATTTAAATTTTTATATCAACCCAGTAATATTTACAAATGCTAAAATTCCCATTTCGCCTTAGTACTTTTTAACTTTTTCTTACCTGGATTTCACAGTAAAGGCGATATGGGAACACACCTGTAATGCAAGTGTGATGATAAAAATCCTCGTTTGTATAAAATTTACATTGTTTGAATTAAAGGCTTATGCAGAAGAGGTCTTGAAAAATTATGTAACGAAACTACAAAATGTAGATACAAATTAGATATAGAAGCTAGTTTAATAAATAATTTTTTATGGAATTATGCTTCTAAATGATTTAATTCTCATTTGATTTTTTAATACTCATTGATATTTTAAGCTTAATGAGACTTAAATACATGTGCGCATAAATCTTCGGTACTTGTTTAATATATAAACAAAAATGGTCATTAGTTTTTCGAATTACCACTACAGAGATTACATGTACATTTGTGACATAATGAGTGTTTGCCAGTATACTTATTTATACGCACCATATTGTTCAGAGATAAGAACCGCCCTTATCCCCTACCGCAGGATTTCCGTACATATTAATGTCGACTGTACCAATTAACACCAATTATGATAACTCCTACACTAAAGTAGCGGACAGAGGGTCGGGGATTGTTAGACGGCTCAGTAGAGTTACATAACTTGCTCAGCGGCGCTATATTATGTATCACTCCGCGTAATAAAGTTCGTCATGTTGAGAACATAATATACAACAATAAAATATAAAATTTATATATCATCACCTTTAAAAGGAACCATATTACACCACGGAGATAAATTAGGTCAACAATAGTAGCCCTTGCAAAGGTATTATAGAACCCATTTGTTTACATAATTATCATTATTTATAGAGGGCGGGTCAGGGGTGCGTTCAAGATCTTAGTGCTAGATGGATATTAGGTACAGATACCAAATTTGAACAAGAATAGCAGCCACGTAAATAATATACATTATAAATATTTATGCTAAGTTTGAAATCCCGTAATCCTACTTGGATAACACTTTGCATCACGCGACATGTTGTATATACCGGTATATTAAACTACGTGTAAGTTTACTAGGAACTATGGTATAGAGTGCAGCCATGATATATGCGGTCGGTAGAGGGCGTTGAATAAAAGATCGTGAAAATCTGAAGACACCCTATAAATCGCTTGCGCATGCGCGCTTAGCGCTTAAAAAGTTAATCATAAGAATAAAATGACAACAAATACATGTTTTCAAATTGTAGTTAGAGTTAAAACGTACATCTAGAAGTAGCAGGAAGGTTTTTAAGAATGCATACTATGCAATCGTTCATGGCGATATCTTCTACATATGATGATTCATTTCCAACTATCAAACAAGTACTTATGATATAACATGTTATTTTGAGATTTCGATAATGGTGGTGCGAAATTTTTTTCAAACTAATATCCGTCCATTTTATGTATGATGAATAGCTGTCCCGATTTAAATCTCTTATTTCGAAGACCGATTTAACGTACTGCGTTATTGCATCCTCTTTTAAACCCGGAATGGAATTTTTAAGTATATTCTTCTTTGTAAAATGCCTTATAAAAACTTACCTGCAATTATTTTTGCTTCTTTATACAGTATTAAACAACGAAAAAATACCAGGACAGAGGACAAATTCTCGTTAGACTAACAAAATAATTTTCCAGGAAATAACAGTAATAAGTCAGATCTATCAGGGAATGTTTTTGCACGTGCCTGTTACACATCCAAGTGCCTTATCAGAAGAACATTGGGTTTATTTATGTAATATACCATAAACTGTCAGCCAATCAATATGTTTTAGTTACTAGCTACGTACGACATAATTCTTTTCTCCTTATGGATAATGAGTCAAGGCAACAAACAATATTTTAGCTTTAACGCACAGCATAAATGATGTCATTTTAAACATCTGTTTTTAATATATTTGGATTTACAACTGACTGGGTATAAGTAATCCAACGCCTTCACGTGACAGACTTCAACCAATTGTAAGCCAGGATCTCACGGAAAAATCGACAGAGGCGGGGTAATAACATTTCCACTGTCTTTGTCCGTGATAAAATTGCAAATAGTAAAAATACATTATTACTACATAGATCTACTGGTTCATCGATAGGGGCGATTACTTAACATCATGGAAAAAATTAAACATTCATTTGATATATCTTTCTTTCGTAACACAGCATGAATGGTCTGTTTGAAAAAAGTTTACATCCTTTTCCTGTCAAGAGTGTACACATAAGTTGCAGATTACATGTAGGTGCACCATGAAACTACATGTACACACATTTATCTCAAGTTTAATCATAGCTTCCTTTTATGTTTATTTTGTTCATGTAGAGCCATTAAAATTTTTCGTTTATTAAACAACAAAAAAAATATCAGGACAGAAAAGGGCAAATCCTTGTTAGACTAATAAAATATTTTTCCCGTCATTAACAGAAATGAGTCTGATCTATCAGAGAAGGTTTGTACAAGTGCAAAGAAATTCTGTGTTACAAGTATTCAGATATGATTCGAGTCAAATCTGAATTTATTTTATATGTATATCTCTCAACTCTCTGTCGATACAATGAGCTAAAATCGACAATTGATAACGAAAACTTTTTTTGCTATCCTTCAAAATTAAATTAAATTCATACTAAAACAGCAGACATATAACTTTCACGCCTTATAATTACTTCGGGCGAAAGCAATGGGTATTATGAATACTAGTATCAGTATATATTTAAATTGTATTAAAACTTAGATTGAAAACCTCTCCAAAACAAGTTAAGATTAAAAAACAGCAGACATAAAAACCTCATGCAGATATATTTAAAATCACTCAAGAAGATTAGATTGCAACGTTACTTTTTTCGTTTATCAAATGTAATGGATTCATGATTATATGACCAGACACCAACCAATCTAATTAACCTAGTAAACAATTTGAATCTAGACTAGAGAAAAATACCCGTATTGGACTGGGAACACATGAACGTATGCGCACTAGTGTTAAATCATAAACAGATTACATTAATAGGTTTGTAACTAAGTCATTTGAAATTCCTTAGAGATTACTCTAAGGTGACCTAAATATAATAGTTTAAAAAATGATAACTATATAACCATCGACTAACATGCTCATTTAAGAGTACATGCTTGGTACTTCTCATTCATGATTCAGGATTTTTTTTTCATTATTTATCTTTTGCTTTATACTGTCGGCTACATTTTACAGTATACACATATACTCGTATATGTGTCATAGATCTATAAATATCTTTGTTTCCACGTCATGTTTCGGACTGTCTATATGATATATAATATAAAGAGTATGATATGTATACATTGTAGGTAAAGCAAAAAGTATTCTGGTGTAATGCAAATACAGTTTCTTAATAGTATTTTTATGTTGGGTAATGAATAAACATTCGGCCATCTTTGCATAGATAAACACTTCCTGATACATGATTTAAAAAATGAAAACAAAAATATGCATACACCGAATAAAAGAAGATATATACTGTAATATACAGATTGATACTAAATATTCGTCTATATAAATGAGAAAATTGGTTTGTTAAGATAGGCTTTAAGACTTACCTCAAAGTATCAATAAGTATTTTCCTGATTAACTTCTTATTGAAAGCATTCCTTTTTTACCCTCAAAGAAATGTTAACCGCCTCACTGTCAAAAAATATCTGTTTTAATAAGGGACCCTGAGAATTCTGAAATAGTTTTACAGAAAGTTCAACTTCATATATTTAACGATATAGTTCCTCGTGTATTTTACTTAATCAATGGTGACCGTAATCGTGTTTATAATACTTAAAAAACACGGCATGTACCATTTAACAAATAGATACTGTTATCCAATCAATGCTAACGTTACAAGTGCGTAACTTAGCCAATGATTTTATATCTTTTATTAAATGGAAAGTTTATTGTTTCATGCAGATTTTTATTTAAAATTTTATTACAAAATCAAAAGATACCGATACAAATTACTATCAGAGGAAGGAAGTATAATTGAAACCTAAAGTAAGAATTAACATTTATTAATATCCTTTTAATTAACCTTGTTCTATGTGTAAACTTATACCTGTATTTTTTTTAATTATTAAGTGAATGAAAACAAATTATGACTGTACTCAGTATCTCATTTTACCGTTTTTTATTTATTTTAAAGAGAGAAATATCAGTGTCTCTTTTTCAATCCATCATGTAAACTGGTTGTTCATTGAAAGGTCACTAAAAATACCTAATTTGTGAATGATATTCCGTAATTGATTTCAATCGACCTAATTAAAGATTTTCAAAGGCCTTTCAATTATTTCTTCGTGATTCAGGTAGATTTTTATCCCCTTTTCTTCTTTTGTTCTTTGTCATTTAATCATATCTGTACAAGTTTGATTATTTATGATGTGAGAATTTTACTTCTGATCATGTTTATTATTTATTATCATTATTGTTATATATTTTTTCTTTTCCAAGTACTGTTTACACTGTAATCATTTACATGCAACATTATACATGTAGATGAACACATTGTAAGAACTAAGTGAATAAGTAAGTGTCTTAACTTGAAATATTTTGTATACATCATGTATATGTATAAGTATAAATTTACACCTTCAATTGTTAATAATTCTTGTGGCAATCACTAATTATAATTATTGTATATATTACAGGGAAAGATTTTTTTTAAGCTGTAAGAACTTGAAATCAATCCTTTTGTAAAAATGATATAATAAAATATGTTCAAAACAAAAAAAAAACAAAACAATTATCTCTTTTTATTATTAGATAAACTGCTTTTTAAACGTTATATAAATTTGGTTTACTTCTATCTAGGTTGAAAATAATATTATCAAATCTGACTCACTCGAATATATGTCATCTAACAATATATCGGTAATTAAGAAACGCATTGCAATAGGTTTTTGGCATTGTATTTCAATATATTTCAATATACCTCCGAAACATTAAATTTGAAAAAGTTAATGTTTGCGGGAAGTTCACAAGAAACGCCAAGTCTAACCAGCATATGATTTATAAATTGTATTTATGTCAATACATAATTTGCCATTAGAAATAATTGAATTGCATTTGTACATATTTCAGTATTTCTTAGGAATACATATCATTTTAAATTATTACACAAGCTTTATTCTGGAAGTAGGTAGATACATTTGCCCACACAAACTCTGGCTGGTAAGATATGGTTTTGTTTTATTTTTATAATAAACGTGATCATTTATTTGTCAATGGTCAACTTCACTTACTTATAAAGCAATATACCTTCATCATCTGCATCTAAGGTGTATCTTTTTCAACGTAAAAGCATGCTCATCGAAGTACAATGTCTAAAATGAGGTAAATTATTGACAAATAGGTTGATGAAACATGGATATCAACAGTCTCGTTTTAAGTACTCATTTTGTTAGCTCTATACGATGACCTGTCAGTAAATACAATTATTTACTCACTGAATTGTAGACGGATTTTCCCGATCATGACATTGAGCACATTTTGGGTGTGACTGGTTGACTGCTCACTCCTCTTTGCATCGCACTTAAGCCTTTTTCTAATGTGTTAGAGTTGCTCCAATAATGTAATGTTTTATTGACTATTGAGCTTGAACACTGTTCGTTACTAGCATTTCCATATATTTTATTGGAATATTTGTAGCAGACTATCACCAAGACTCTTTTGCATGATTAACTGTTTTCTGTAAGCTTCAAAGCCGCAAACTTGTTGGAAACACAAAGGCTTTTAACGGGTCGGAGAGAATACTCGAAATCGGGTATTATCCGTGAAATCGCGTATAATACTCGATTTTAGGGTATCGTTGAATCCGCGAAATCGGGTATTCTGTGCAACTTTCTATAAAAACTAAAGACTAAAGCAACGGCACATTATGCCAGTAACTGTTACTTGAACATCAGTATCTTGTGGATTTATTTTTATTAAACCTAATTCATACGGTTGTCAGATAAGTTTGAAATCATACGACAAACACTGCTGGGGTAACAAAGAGGACACAATGGCGCTATTATTTTTCAATATAATTTCTAAAAACAAATAACCATACTTCGTTTGTCTTTATTTCCCATTAAATTATTGCATATATTTAATTTTCTAATTAATGCACTATTCACAAAACGTGAAATTTTAAAGAAATTAAACGGCTAACGCCGTGTTATGTACTTTTACTGAAAAATGTATGGCGTCCCTTACACGTGAAATATAAATTATTCCTAACAGTTATAGAGTACAGTATAATTGTATATCTCTGCCATAATAGAATACCAACGTAATTATAAAGAAGGAAATAAAATAAAATTAAATTCCCACGGGAAAACAGTTACAAAATAGCTAATTAGAGGTGAATATCTTTGTTTATGTCAATTTAGCATGGAATTTTAATTCAAAGAAACTGTAAATTTTTTGGTTGCATTTTAATCGATACAAGATATGCTATTTTACCTTTATTTTATGCATTTGTGTGAAAATTGAGAGCGAGAAGTCATATGAACAGGATTTTCTTTTTTTTTTTTTGGGGGGGGGGGTATAAATAAATGTCAAATGTGTACATCTTTTCTATGAGCTTATAATACATTGAATTTCTCAATATAGATCGAGGTACAGTCATAATGAAATATGAATTAAATAGTCAAGTTTTCACATTTCTTATATTTTTTATGAAC